ACAGCAATGTCAGGTGGAGCCTGCAGGCAATAAATTGTGATTAATCCAACAACTCTTTTTACTATTTTATTGTAATGCATTAAGAGAAAAATTGTAAAATTTAAAAATTGTAACGTTATCAGTTCGTTACGAAATAGTTTTCTAAGAGATGTAGAAGGCAAGGTTATTGTGAGTTACAAAAAAACATTTCTTAATTTATATAATTATTGTTTACACTGTGAGCTCATATTCCTCACAGGTTATGGGCCCAGTGGATATTTTAATAAATTGCGTAATAAGTCAGATTGATAAAGATTTAAAAAGAAAGTGCATAATTTAAAAATAAATAAAAAAAAGAAAAATGGCTAGTTGATTATTGAGTATTGTACCTAGAAAGTACAGAATTTTTCTAATTAGTTATTGAGAGAAAGATTGCAAAGAAATAATAAACAATAGGGATGATGACTGGGTAAAAAAAATGCAATTCTATTTAGTCCGTCAGTCAGATAATAGAGAAAAATATAAGATACTTTTTTTTTACTTCAATTTAACAAGAAATAACTTAGATAACAGGCATTAAAGTTGAGGAGAGGGCTCGCTACGTTACAGTTGAGTAGAAAACGTACCCTAACGAGACGTCATGCGAAATTTCAACTCCATGTAACGCCGTAATTTTATGATTACGAAATATAAAAAATACGTGTTTAATATTTTTTAACACTCTGCCTGACAGACAAACAAACAATTATTAGTCATCATCCCTATTTCACTATAAAGAAATTGTAAGAAAAAATAAAAGATGAAAAATATAAAAAATGGATGCTAAAGCTAAAAGTATTATATTACAAGCGCTTAAAGAAGAGCACATTGAATACACAAGAGATTGGATTACGGCAAAAGAAATGATTGTGGCTCTAGAGGAAAGGTATGGTAAAAAGAGTACATTAAGTATTCTATATAAGGAAGAAGGTTTTGACAATGAGACACACATAAGGTAATTCGGAGGATCATTTTAGTGAGTTTGATTGAATAATAAGAAATTTAGAAACTAAGGGAAAGCTGAGCGAATCTGATAAGGTATGCCACTTGTTACTAACAATGGAAGGCGATAAATACCAAGCTGTCATCACAGCATTAGAAACATCCAACGTAGAACTAACCTTAGATTACACAAAAAGTAAATTATTGGATGCTGAGCTGAAACTGATAAATAGAAACAAATAAAATGAAGAAACTTACTCGTTCAAATCGTCAATTAATGAAAATGATTAAAAATGTTAATTTCGTAATAAGAAAGGAAACAGCTAGAGACTGTTCAAATAAGAAGAATAATAATAGAAACAAAAGTTACAATAGAGGCAAAATAGGTATACTAAGAAATAAAAAACAAAGCAGAAGTAATGACTTAGCGTTTCTAGCACTTTCCGCTTACAATCCACTGGAGAAATTAAGTTTGTAATTGACTCGGGTACTACTATCAATATAATCAATGAAAAGTATATGTCAAGAATGGAAAACATAGAAGAAATTCATTATATAAAAGTCACAAACGGTAAAGTGATAACTACTGATAACAGTAAATAAGAAAAGAAATATAAAAGTTGGGAAATAATATTTGATTAAGAAGAATTGATCATTAAAAATCACTCACATAATTTATTATCAGTTAATAAGCAATAGAAATTGCAAAGTAGTATTCTATAAAACATGACATATATACTATATAATAAATATGACATACATAATAGTAGGAAAAGTGATGTTAGCCTATGTGTATATATATATTTTAAACATAAAATTGCAAATGAATCAAACTCATTAGTAGCACTGAATAGTAATATATGGTATAAAAGATTAGAACACCTTAACCATGCTGGTATGAAAATATTGAGCTTACCTGAAACTAAAGAAAATTGTAAGATATGTATGAAGGCTAAAAGTACAAAAGTGCTGTACAAAAACAAAACATTACCAAGAACACGGAATATCGAAGAAAGGATTTATTTGGCGGACCAATAACTCCAAAAGGTTTAAAAGGAGAAAAATACTACCTAACAATCATAGCTGATCACTCCCACTATACCGAAATGTATCTCTTAAGATATAAAAGTGAAGCTGAAGAAACACTAATACAATATATAAAAAGAATGAAAACAAATAATATTATTACAAGAAATATTAGAAGACACAACGAAGATGATCACATAAATGATGATTTCAAACAATTTTGTTATACATGGTATAAAACAAGAATTTACATGTAGCTATACGCTACAGCAAAATTTAGTGGCTGGGCGAGTAAGTCGCAACACTAATGGACCAAATTCATTTCATTAAATATCAAGTCAATAAGGGAGAATTTTGTATAAAGTATGTACAATCTGATAACAACTTAGCTGACATATTTACAAAAAGTATGTCAAATGATAGATTCATTAAATTAAGTAGTCTTCTTAAAATTCTTTGTTCTTAAAATTGTGTAACTACTGTGTTGTTTACACAACAATTACAAAAATGGTAAAAGTTTTTCTTAAAAACCTTTACATTAAGGGAGAATGTTAAATATTCTGCCTTAGTACTCGCAAGTTGTTTGTGGTTGTTGTATAACTACTTTTGTCTATGCAAGACTATGGAGTTTTCGGAGGGATCTAAAAAGCAAGGTTATTTATTATGTGTTACAAATAAAATGTTTATTAATTTGTCATATCATATGTTTTTTTATTTTTTTTACAATTTTTCGAAAACTTACAGCAGATGAAGAAATATAAAACTATATAAACTCAATAACGCCAATTACAAGTTTTCACAAATAAACAAAAGAATAAAATAAATTATTAACACCCGGTTTCTAAATTGAGTATTTAAAGTTAAGCACGACTTAAAATTTTATTAAACATAACTTAAACATGCTTGTGAAACGAAAAAACTTAAACTAATGAGAACAATCAGTTGAAATTATAAAACGATATGAAAGATAAAAGTATGCTATTAACTAGACCCTTTTAATTTTGAAAGAAATTTTCATTGTAGTTTTTACTAAATACACAAGTATTTAGTAAAAAGCTAAATTAGCTTTAGCTAAATGTTTCTAAGTCAATATTTTGACGTAATGAGTTGAACAGTTTGGGTAGTCTGTTTATAAATGAATTAGAATAGTAGTTCGTTTTTAAGAAAATATAATATGTTAAGGTCTAATTTGTTGTTGATGCAATACATAAAAAAAATATTAAGATCTTCCTGTAGCTCCATACAGTTTAATAAGTTATTGTTTGGGCACAGTATTTTTATATCATCTGCATATAATGCTTTTTCAACCCCTAGGACTAGTTCTGGAAGGAATATTAAAAACTAGCCAAAAGAAAGTCAGGCTTGTGCACAAATGGTTCTGTACCATTATCCATAAAAAAAAGTAAAATATGACATCACTACAATCTTTGATATAATTTCTAAGAACAGATCATAGTATATTTTATGATTTCACATTTTGTCATACTGTCCATTCTTAATGTTACACCATGTATATCCCTTCAGGGTAAATATTGATTGTGTAAGTTAACATTCAACTATGAACTTGTTATGTAATAAATACCTTATTTGTATAATAAGTGACTATTATATTACATTACATCTTTAGTAAAATTATTAATATGTACTCACACAAACTGATATTGTTGGCACAGCAAATGGTTTCAATGTTATTCTACTTCCTACAGTAGAAAATAAATGTTTTTCAAAGTGAATTGAACATATTCTTGCATGCCTTGAAGGCTCCCAATTCGGTCTTCCACAAGCTTTTATCCAATTTCTACGTTCAATTTCATGCGATGGAAACCTAAAATTCAAATACAATTTAATTAATTATATCTGTATAATAAATTTCATATTTTAATATGGAAAAATGAAGTTATTAAAATAATAATAATATGACTGAGTTACTGAAAAACAAAAATACAATAGCATAATTTTAGTATTTCCAAATAACAACATGATATTTAACTAACTCTGGAAGATATAATTCAACTTCACAATAAAGAGAATTAAGCGGAAGTTTAATATAACCAAGCAAACTGAACTGAAACACAAAAATAATAATACTTTAGTTTTCAAAATTTGATTTATTTTAATCAAAAGTTTAAAACAATCTTCTAGGTTCTTTTTAATCGCAATTTTTGACTATCTTACAAAATAGTTGTGATACGAACATTTTGATATATGCTAAATAGAATTTTTTATAATTTGATTATAAAGCAGTTTTGGGGAGATTTCAAACGCACAGATGACAGCATTAATAATTTCAGGTTATATTTTTAGCAAACATAATTTAATGATATTTTTAGCTTATTTCGGTCGTATTTAATAAGTTTCACATCGGTTATGATAATGGTAAACTGTCTATTAACTAAGATATTAACAAAACACTTCTAACTGACCTGTGATATGATACACCATCAATGCATCTTTCGGGTCTATTTTTACAAAATAAAACACTGCACATAACCATTGTTTTAAATTAAAAATAACGTCTCTTACGTCTAAACTTTACACAACATATAAAACACTCTTAAAATACACTTTTTCCCAACTTCTTTGAATAATTATGAATTCGACGACTAACTAGTAGTAAAATTTTGACATATTGGTCCCAAGCAAGCTTGGTGCCAAACAAACAAAACCGGTCACATTGATAAGGACAAAAAATAAATGTTTCCATCTCGCTTTAACTAATGGAAATTGTATTAAGCCATTTCTTTCCCCGATGAATGAGATAGAACATGTTATTCCGTCTTATACTTACTCTGTCTACGCCCGTAGCGATATATTTTTTTAATTTATTCTGCCTTGGAATCCACATCTGTAGCCGTAAATATACAAAAAAAAATTGTATGTTAGATATTTCAAATTTGAAGACATTCAACAAAAGTTTAACATCATAATATGATGTCTATGTATGTCATATTGAAATTAGTCAACAATTAGTGCTGCCAGTAGCAGTCGATGTTTGTCTCTCTATCAGTGTGTACCTGCGGGCCGCGTATCCAAAGCTCCCCCGACTGGTGCGGCGGCAGCGCGCGGCCGTCGGTGAGCGACACGACGCGGCCCTGCGTGCTGCACACCAGCTGCCCCACGGAGCCCACTTTGCCGTGCGGGTACTCGTACGGGGTCATCAGGGACACGGGCGAACTCTCCGTCATACCGTAACCTGAACAAGGGACAGATTTTATTCATTCAACTCTGTTGATTAACAAAAGTTATCGTACTAAATGAACAGTCGCTGGCGCAGTGGCTAGAGCGCTTTCTGCGATATAGTTGTTAAGCAACTTTCGCAATGGCCATTTATAAGATGGGGGACCAAAAATTTATTTACTGGAGCTCCTCCATGCTTAAGTTCATTCTACCTAGTCGATTTGATTCGTTTTCATATATAAGAGATGCCGGAGCCCCAGCAGTAAGGACGTTAATAAACTGGTGATGATAGTACTAAATGCGATGCGATAAACCAAAATGTTGTCTGCTCAGAGATAGATGATCGCCAGCCTATTAATATCCCAGCTTCTGAGGTTCAGGCTCTCTAAGAATGGAATCGAGAGCCCAGTGCGAATTAGTGAGTGTTAATGATTATGGATATAGTCCGCACGGATCCTCCGTCGATAGTAAATTTTTGATCACTCATCCTATGACCGGCCCTTGCAAAAGTTACTGAACAACCGTTTGCAGACCGAGCGCGCTAACCACCGCGCCATCTAGCTCTATGAGAGATAGATAAATATAATATTAAAAATAAATATTATAGAACATCACATACATGATTCAGATTTCAAGATCAGTAGCTAAAAACTCCGTATTATGGAGAAACGAAGACAACGAAGGAACAGCACCCAGACTCGAGACAATATAGAAAAGTCCGTTTACTACATTGACATGACCGGGAATCGAACCCGAGATGGCGACTCCTTGAAGCCGGCGTACAATCCACTTGGCTGCGGAGGTCGTCAGAGTTAAGGATAGAAGTGATCTATTATATATTTTCCACTCCTCCTTATGCGTTTATTATGCGAAATTACCATTTTTTAAACCAAATTTATTCTAAGGTTATGCTAATATTTCCTAAATAAAATCATTTTATGAAATTTAAACATAATCGATCGTTTGTTAAAACAGAAACATAAATATCAATAATTGGCTGGATAGAAAAAATCGCAAAGAATATCTTGGTTGATTTTACGACTAATATATTTCATCTTAACTATATAAAAAATGTATACAAAATAGCTATTGATATAATCTAAAATGATCAATAGATTTTTTTTTTAAATAACATACAAATGCATTGTTTGTTTGTTATATCTACCAAGCAAAACGTAGTATACTTATTCAGTAATACCAGGTTCAGATACAAATTCTAGGTATACTTCACTATTCTAAAATAAGACCATGACTTCATTCACGTGATGTTTACAAGAGTACTATTAAAGCGGTGCAGTTGCAATTGTTCATATGCATTATTGTATGAATGTTAGACCCGACTCTTATAAAAACTGGTATTAAAATCCTAGAACGTTGAAAATGCTTTTTTTTATTACACCATCACTCCTTCTAAAAGTTATCTTAGCAAGTAGTTTTCAATTGAATAGGTTTTAGTATTGTCAATTTTAAATTTTAAAGAATAGAGTTTATCCCAATGTATTGACTTGTTCAATCTGAAAATTAAAGTGCTTCTATAATGTGAGCCTTCTTTATAACTCCTCCTATAATATATTCATCGATAGTAAGTTTTACCCGCTTTACAATTAAGGAATTAAAGTTACGTAAAAGGGCTTCTGTCATCTAATACATATGTCCTTGAGCTTGCTTCAACTCTCATGTTGAAGCTACTTTTAAGGACACAATCCTTGCCTGGAATTGATTTCGCATGAAGTACCAATATCGGCAATTTTCGCATAAGAAAAAAATACAAAATACACTCAACAAAACAAGGAAAAATACGCGATGCACCCGAATCAAAATCCACCTACTCACCCTGCAACAATCTGACTTCATCCTTGGTCTTCTGACATTTGAGCAGGAACTTCTCCAGTATACTGTCAGTGGTTGGTGCGGCGCCCACCATGATGGTCTCCACTGATTGCAGATGATCCTTGGTGACCATCGGATGGGTGCCGAGGAACGCCAGCAAAGATGGCACCACGAACAGTGTGGTCGGCTTGTACTGCACTAAGCATTTTATGTAGTCGTCTGGTGTGAATCTGTTGATGACAGAATATTTTGTTTACATTTGGCGTAGCCAGAGATTTTCTAAAGAGTCAGGTGCAGTACTAATCTGTTATAAAAACAACCTCGAACTCTACATCGAGCGCTCTAGCAGCAGCGTATAAATGAAATTTGAAAATAAATGGAGTTTTGATTTCATTGAACCTCTATGCTGTCAAGCTGAGCTCAGACGTCGCGTGTCATGCTATTATTAAAAAGAAAGTATGATGACAATGAAACCAAAAAATTTTCTAATGGGCTAAATGTTTCTACATAGAGTGGACGCCATTAAGCTTTAAGATTAGCGTGGATAAATTTTAGTTTTGTCCAAAACAGATAAAACTCAATGTACGCTGTTTATAAATGCAACGTTAGGAAGCTACATAATAGGAATACCTAATTAGGTAAATTCATTTTTTACTAGCTCGTTCGACTAAAGACAAAAGATGGTAAAGAAGAAACTTATCAATTCAACCACAGAACAGAAGAGAATCCAAAACATCAACTTGATTTAACATTGAATTAATTATAAAGTAAACAATAATAACTATTAAAAATCATACTCACTTTGGCATAGAGACGATGTGGTAACCTAACTTAAGGTTGTAATTTAAAATTCCGTTGAAGCCGTAAATGTGAAAGAAGGGTGGCACTGTCAATATGACATCGCCTTTACCTGTAAAGAAAATAATTTGATATGGAAATAATTAATAGAATAGTATCTAGGTTTTTAATACATTGTCGCATAGAAAGTAATATCTTCAGTTCAGACGTATAGACCAAAATGTTAAATACATTTGTTCAATTGATTGAGTCAACTAACGATAAATAGATGTTTAAAGCCTAATAAGTAACAAACGGTTTACATAAACGAATACGGTTTACACAACGGTCTTCCAACCCCCCCAATGTTTTGTTTGAAAGACCTATCCAACGACGACCCACACTGTGGGGAAGACGAAAAAAAGATTGTCATACCCACTGTATAAAAAAATTTGCTTTACTACTTTGTCGGCGGAATGAACTTATACTCATGATTATAACTGTCTAATACCACTAGTTTTTGAGTTAAAAGTTTTCGAGAGGCATTTCGAAGAGAATGAATGTGTGAATACCGAACCCTCGGAAAGCCCACATGCTGTATACGACCTTATATCAATAGAGCTTTAAATTAGTAAATTGTTATTTTTCTCACCTTTCTCACCACCGTATTTCATGACTTTCGGACAGTGTACTTGTTTGAGGTTGCTGACCAGGTTTTTGTGGGTGAGCATCACGCCTTTGGGCATTCCAGTAGTGCCGCTGGAGTATGGAATCAGGCACACGTCATCAGCATTCAAGTTTGGAAGATCAGCGCTATGGTCCGCCATTAGAAGTGAACGTAAACCGAAAATACCTGATACAAACCAAAAACTACTATCAAACAGTGCGATATAGGGCAGGTGAACCAATTTTGACCATTTTAAGATTATCAGTTAGTTTTTCAGTATAATAACTTTGCTACATCATAGCTGTAAACGCAATTGCCATAATAAAACATTTAAAAAACTGTTTATGGTCAATTAATATATATGTCTATGCGTTAGTTAGAACGCTTTGAAGTTTCAAAATGGCCAAAAAAGGGGCTGCGGTAAAACCGATGCTTCTGCCCTACTTGAAATAACCAAGGTCAATGATTAAAAAACTTATAAATAAATAATAGAACGTATTACTACAATTTTATGCCGCCAGAATGGATTCTGGCACGTTGATTCTGTTGTGAATGGAGTTTTTTTAAGAAGGTGAAACATCTTGAAAGTGTAACAAAAATGATTTGTAGTAAAAATAATAGTGATGCAACGGATAGTTGTTTGGCCGGATACCAGATACCGGATATTCGGCCTGACCACCAGCCGAATATCCGGTATCCGGCCGCCGAATATTCGGCCTGCGGTATGATACCTACATTTTAAGTTTCGTAGGTGCGCGTCGCGTGCCGCCCGCCCGCCCGTGCAGGTTTAAACTTGTTTCGTAGTGGTTCACGCGGGACAGTTCTTAGTAATGGAAATTGTTTTATCGTGTCAGTCAGTACGGAACAGCTTCATTTAAAAGTATGCTCGCGTAATTTTTCATAAGAAAACAAGTTGGTGGTGTTAGAGTGGTTTTGAATTAATTAACTTTTACCTACTGTGTCATTAGTGTGCTCATGAAAAATGGCAACAAGAAGGTCTCCGCTTTGGAATTATTTTGAGATAGATAAAGAAGAAGCTAAATACGCTATTTGTTTAATCTGCAAATTAAAAGTTTCACGTGGTGGAGAGGGAAAGAAAGCTGGAACCTCGTGCATGAAAAACCACTTGAAAGCCAAGCATTCTGATAAGTTTAGCGAAATTTATGGTGGTTCGTCTTCAGATGTCGGAACTGCTATTTCTACGAGCTCAACTGCAAGTACATGTGCCGCGGCCTCTCAACCGTCCTTGCAAAAACAATTAACTTTAGCTGAAACTGTTGAGCGAAAACAATATTGGGGGATAAATGATTCGAAGTCGAAGGAATTTCACTATTTGATAGGCGAAATGATCGCGTTGGATAACGAACCACTATCCATTGTTGACCGAGTTGGATTTAATAGACTCATGCAGAAAGCGCTGCCTAGGTATAAGTTGCCCAGTCGCACTTATATGACTGAAAAAATAATACCGGACATATACGAACGAATTACCAAAAAAATTATGGAAAATATTTTAAACGCTGCAGTGGTTTCCATTACGTCAGATATATGGACTTGTGACCAAAATAATGAAAGTTTTTTGAGCTTCACCGCCCATTGGATATCTCCAGATTTCAAACTGGAACATGGCGTTTTGGCAATGAAGCCCTTTTCAGGGTCTCACACCGGAGAAAACATAGCTAACGAACTTAACATTATCGCTGCACGTTGGAATATCCCGTTAAATAAAATACACGTTATTGTACATGATAGTGGGGCTAACATGATAAAAGGAGTTCAAGTGGCTGAATACGATTCAGCTCGGTGTTTTATTCACTCTCTCCAGCGGGTCATTACCGAATCACTTAAAACTCAACCTGATTTAATAGAGATGCTGAATGCCTCAAGACGAATCGTAACTCATTTCAATCATTCAGGATTAGCACAAGAAAAACTGAAGGCAATTCAAACAGAGTTGAAGTTACCAGAACATCGGTTGGTGCAAGATATCAGTACACGTTGGAACTCGACGTACTATTTACAAGAGCGGCTGTTAGAACAGAAACGCGCTATTTCTTTGTATATAGCCGACCACAATAAACTTAGCAACTTGACTCCTCAGCAATGGAGTTTAATGGAGCAATGCATCATTCTCCTCAAACCGTTCGAGGAAATAACGAAGATCACGAGCTCAGGTTTGTCATGCATTTCAGAAGTTATACCTCATGTGGCGGTTTTGATGAGGTACATTCAAAAAGAAGAAACTTCACGCAAAGTCCCTAACTTATTACAATTTCTAACGTCCCTGAAAACTCAATTGCAACAACGCTTCGAACATCTTGATGAAAATCCAAAGTATTTCCTGGCTACATTATTGGACCCCAGGTTCAAGACCAATTTTTTTGGGGTAATACAAGCAGAAAAGGCTCGCCAAAGACTCTTATTGGAGAGTCTAAAACTAAGTTGCAGTGAAGAGGATTCAGTCAGCAGTGAAGGCGATTCACCTCCAATGAAGAAAAGAGCAGGCTATGGCATGGGTATTCATGAAACATTTTGGGACTGCTTTAATGAAGTTGCCAAAGATCAGACTGAAGACTCTGGTAAAAGTGCTATGGCTATAGCACTTTCATTTCAACTTGACTTGACTTTTATCAACTTGACTTTTACTTAAAGATGGTTCGTCTTGATCGACAAAGTAACCCTTACGCATGGTGGGCAGCAAACGCCAAACAATTCCCGATTTTGGTTAAATTTGCCCAAATATATCTCTCTTCTCCATCTAGCAGTGTATACAGTGAGAGACTGTTTTCAGAGGCCGGGCTTATATATGAAAACAAGAGGAATCGTTTGCTTCCTAAAAATGCAGAAAATCTTGTTTTTACAAATCATAATTTACCTTTAGTGGATTTTCAATACTAAATTATTTAATATTACATTACTAGTAACAAATAAGTAACTTTTTAAAATATCAATATTATCACCAAATTACTTAAAATAATTGATTTATAAAAGTTGTTTAAACTAATAAAAAACTTGGATTACAACTTTACAACTGTTTTTTTTTATTATGTAGATCTAACAACAAGTTTACTACCTATCCGGTATTCGGCCGGATAGTACATTACCATCCGGTATCCGGCCGGATAGTAAAAAATGGGCCGGATAAGCCGGATACCGGATAGTAACCGAATATTCGGTGCATCTCTAAAAAATATAATTATTAATTGAATGTATAATTATTATAAAGAGTGTATTTTTATGAATGATGCACGAAAGTATATAATATTCGCTAGTTGCGAGTAACGCAATCTATGGCAACGCTCATGGTGGTTAGAAGTAAAAAATTGCGAGCTTTGTCATCTGTCATACCATACTATGTACTTGTGATCGTCTCCACTGAATTAATGTGAAAACTGTTTATTAACGTGTTTTATATTATAAAAAAAGTTAAATTTAAATGACAATTTGTATAGGTAAGTATATATAGGATCAATTAGCTGTTTTTTTTAAATACTTCCTCATTCTCTCTTCAAGAAAAGTTACCTTTCGTTTTGTCATCGTCGCCGCCTACCCAAATGGTGCCTTTGTAGTCCTTGAGAGCCTTACTGACTTCTTCGGCAACCGGCATGAACATTTCAATGGTCGCGATTGCCTTCACGTGGCAATCGGAAAATTGACGTTTCATTTCATCTGGTGACAACAAGCAAAGAACGGATAAAAAAATGTATACTTACTGACCAATGAGGTTGATGGCGCATTGGTAAGTGCGCTCGGTCTTCGATATGGATGATAAGCAACTTTCGAAATGGCCAGTCATAGGATGGGTGACCAAATTTTACTATTTCAAACTCCTCCGTTTTTTGGTAGGCACGTTAAGCCGTTGATCCCGGCTGCATCTGCAGTCGTTCACACCCACCAATCCGCACTGGGCCTGTTTGGTTGGTCATGGTCCCTATTCGATTTGATTCGATTCCATCTATAGGGAAGGTCTGATCTCCGCCGCATGATGACTGACCAATGCGGTCGATGACACAGATTGTGCTATTGCAATAGGCTGCAGCGCTGTTATAATCTCCTGGATATTTTATTTCCCTGAAGCACTATGCTATTACAATGTTAAGCTCGACCTCGAGTTCGGGGCAGTATTTCAGAATAATATAACTAGTCATCGAGGGCTGACCAATATTCTATTTCTCGAGTTCCTTCGTTCTTTGCAAGAGTTTCACGCACACAACACCGCACTGAACCCGCTGGATTAAATCCCGTGCTTAGTGATATTGACTCTTGTTGCCTGAGCAGTGGACATAGATTATAGTATTTATAGGTTGATGATGACTAAAAATAAGCAAATATTACTATGCGCTTATAAATAATGTGGGCGGATCTGTGCACAAACACTCTGTGACGCTGTTGCTTGGTTATGAATTGTAACATCTTCACTATCTTGATTGACTGGATTGATTTTAAAACTTATTTGACCTACGGAAAGCTGCAGTATATGGTAACAGCACTTTTATCTCTGCGAAAGCATTTAGTGGAATTAAATGTAGCCTGTATTAATCTAGGTTTAGAATTATAATAAGGTGTAATATTATTATATATCAGGACTTCGTGGGGAGAATACTGTCAACGATTGTAGGTATTACAATTTTGTATGAATCAGCTGATTATTTTTTCGTGTGGATTAAAAATTAAATACATTTAAATACCTAATTTCATCAAAATTCTCCTCAATAGTTTTTGCGTGAAGAAATAACAAATATCCAAAACTATACAAACGCTTAATGGCCCGTTACTGAATGGGGAGCAGCTAGGAATCTAAAAAAACAACTATATAATCGTTGATCTTTATAATACTCGCAGTTATAAGGAAGATGATCTACAAAATCAATATCATGAATTATCAGTTATCACTTTAATGTACGATATTTATTCATAAAGTTCATAATTATAAAATACTATAATAATTAACCACAAACAATGATGATTCAAACATCTACAAACTTATAAATAAACTAATACCCGGGCGGGTCGTCGACTAAAAATTGTGAGTTCAAAGTCCACACTCGGTATATTATAATGGAGCGTTTATATCAGAGTCATTGTCTTTAAGTGGGTCGATCCGAAGTGCAGGTTTCAATATAATCCGTTCCGTGGTTCTATCTAATATTATAAAAGCAACACTAAAATTGTCTGTCTGTTACGATTTAACTATCTAAATGTGGTATATAATAAGGTAATATTTATCCTGGAAATCATTCTAGAATATATAAAAAAGGTGTAGAAATTAGCATGTTGAAATATTCATTTACTAAAAGCACTTAATAGTTTTTTTATAAATAAGTTACGAAATAATAGAGCTTCATAAAAACTTGGGGAAAAATAAGTAGATGGGTATTATTTCTGCACAGACAAAGCACAAACGAAATCGCTAACTACAAATGCTAAAATAACTCCGCGATTTCTTAATTCGCAAGTCGCATTAGTAATATTAGTCTATGCTTAAGGCAAAGTCATTGTCATGGTCAATGGGAAACATATACCTAAGTTTTTTTATTTGACGGTTAAAATTAGCTTTTGTCAGATCCAGTCTCTTGGCTAACTCCTCAAAAAAAATTGCACCAAAACGATCGTCAATTATGACGTAAAAGAAATATAAAATAAAAACACTTTCTCTTGAAAATGTATTAGGACCTCAAATTTGACAATTTGCGATGAATCACCCTATCTAAAGCTCTAATTAAGTATGTTCCTTTAGGACCTGGCTACTAATATTACTTGTTACTCGTACCTGACAATTGAAATTCACGCGAACAACTCAAGAAGCTAACACAGCTAAGGCTTGGGCATTTTTTTAGAATTGAATCGAAATCCGTTCGATGTCAAAAATAAGAGCTAATCATAAATAATATCCAACTATGAGTAGGTAACCGATTAAAAACTCCGCTGCCAAAACAAGAAAACGAATTCTGACTCGCCAATATACTATGGACGAAGAACAACTTCTTAATTCTTCGTTGAAACGATCTATCGTATCTACAAATAAACAATAGCTTTTTTTATACTCAAATAATGTACAATTTTTGTTAAATAGTGATGCACTGCACAAGGATCGCAATCTAAGCGCTGCGCCAAGAGTGCTCTCCAGAAAAAAAGAATTACATATTCAAGTACTTGGTTAATAAAATATTATTGATGAAAATCAACAGTATCAAATTATCTGGAAAATTATTTTCCTTAATTGAATTTCTTTTTATTAAAAATCTATTTTCTACTTTTGAAAATGCCTCTTTTTTGCACCATTAGAAAGCCTCGCAAAATGTGTAAGGTCCACGTGAAATTAAGGTCTTACGCCGACATCGATCGTAGAATTATAGGTAACCATGGACGCTGATAAAAAAATAAAATCGTATGCTTGAAAAAAACCACGGGAGAAACTTAAAGACGGGCGGTAGACGACACATTATAAACAAACAACGATAACTTTATCAGTAAAGCTGACCTCGGACGGAGGCGGGGCGCGCGTACGTTTACTTGTTTGTACATAATTTAATCAGTGACATGTGACAGATTTTAGTACGTCTATATTCTTTCACGGATATAGGTATTTTAAAATACCTATTCGAATTTTGTTTTGGATCCGAAATAATGTTTATTCATCATTATTAATAATAAGATAAGATTAATTTACGTCCGGTTGAAAAATAAAGGTTCTTTTAGTGCAATAGGTATGTGTATTTTGTTACCGATGGATAAAAAGTCACGTTCCATTTATTTCCACGTCTTCTATTGTTTTTTCGATAATAAATGGTCAATTACATCGAATGGGAACGGTGATTACATAGCCTAGACTTGCGTCAGTTGCCTTAGGCTTTAGATCTAATGGATTGAAGAAATTTGAACGAAAGAATGTGTGTCTTACAGCTTAGTTACAATTAGACAGGAAAACTTTTATTAAAACAAAAGTCTCCAACATTTATCTTATTTATATTGCTGTTTATTCACAATATATTTTTGTAATCAATAAATTAATATGTTGTATCAGTTCGTAAGGAGTGAATCGATGTGACGTTAGAGGTGTCCTTTTTGCTAAAGATACGATCACGAAATAATACTAAGGATAGTTTTATTATAAGTATGAAGGTTTCTTTATATTTTTGTCTTTTCTGTTGTTTAATGAATATTTGTTCATTTATCTGATAATCACAGAGCAGTAGTCAGAGCCTAGGTTGAAAAATATAAAAGGGAATGATATAATAATAAAAATGCAGCAAGGTAGCTGGCATTAGGTAAGTGGTTCATGCTGGTTCAGATGATAGATATCGTCGTGATGTATATGTAAATGATTTGGTTGCTATGGGGATTTTGTTCTGTATTCACTTAACAAAAAAAATTTATTTTTGATTATTTGTTGTTCCTAATTTGTGTTGTCTCACAACCTCATAATGTTCATGTATATGCTTAGATATATATAAAACTTCATTTACAAAAATGCTGCACTATAAATTATAAATCATTATAGTGCAGCATTTTATATTTAATATGATTTTCTGTAATGAAATGAATGACGTATAAATAATCCAATAACAAACTTGTGGGCGGATATAATTTAGTTCAATGTCACATTAACGTAATTCCCATCTGAATATTGGGCTTCGTTTCAGCAATTTTTCGAATGGAATTATTTGGCAATGTGTATGTACTACTGCTTCATACTGCCGCATTGTGAAATGACGTTTCTGATGTAGTAGCGAGCGTTTTCGAAACAACTCGTCATTGGCAACTGGCAACACTCGAAATATTATTTACTGTACGATTTATATGTAGCTCTCAGTTGCCAATCGTGTTGGAATATTTTTTTTCCAATAATCATTATATTAGGGAATATAGCTTCGTTGTGGATCAAATACGTACGGAATACGTGCTCAACGTGTCTTCTAATACGCGGAGGTGCTCGAGATAAATTTTTGGTCACCCATCCTGTGGCTAGACTTTGATAAAGTTACTCAAATTAATGAATACGTTATATTATGGTCACTTGCAATTAGTTGTATTGAAACACTTCTAATTTCATATTAAGTAATAGATAGGTTTACATGTTGGATTGATGATACTTTTATCACTAGGGTAATTTTTATCATAGGTGATTAAAGTAGCCTATATGTTAATCCAGGCTTCGTCAAAATTCATTCAATAGTTTTTGCATGAAGAAGTAACAAACGTACAAACTTTCACCTTATTAATATTAGTCGCATGACATTATATGTGTCAGCAATTTTATATAGTCTCATACATATCAAATTCGAACAGCGGTAGAGTTCAATAGAGGAATGACTTGTTTACTTTTATATTGAATCTGGACTGTGAAACATGAGAATCTTCTAACGTTCCACGGCCTGGATTCAATATAATCAAATATCTATTAAATAACAGTCAACATTACGTCAAGTTATAAAAAAGTGACAAATTTCTCCACTTGATAGGGTACAAAATCACTTGAGGAAGACAAATTGTGGTAAGCTGTACCTTAATACTGTCACTCACCTGCAGTGTACAATGGATTAGCGAACGTGACCACGAGGCCGGCTCGCATCGCTCCATGAATGAGCACAGCGAACTCTGGAATATTTGGCAGTATGAGGCCGATCCGTTCGCCTGGAGTCAGAGACAACGCGGCTAATAGAGCGGACGCGCATCGCTCTATCATCATCCGCATCATTCCATAGTCGTATGAACGACCGGAAATGCCGCATGTCTAAAAAAAGTAAATTGATAATTAATAAGCCGAAAAGTGAGAAAAAATCTATACTAATACATATCTATAAAGTTTGTTTGTAGGGAATAATCTTCGGAAATACTTATCCGGTCATGAAAATTATTTCACCTTCGGGAGCTATATCATAAAAAAGTGATAGAAAACAGATAGCTTATATTTGATAAATGTTAATTCATGATATTAATACTATTTTGATATCTCTTATACTAATAATTTCCCGCGACTCCGACCGCATAAATAACGCATATGACCCCCGCTTGTAATATAGCTTTTAAAATTAGTATAGAAAAACACTTCGTTAAATTAGCGAAAGGTAGATATATATTATAATCTTACCTCTTGGACGTGAAATATTTTCATTTTTAAGAGCATTTTTTGTTATAAGAAAGATATCAACGCTTTATTATGGGATTCTTTGTATGGGAACATAGTCCACAGCGTTTGGACTACAGACAAACCACAAAGAAAATTTGGATAGTTAAAACCATGCTAGTTTTTATTTGTACAGATGCTAAAATATTTTCAGGGGTGCGATCACCTAATTCTCTAGCCATTGGATGATCTCTAGGATAGGATCTTAGAGATTTTATGGTGATTTTTCGTTTCATTTTATTACTTTGATATGCCCATAAACGAATAATAATGAATGACAGTTATGGCATTTGACAGAAGTATTACTATTTTTTTACACATTCTGTTATATTTTGATGATATCAACTAACTAAGACACTCCTTATTAAATGTCATTATAGGTTTTGTAACTCTATACCTCGAATCAAAATTATCAATCAAATTCATGTCATCTATCTAAATATGTATGTAGATATGTATGCGTTTTCTTATCGTACCGATAACCAAACTTGAGGTATATGAAAATATTTCCATTCTCGGTAAAAACTATGAATGTAATGAGATTGCAACCTGAAATAATCGATTTCTTATCGTATCGTGTAGGGAAAGTAAGTATTATATCGCCACCATACCAACCTTCTTCAATATATTTATGAAGTTAATAAATCACAAATTAGGGTTTAAAATAAATTGGAAAACCTTGAGATTTTTAACCTGTATAAACGATAAAAGTAATCACAATAAAAATATCCTTTCGTTTAAAATAAATCTGTTATTCAACTGTTATTATTCTGTTATTCAGCTGTTATTCAACCTTTCGAATCAAAACAATAAGTTTTGAAGCAAGTAATCATTTACATAGCTAGTTTGGACGTTGTACTCGTCATATTTTATCAAGTGTATATCAATCACAAGAGCGCAACGAGATGACTAACACTTTTTACGGACTTTGTATTGTATTAAAATAGGATTGATGATTTTTTTTCATTCAAGAAAGTGTTATATGTATTAACAACTGACTTGCGACCGGATTTCTTTACCTGTAACTATACCGTTTGAGGCAAATTCATCTGACATTCTATTTTTTTACTAATGTTGTTATAATAAATGTCAGGAGTAATGAGTCTCCTCTGACCGGGGGCCCCTTCCAGCTGGGGGCCCGTGGCATTTTGCCGAATTGCCACCCTGTAGTTACGCCACTGGATATGAATCTCAAACTATACCATTAAATGTAAATTTGTCTTTTTTAGACTTATTCAAACTAAGAGATGTCTAAGAATTAAAAATTCTATCAAAGTTTTTATGCAAAAAAAAAACATTTATCGCTAATTAAAACATTAACTTTACGTGCTCCCGATTCGTTTATTAATGCAAGTTCGAAAAACGACACAATTTTGAGCGAAATCCTAAAATTTACAAATACTGAAACCTATTTTAAAAATAATTCCCCATAATTCAATATACCTACGTTTCAGAGGATTCCCCAAGCGTTATTATAACGATAATATGTTTTCCTCTACTTAAGATAAGGCTTTGATTCTCTCCTTCACGACAGTAGGTCAATGTGAAGCAGGTAAAGTATATACCATACATGGCACATTTTTTTTTATGAATCGACTTAGAGGTTTTAATTATACATACTTATAACCGTCTCTATAAACAAAGTAAAGAGGATTGATATTTTTCTACGGCTTCAAGGCAAATGGGACAGTAACCCTGCAATTTAACATAACAGGGGCACTTAATGTCTAATTAAACATTTTATTAATCGCCTAAAATTTCATTAGATACTAGATTATAGTTTATAATAGATAATATATACAGATGTAGATTATCCAAAAATATCAAATATCTACAAAAGTAGAATTCAAAATTGTATGCGAAATTTGTAATTGGTATGTGTATCAAATAAATGCAATAATTTGTATAATGTGGCATTTTGTTGTAACTTAATGTGCAGTCCTGTGTACCTACAATATAAAATATATCCGCTACTGCGGATAGGTTTTTAGATTTCTTAGTTACGTTATAAAGCATTCTTATTCATAAAACGATTACGTTGCATTCGTGATTGTCTTCGTGATAATTAATGTTATATGGTTGCTATCGGACAAATATTATATTACTTTATTACAATAACCTTTAATACAAAGTAATTAAACGGCTAAGCTGAATAAACTATAGATAAAACCAAGATAAAACTGTTATTGTTTAGACTTTTGACTTTGAATATATATCTATATATCATATCGCAATTACTCATATAAAATCAATCATTAACCGGAGGCAATGTTGGAAATATAAGTTAATTAGTTTTCCGCCAAATATCTCCAAAGTAGAAACGAAGGTTGGAATCAAGGAGAATATATACCTAGCTTGGAGTTATGTGTTGTATCCTAGCGATCGTCAAATCATGTTAAAAGACTCGGACTCGAACTCTGAGGTTTTTTCTAAACTACAAACTTCTTATTGGTGATTGAATCTGTAGGTAAAGAACTGTTATGTATTTTATTTTTCAATATCTCTTTAGGCCTTTAAATTCGTACCCGCAATTTAAACTTTGTTTTTCTTAAACTTAAAATTTATATATTTTAATATCAAAATATAATAAACCCTCAAATTTGATATATAAAATGGCATCTTAGAATATTTGTCGCAAAAAACAAAAAAAAATCATCATCATCAGCCCCTTTACGTTCCCACTGCTGGGGCTCAGACGGTTAGGCTGGGGCTGCTGGGGCTAAGATGAATGGACCTCTTTTGGCGGTTCAATATGAAAAAGAATATTTGTTTATTGCTTCATCCAAAAACCTTATCATCCATAAATGGTCCACAATTCCTTATATAGAATGCTACACGACTATCCTTATTAAGATCATCGATATGCACTATGCAACTGGCATATAAACGGAAGGACGGACAGATAAGAGAACCTACCCGTTTTATCCTTCTAAGTTACGGAATCGTAAAAATAATATATACTTACATAACATTTATTTACATCTGTTACTTATTGTTATAAGGTTCAAATAAGCGGAGAGTTATCATAAAATAATATACCTACTTGGTACTAAATAGATATGTATTTAAAAAAAAATTGTTCTACTTCTTTTAAGTCACAACACAGCAAATGAAGCTTTTCTATGCCGAGATATGTTTTAAATTAATCCCCGTATGCTTTTTCCCTATTTGAGAAGCCAGAGAGCAGGAATCTATACAAAGGTGGAAGACAGCCGGGCAATGAATTGCCCACAAGGCAAAAGGGGTGGTAAAATTAAGAATTCATGCATGGCTTATACCCAGTGGCATAAACGTCCATTAATTTAAAGAGACATTATCCATGCAAATTTTCAAATTTGTGCAACTCTGGGTATAAATATTATCAGTCTATCACCCAGAGTTGCCATCCCGGTTTGGCCGAATTAATAATAGGGACGAAAATATGCTATCTTTTACAACGAAAATGGAAACTCTGAATATGAATGCAGCAGCTATATAACAAGTTATAATACCGATACGGTAGACCTTCGCGTGTTCGGTACTGCGATCCATTTTGCATTAGAATCTACACGATATGAGTATTTACACCTACAATATGATACTCAACTATCTATAGAGATGTATAACAGCTGGCAATTGACAATATTGTTCAATGCGTGTTTCAACCTCAACCTTCATGTGCAGCGTCCCAGACTATTTATAAAGTACACAACAAAACTGTATCTGAACACGGACCTTTGTACTGGGAACTATAACGAGTTATATATAACCAATAGTTCCTAATGAACCGTTCTAAATTGATGTAGGTAGGTACCGGCGTCATCGTAGTTTGTTGTGTTTTTATCTGTTTCGATATGGTTGCTTGCATTGTAATTGGTGATACGAAAAAGTTTAGGACTTTGGACGTTTCATTGCTTGCGGGTCAAATTAGATAAAATATATTTTTTTTTGCATTAATTAAGAAGTTTTAAATGTACTCTCTTTGAATCGAAATCACTACGTATAAATACGAAAAATATTAAAATATCGCCCGTATGTCCCTACCGATTCGAAGTTTCTCTTTCTCTCATATATCATGGGTGTTAAAGTTTTTTAATAATTTCTCGGACAGTCGCTAATTCCGTGGAAATCTGGCATTATCACTTAATTTTAATTATTAGGTTTTCCAGAAAGACGATTCAAAACGTATGCTTAAATCTAAGGTATGTCATTCTTCTATGTGACATTTGTTTACTAATAATAGTTGTGAATGAGAAAAAGTCAAAATTATAGGTATTTCTTTTTTTTTACATAAACTACTCATTGTATAACACAACCGAAATGTTGTGTTTTTACCGAATTTTTCAATCTTGATGCTCTATATGAAATGAAACATTGAGAAAAAAGCCCTTGCCGAGTTTCTTGGCGGTTCTTCGCGGTACAAGGTCTCTCTCCGTAGATTTACGAACCGATGGAGTAACTCTACCTTCACGAATGCTTGTAACAGCTTAGACTGAATAATTGTTTTTGATTTTGGTTGTCAAAGAACATGAAATGTGACAATCAACATCTACTACATCAGTGATACTTGTGAAGACAACAACTTAATTAAGACAGAAAGTTTCACAGTTCTTTAATTCACAAAGTGAATAAATAAACTGTGAAAGCGTCACGATGTGGCACATTATTTAACGAAATCAAACCTAACATCAAAACTGGTAAATGCAAAACGAGAATAATCGTCACTTAATCAAGACATCTGCACTATTTGTAATATTATATTACAAGCCTTTTAAGGTTGGGGTAAAATCAGTTTCCTAAATGAAAAGGTTTGGAACCAGTGGAACAAATCAGGAACATTTCTTGCGGCAGAAACGACTGTATCTTAAAATAAAAGTTAATACTTGTAGGAACCAATTAATTTTTAATAAATAAATAATATATTGAAATAAAAATTTCAGTGGTGCTTTAATGACTTTTTTTTTTGTAGCTTTTAGCTCTTCTGTCCCTTAAAGTTGCCGCCCTAAGCAAGACTGCGTAATTAGTCATGACAGTATGTCCCTACAACCCCAAAAGTTAGAAAATGACAACATTTTTTCGTTATAATTCTAATAATGCCGATATTAGATACCTATACCATTAAAAAATCAGCAACTCTCAAAAGAAAAAACATTTCATTTTACTTATATAGAAAAATACATAATTACACTTATTTTATGTTCAATTTGCTCCATATAATTTATTTTATCTAAGACATACTATTTGCTAAGTGCTGATAAAAAGTAAACATTTGTTTTAGTTTACTTGGGCATGACGTATATCATGCATGACTAAATGCAATTCCAACTTTATCGCTTATATTTCATTCCTACCAAATTGTCATGAAACTATTATAATCAACATTATAATGTCTGCTGGGGCACGGGCCTTCCCAGTGGATGGCGTTCAATCGAACTGGGAGAATAGGTTTGACCTACCGGCCAAGCAGAGTGAATTGATGGGTGTTAACGTCTGCAGGTGCAGCCAGGACCAATGCCTTAACTTGCCTTCCGAAGCACGGAGGACTACAAGATAATAATTATGTAATAATAATAAATATCTTATCAATCAGTCATTTATGCATAGTGCATAAAATATGGTACATCCTTAATATACAAGATGAACTTCCGCGTCGCAAACCGAACGCACTAACCACTACGCTATCGAGGTATAATTTCTGAATATTTTGTTGTTGTGGAATAAGAAAGAATATAATTTCATCCACAAATATTTAGGACAATCACCCTGCCGTTATCGAAGCGGCAGATGGGACATTATATTGGTATAATGTTCCCTAATGTAAGCGGGAGTCCCCAGCTGCATTAGGGGACATCTCCAACTACTGGTTGCATGTCAAAGATTTATATTTATAAATTTAATTTGAAACACAAAAATTTGTTTTTTTTTAACTTAACTTTGTTAACATTGTTAGAACTTAACTACGTTAAAGACTTTAAAAAAATTAGAGGAATTTAGAATGAACCCATGTTAAAAAAAATATGATTATCCATGATCATGATAATAATAAAAAAAAGGCAAATATATTGCGATATGTAGACACTAACATTATTTATTTTTACAATATAAGTTTCTTAGTAGATATCAATCATGTGGTCATAGAAGAACAAGCTAGGATAATTTTATTTTATTCGTCGTCGCCTAGGTAAAAGATTTCATTAAAAAATGATAAAAAAATATATAAACTACTTACCAATGAGGGTTGGTCTGCCCATAACTCCAAGTCGGAAAAAACGTGATCAGTCAATGTTTCATTATTAACTTGGATATCGCCCCATGGCGAAGACAGATCCTTGATATCCAAATTAGGCGCAGTCTGTGTGGCTAGAGATCTCACGAAATGTTGACAGAATACTCGATTCGCCTTCAATTTTTTTTCCGTTCCATTTTTCACATAGTAAAATAGTTGGCGCGAAAAATTACCGCGCAAAACTTTTAAATTGGACGTCATGTTTACGCTCGCGCTGTGTTTGCCCGCGAAACGTTAGATCTGTAATGTGGGCGCACGCGCGCATATTACCGAGTTTTGGCGCGTTTACAACAACGTCTAGTCGCGTTGAAGGGGCAAAGTCCAATAGTTTATTTATCCAAGCATTCCTCATAAAACATTGATATCGTTACACGTAAAAATCGAGGAAATCACACAGTATGAAACTGTCACAGTAGTGGAAAAGAAAATAATGTATTTATCTATTTAAAAAAGGAACATTTTGAATAATTTTGAATGGAATGAATCGTCTTAGTTGTTTGTTATCCTGTAGAAATGTCTGATCAGCAATAAGATTACAATATATTTTCGATATCATTTTAATGAATTTTCTCATTCATAGACGGTTCTGTTTTTGAAAAAAATAAAAATAAAACATAACGTCCATAACGTAATAAAACTAGAAACTTGGTTGTCTACTAAATACAAGTATATTCTAATAGGTAAGTTAATGGAGACTATTTATATATGACATTAGTTATGGCTTATTAAGCTTTTTTTCGTTTTTAGTATGAATAACTTAATCCATCTATCTTCGGGAGGTTAATATTGCTTTTTTTTCCTCAGCAGATATATAGCCTTTTACCTTTTTCTTTATTTACACAACTGCACTCAACAAGTTTTTAGATATATATATAACCGGTAGTTATGGTGCGCACGAAAACATTGAGACACTATTTTAAGTTGCACGCATTTCCAACACTGTCTCTCACTAACGAGGTCTTATTACGAAATCTGACCAGTTATATGCGGGCATATTATTTTTCAATTACAAGCATTTTCTCCCCTCATCATTTTACTGGAAACTCATAACTTTGCTTTATTTATACCTACATAATAATACGAACCTACTGACTAAAAATCTTAATAATTTGCCGGGGCGTTTACATATAGGCACACGTCATAAATAGGTAAGCATCCATTTGACGTGTCTGTGACAATATGATAATAAATTAGGTAGGTAAATAACTAGTAAAATACCTATTTACTATACATTAAAAAACACATATTAATTTGACTTTCGAACATTAGCTTCTACGATAAAAAATAGACTGTATGATTTTTATTTAGAAAGAATTTTTTTGTTTTGAAAATGGAGTGGGGCACTTAAAGAAAAGGATTGCTGTAATTGCATGTACAAAGAAATTATCCTTAATTCCTTTGCCAGCCGACATTTTTGATACATTGAAAAAGTTAGGAATTAGCCGAATTTTTGTGTATCGTACCATCCACACTGAAACCATGTCTGTTGATGACCGTGAGAGATCCGGCCAACCGAAAATTTGAAATGTTGTAACCTGACTTGCAGTCGTGTGTACATAATGACAAGGGAAATATAGTCACGCTCACGCGCAACTAATTTGAACTTCATACAGCTGTCACCGACTTAGAATGTATGCATTCAACGTTCATTTAAACATGAATCTTTACGTAATTTGATTATACGCTTGGTATAAACGCCCAAAATCAAAACTGATTGAGACCAACTTCAAAGTGAGTTTTGTATAAAGAAGTAAGTAACATGCAGCAAATAAGCTGTAGGTAATTAAAAATGAGAAAATAGCACGAGTTAGGTGCCCCTAAAATTCACTACGGTGTCCAATTTTCGTTGTAATTAAACTAAATAGTTCCTATATTGTATTCAAACCAAAAAGGATAAAGTTCTAACTTCTTTAGCTATAACTCTAGTCATGGATACGACATCTTAGATTTGTTATAGAGCTATTTTGTTTCATTTTACTACTTGGATATGTACTTTCATAACGAATGATAAAAAATAATGAATATGGATTAGACAGCAGTGTTTGAAACTAAGTCATTTTCAAAAATTTATCTATCACAAGACATGTCAAAGTAGTAAAATAAAACAAAATGTCTTCACAATATTAGCTAATATGTTTTATCATACGGCTGGAGAAATGATTAGAGTTGGATGGTCGCACTCCTGCACGTGTAGCATAACGAAATCGAGCATCAAACCTTATTTTTAACGAGTCGAGAGTGAGGTATCGCATGGGCGCACACACGCACGGGAAATATGACATGGACAGAGACTAATCTTCTAAACCTCTAGTATTTACTCGTTTAACTTGTGTTACAAACCGTAATAAAAGGGCCGTCGCAGATGGCGGCCCTATTGTTCTCTATTGCACAATTAATTAAATACAGCCTTGATTCTTAATTAAACGTACTAAGATGTCATTGTCGATCTACATAGATATGGTGTAGGTTAACGTAGCAAAACTTAACGTATTATTTTTCAACTTTTGCTGCAAGCTGCTCTTCAGCTTCGGTCGATTGGCACATAGGTTTTTCATTAAACATCGAAGACTAATCCAAACGAGCTCGAAGTTCGACTGTCCATTGCGAAAGTTTCATAACAAACATATCGCAAACCGATCGCACAAACCAGTGTGCTATCGAGCTCCTTTATCCATCATCACCCTAGTAATGCCTGCTGGGGCACAGGCAGATTTATTATCTCGAACTCACTGTGAACGAAATCAAACAAGACGATACCATTTTGCAGAATTTACCATTCGGATCCGGATTGTTGGATGTTAACGCCAACAGATGTAGCCGAAACCACGTCCGTAACGTACCTTCCGAAGCGCAGAGAAACTCGTGATGATAAATTTTTGATCACCCATCCTATGACCAGCCCTAGCAAAAGTTGCTTAACTTTCGCGTCAAATCTAACGTTTAAGTCACTGCGCGCCATCGATTTATCGAAATTGCATTACCAACGCAATTTTCATTCAATGCCGGTTCTAAAAATTTAATAATTCTATTTTACCATGTTTTAATACCTATATTAGATTAAGTTTCGCTGCAACATCGTCCGTATAAATTAAAGCTTGTTACCTGTGGGTGAAAGAAATTTTAAGGTCGGTCAGTTTCTAGTTTCTAGCAAATTCTTTGCAAAAAACAAACAATTAAATCTTTCCTGTTTACAATATTAGTCAAGATATCATATCCATTGCTCAGATCCCAAATTAAGTAGATGTATGTACTTGTATTATGAAAAAAAGATACCACAAAACCCAGATGGTCCCGTAGAAAAGTGTATTTTCTACGGGACCAACGTCACTATCTTATAAAAGTATTTAAATAATTATCTATTTTCTCACTTCAAGTCGCCGTTTTCCCGCGGCATTGCGTGCATAAACTATAGCTTATGTCACCCGCGTATGATGTTAGTTCCCGTAGTTGAAATAATGTTGAAAATGAAAAGAAATTTAAAAATAAAAAGAAAGCACCAAAAAAGCATCTCACTAGATGGCGACTCTTGCAAAAGTTGATTTTTGCAGGAAACGAATGGACCAAAGAAAGTCATTTCCGTTCCTTTTAACTAACATATTAAAAAAACTGAAATTTGCAAAGTTCAAAACTTAGATATTATTACAAATACGAAAAAGATCAAATAGAATACGAAATGTTCATTGAGTTTTGAAAACTAATTTACTTTTTAAAGAAAACCGAAAGGTTTGTCATGGAAAAATCAAGAAAGTACCGTAGCGCCATCTAGTTTGATTACGGAAACTAATGTTTTTTTTAAATACTTCATTCGGTTTTTAGAGCTTATTCAATGCAAACAAATAATAAGCATTATAGAAAATAAAAGAAAATCGTAACAGCAACCATTTTATTTAATTTCATTGCATAAAATAAATATTATCTAACCCCGTACACACCTAATGTAACTTGTGAATTGTAACACCACAATTTTGTGTCATTATTATAACTAAAATTACATCGACCTATATACACAAATATAACAAAACTTCGTGAAACATTTAATATGCCTTTAATTTGTATACACAGCAACATCTCAGGTACTACCAAATAAAATTTTTCAACCGATTTTAATCCTCACGTGTTTAAGTTTAAAACAAATCGAATAAAATTCTGAAGAGTTATGGATAACACATTCAGTCACACCATGTGTAAAGCATTTTTTCAATGATAAATATTAACTTTATTTGATTTTTCATTACCGAATTATCCTAATATATTACATAATTACACAGGCAGTACAATCAGCGTCATATAAATCGAAGCATGTAAATCAATGAAATCTGATGAACGGTTATTCTTGTACCTACTAAAGTGGCCAAAACATATTATCAGCATTTACCATTAATATATTATTTGTCAAAATGTCCACAAAATTATGTGCGAACAAAGAGGTGATAGTAGTATTATATATGTAGTTGAAGATTGTATAGTTTTCAACTTCAACTACGGGCACTAAGGTTGATTTTTCAATGACATTGAAACTTTTTTGACACTCGCTGTATTCAAACCGGTAAACATACATATTAATAAATATAGAGACAGTATAATTTGATTATTATGTAACTAAAATTTGAATTTTTGAAGGCTCCAAAGAATATGTCCGTAATTGAACGCTCATCACTTGACTGCTTTAGACGCTTCGATCAATTTTGCATTGTATCTTATTTCTATAGAATTCAACAATTTAAACTGTCAAAACACTTTGTCTAGTTTGTTTGGTTCTTATTAGCACATCTACTGTCCAAACATAAAGAGGTCATAACATAATACTCTATTTAAAATTATGTAGAAAATGATAAAACGTTTGAGCCGACCAGACTTTTAGCACCCCTGGCGATTAATAAATAATAAATATCTATTAAAAATACCACGTGATAGGTAAGTCTAAAACAAGTTTATATTGAAAACATATTGATCCCATTTTGATTATTTAAAATACGACTTCAAAGGCTCCCATACACTTTCCATATAAATTAAATCATTCACATAACAAAGAAAATGAAAAACATTTTAAAACAATTAAAAGAAAAACGATATATAGTTCTCGTTACAGTCACTCAGTGAATGAGAGCCCAAGACTTTTAAGAGGTCTTATGTAAATCCCTTTTTTCTCTAGATTTGGAAGTGAACGTTTGATGTGTGATTAGTTCTCTAAAGAACCCGCCCTCTTTCGCCATCAATTCTGGATACGTCCCTTTCTCTATGACGACGCCATTTTCTAGTACTGCCACTTCGTCGGCCGACTGTATTGTACTGAGTCGATGCGCAATAGTTAAGACCGTACGATCCTTACTGATTTCCTTCAAAGCTTTATCTACTAAATACTCTGAATATGCATCGAGAGCTGACGTCGCTTCGTCTAGAATCAGGATTTTTGGGTTCTGCAACAAAACGTTTTTTAAATAAGGCGCTTATTAGAAATTAAAAGAGAGATATTAGCATTGGAAATTTTAATTTAAACGAAAATGACATGACCGGATTCTATAGGCAGGAACCCATAGAAAATCAATTAAAAAATGTAGCAATTATCAATTTGTATATAACGGCGGGTAGTCAAAAGGCGCTATTACGAAGCCCAAATAGATGGTCCATATCGGAGGACTATCTTTAAAATAACACTGCAGGCGTGTATACCAACGTGAATTTGTTACATTTTATCACTTTTCACACGAAAATATAACGAGATGAGCGTGATGTCGTCGGATGTCTTTACTCCTCGGCGATCGGAAACAGAATGTATGTCAAAATGGCGGCAACTTGGTTTTTATAAACGAACTGTCAAAGTCAGTGTCACCATTCTAATAAAATTAAAGGTATCGATGATCACGCTCTCTCTACAATCGAGTAATTAAGTAATCGAGTAAGTAGCAATTAAAATAAAAGAAACTAAATCAAACGATGATGATGCGACATATATAATACATTTAAAATAAAATATATGGTCCCGCCTACCACAATGAGGAGTATTTATAAAAAAAAAAGAAAGCACTAAAAAAGCACCTCCACTGATTTTTGCAGGAAACGACTGGACCAAAGACAGTCATTTCCGTTCCTATTAACTTACATATTAAAAAACTGAAATTTGAAAAGTTCGAAACTTAGATAACAATACGAATACGAAAAAGTACAAATAGAATATGAGTTGTTTATTGAGTTTTAAAAATTAATTTAAGCGTTGGTATTACGCAACGCAAATTATAAACACAACTACTAGATTAAATAGAAAAATACAGCTATCTAAATCGTATTGTTGTGGTAAATAAAAAAAATAATAATTATTTTATGATTATCACAATAAAAATACATTTATCGAGTTGCAGAGCCGTGCAAAGAAACAACGTTTTGTTAGCAATATTATGTTTAGACGAGTGTATACGAATATTGTAATTGGCATTTTGCAAAAAGATTAGATGTTCTTTCTAGGTTACTATATTACTTTACTCTTTGATATTTTGTTTTGATTTAACGTAAATACCTGTGTCGCGTATTGGAGAGTCTTTTTCATCACATCTGGTGTACTTAACATCATATACTTACATATAATGTAACACCTAGACATATTTTTATATATATTTACCTAATTATTAAAATATCTGGATAATAGAAATGTTGAAGTATTATTTCTTTTAACATTGTTATGATGCCCCTCGCTTCTTTTTCAATTATATAATTTGTGATATTGCAAAGCTTTAATATAACCCACAGTATGTCAATATACATGAATATTTTTCTGGGCACAGCTCTATACGAATTCCGGCCATTTATGTTCAACAGTGCACTTTCTGTTCTTGTCGCACTTGTGGAACGCTTACGATTTGGTACATTATGACTTCATAGTTTGATATATCTATGCTGTCTAATTGAAATTTAAAATTATAATTTGTTCGTAATTCTTTAATTTATTAATTTAATTACTTAATAATAATATACAGACTCTTCGCATCAATGAAACATGATTCTACAAATCATGTGTAGTGCTATTTATCTTAACATTAATTAAAGTAATTATCGGTTATCTAATCACTGGACACAAACCGGTTGTTTATATTACAGCTTTTACCTCAACCATCGAGTAATTTGTGCCTGAACATAACTTTACTCTTTGTCATGTTTATTTAAACAGTAATTTATCACGGGTCGAAAAATCTCAAATAACAATGAATATTATGAACTTTATTTTCTAATAATTAAGGTTGACAGTCAAGGTTTCTTTAATTTTGACTGATTAGAGATTGCGTTTTCTGTTAAAATTTGATGTTCCATTGTTTACAAATTACTGTATACTTTTACGGTGATGTTTTGAACTTAAAACGCAAATTTATCTTAGATTTGAAAAGGCAAATAGATTTCACTGCGACACGAAAGCCTTAATTAGCTGTAGTGAGATAACGCATAGACAGCAAACGAAAATAAATACATTTTTTCCTGGTAATGTTTAATATACTATTACCGATAACCACACTTTTATGCTTATTATCCTATTAATATTATAGATGTGAAAGTTTCTTTGTTTGGATTTTTGTCTGTCATCACGCCAAAACTACAGAACGGATTTTGATGAAATTTGGTATACAGATAAGGTATTACCTGGCTAGGATAATAGGATACTTGTTATCCCACTAAACATTTCCCTAGGGACCATGCGGGCGAAGCCGCTGGCGAAAGCTAGTTTATAATATTGTTTAAATTAATATGTAAAAGTAAATAATTTATACTCATTGAAACATGACTTCACGCCTCTCTGACTCGTATCAGAACTTAGAGAGACAGAACTTAAAGAATTAAACCTTATGCACAAATACACAATTAGTTTTAGAGGAGCGTGACGTCATAGCAACGCCATAACAGAAGTAGACCCGCCATTTCCAAATTAAGTGAGCTCATTAAGCAATAACTTTTCCAATGTCTTTTGCCACAACTTATAAATATGATCTATATAATATAAAATCCGGCTTGAAGTGGCTTGAAGCTTGAACCTTAGGATAAAACTTTTTGTTTGTTTTTTTTTTGGATTTCACTTATCAAAAAAATACCGAGCGAAGCAACAGGTACTTTTACCTGATTCTCTAATTTTAAAATCTATCACGAACCCTTTCAAACGGCTGCGATAGTGATTCATGGAATTGTGTCACTTTTAAAGTCACAATCGCTCCTGGTACGAATAATATAAATGTCGTAGAAAATTCATTTATTTTAAATTTTCCAATAGCCTTCAAAGATATTTGTAACTATCACTTTGCTTAGACAAATCTGATTAACGTCAAATCGCTCACTGAATACTACAGTGGCACAACTCAAAAACCATAGATAATTTAAAGAAAAAATAAAAAACTTAAAAGTAATAATATAATACAAACGATTTTACTGTTATGCTAAAAAAAAAGATTTTCATATTTATAAATATATTAAATTTTCATAACTTCGGAGAGAGTTTCTCGAAATATGGTTTTTGAGTTATGCCACTATAGTTTCTCGAAATATGGTTTTTGAGTTACGCCACTATAGTTTCTCGAAATATGGTTTTTGAGTTACGCCACTATAGTTTCTCGAAATATGGTTTTTGGGTTATGCCACTATAGTTTCTCGAAATATGGTTTTTGAGTTATGCCACTATAGTATTCAGTGAGCGAAATAAACGTTATCGTTCATCCAATATTTTCCAAAAAATACGTTGCAATCTCAATCGCTGTAACATATAAAATAGTTGGTATAATGTGAATGTTGGTATATGAAATATATCGTGAATATACAGTAAAACCCGTTTAAGACGATTTCACAGGGACTCAACCAAAAACGCGTCTTAGGCGGGAAAGCGTATTATGCGGCATATAGGGAAATAAAAAACGGACCTACTACATATGTATGTATTAATATTTATTATGTTTTTTTTTGACGAAGGTACTGAATTGTACATTTAAAAATTATGTACTTTATATAAAATGTCATGTATTACTATCACGTTATTTAAAATAATCACTTATTTTAGTCTGACAGAAAGATTTTGAGGCATTAGCAATTACAATATTTTCAATGTAATTTTACTTTTGTAGTAAGTCTTCGCTTTGATTCAAAGAAGTTACATTGCGTCTTAAATCATTAACTGCTGATAAAGCCTGGGCGTGTGTCAAAATCGGAGTTGACTCATCTTCTTGATCATTATCACTTTGAGTGTCTTCTTGTGTGTTATTCACACTCTCAATAAGAAAGCGTATTAAACGGGATGACGATCGTATTAGGCGTTAAAGAATGTATGAAAACACGTCTCAAGTTGCAGAGACTGATGCAAAATGGCGTATTATGCGAGAAATCGTATTAAGCGTGATCGTCTTAAACGGGTTCTACTGTATTTCAAACGTAAAATTCAAAGTGATCGTGATGGTAATTTTAAAATTAAACAACTGGGCCTATTTGTGTTTAAAAATATTAAGTGGGACCCGAGGGGGCAGTGTCATGACAGAACAATGTTTGGGAGTGGACTAGATTATAACAAGTCGTTTGTTGTCGTTTATTAGTCCCATGAATTGCTAATGCGCTGGAACCTTGTCTAAATAACATCCGAGTGACGTCATATAAAAATAGAAAGTATAGATAGCACAAAATGCAAGAGGTAAATTATTTATTGATTATTGGAATATTTAAGAATGATCTCCAAAATATTGTTTTAGTAATTTAAAAAATATTAGCTTGTTGCATGAATTTTCGGAAAGCATTGAGATATATGGAAAATAAAAAAATATGAAATAACGCGATAACAAACTGGACGGATATTTATTTTAAATAAAACCAAACGTTATAATGAATTGAGAGACATTAGATATATGTATAATTAGTGAAATTATATTTAGTTGCTGTAAAAATAATAATAGCATTTATTATTTTAGTCGATCATAACAAATAACAACAAAATTTAACTATAAAATTGTTTATTTGTTAACGGTACTGATTCACACCTTGGAGACCTGCAGGCAGGCAAAACTCGCACTACCCCGAGTAAACGCTCGTCTCTCCAAGGCCCTTCTACAGCTAAGTAAACCATTATTGCGCCTGGTAACAGGTGCTATCACTGATCATGGCAATTTTAACAGGCACCTTTTTAATCTAGGTGTCACTGACAGCCCCTTGTGCAGAGGATGCATGAGGGCAGAAGAAACAGCCGCTCACGTCTTGCTGGAATGCAACGGAGTGGCCAGTTACCGGGCAAAGCACCTCGGCTCGCCGGGTAACCTCCAGGAGGCCATCGCAAACGTGAAGGCGCTAGGAGCGTTTCTGGCAGAGCTGGGTTGGCTGGAGAAGTATCCAGCCACACACCCTCCATACGCAAAACAGGCGCAATCTTGACGTCGAGTTGCGGAGACGCCCGTTGGAAGAAGAAGAAGAAGAAGAACGGTACTGATTGTTGAAAGCAATTACGTCACCAAAATTGCGCCCATAGAATATACATGAAATGTATTTAAAAAAAGTTATTAATATAATAAGTTAAAATAAATAAAAGTAATTTTCAAAATTTCCCGCGCAGACGCCAACTTCTGTCATGGCGTCGCTTGACTCTCTAACACCTTTAAAACTAATATTGTTCTATGCATAAGGTTTAATTCTCTAAGTTCTGATATGAGTAAGATGGGCGTGACGATACGCTGTTTGCGGTCACGTGACAACTAGTATGAAACATTTGTTTTTTTTTTCATAATCAACTTAATATTATAAATGTAATAAACATAAAAGAGTTATTATCGGTAATAATAATCTTTATTGACTATTTAAACGATACAACGAATTTTTACACCAATGATTCTTATAACATTATTTAATTAATATCTATTAATCATCTGTAGCTGAACTTGGTCAGCATACAGCGCCTCTGTCCTCAGAAAATATCGACACTGGAAAGCAAACACGTAGTAAACCGCAAAACCAAAATTGTTCTTCAGAACTTTCTTTATCTTTATTTTAATAATTTCTATAAACGTCCATGGTTACAAATAAGGTGTTCCTCAGTCAATATATACGGAAATAAGAGATTTTTTTAAATGTAAAGATCTTCCACTCTAAATATCCATTTTGGTTTTGCAGGTTACTTGCTTTCCAGCGTCGATATGTAATAAAAAAAATAGTATATTAATAACTGTCAGAAATGTATATTTATTATGTATTTATTTTCGTTTAGTTCGTACTTTAGTTTTGTCCATTTGTGTACAATAAAGATTCATTCATTCATCCACTCATTCACCCATATTTGCTAGGACTATACCTTGACGATGGCCCGCGCGATGGCGACGCGCTGCTTCTGGCCGCCGCTGAGCATGGAGCCGCGCGCGCCCACGCGCCGCTGCCAGCCCCCCGCGCCGCCCCCGCCCCCGCCCCCCGCCACCATGTCGTGCAGGTGGGCGGTGCGCGCCGCCGACACCCACGCCGGCTCCTTCTACCACACACGCGCACGCCAGGGTTAACCTTTACGACATCTGTGAAACTATGCGTGCGATGACAGGGTTGATGACGCGGCGAGAGAACGAGCCCAAATACAGTCGATTGCGAAACCATACTGACAAGAACGCAGCTATTTCATCGAGCTAATAAGAGAGCGAGACAAAGCACATGCGAAACGTTGCCATACAACTGACAAAATTTCGCAAATGTTTTGCATTCGCATGCGATTGCGTCGGTGTACTGACGGCGTTACCCTATCCTTTTTTAGAGTTACAAACAAATACGAACACACGGCAAATATTTCGACTTTCAAAAGTGCTTGTAACAGCCTAGCCTGATTAATAGGATTAAACTAATTTTTAACTTCATAAGAAGTAACACAACAATGAAATATAATATCTCAAACAGTTTGTCTGTTTGCATTTGATAGAATCTGAAGTTAATGCACCTATTTCAAAAATTCTTCTACTTAAGTTACATTAAAAATTATACGCGGGTGACGTAAGCTATAATTTATATAGACATAAACCTAATATATTGAAAAGTAAATTATTAATACTCTCTTCACTCCGCATCATCCGTCTCTATTTATCTAGTTGACTGGTCACCTAATTTCATTTCATTTTCAACACCATAGGTTCGGGAATCTAAAAAACGAAATCTCAGAAGAACCGTTGAAACTCAGCAGCAACTGCTTTTTGACCCGACTACGCGACACAAAGGAGGGTAATTATCAAAATGAAAAAAAACGATGAGCTATGTCAAGTGGGGTGTCGTTGAATAGGTATTTTAAAATCATCTTTAGGTTCCTTTTATCATTTTTCATTTTAAATAATAGTTTAGGATATATATCGATTTAAAATTGTTTAACAAAACAATTATTCTCACTAATTTTGTTACTTATTGATTTTAGTTTTTATTTAAAGTATAAACGATATACAAACAATAAAAAAAACAGTGAAGAAGCACAAAGAACAAATAATTTTAGTAAAAAAAAAACTTTTATTCATGGCCAAGTGTCAAGCATATGTAGCTTTAGCCGAGTTAGGTCTCTAGAGGGACTAATCATCAGTAGTTTAGACCACCGCAAGCACGATATTAACTCGCTAAATGAAATGACTAGATTGCGAAATTTACCATCTTATAACGACGTCAACGGATCGTAACTAAAAAGTATAAAATAAAAATAAATAATTTAAAGAAGAAAAAAAACCCGACAGCGTAATTTTTTTTTTTAAATACATGAATAAATTAACTTAAATAAAAATTAAAAAGAAAGATACAAGCCCAGTAGTTTAGAATTCTGTTAAGTAATATAATGACTACACAATTGAAATAATATTTTTTCATATATTTTTTAAAATTTGTTTTTACGCAGTCGGGTTTTTTGTTTTTCTTTAAATTATTTATTTTTCCCCCACTTCTAATCCATACTCAAAAATCGAATTAAGAAAGGCCTTGGGCTGCGAACGTGCCAATGCGACATTGTAAAATTACTTATAAATACATACTTACATTTGCAATGCAATTAGCATTTTTATCTTTAACAGATAATTTACGAAATGTGCAGAACAGAGATATAAAATTAAATAGTCCATATCAGATTATTTACACAGTCGGCATCAATTCAAAATCAATAATCAATTATAAACTAAAATTAACGAAATTACCAATAACAAGTTAATCAACGTACGGCCTTCCGACGTAATGGCGGAGTTTCACCTCCAATAAATGCATTGTATTATATGTTCTTATTTAATTAAAAACTTACTAATTATTTATGTAGTATTTTTTCACTTTACCCTACTAAATACCTAAAGAGATTTACCACGAATTACAAAAACATATATACAACATACACTCCAAATAAATAAATACCAATATTTTATAAGATAAGAGGTAATGCGTCTAGCTTTGTTTGTTTGTTGGTGGTAATCTACAGAAACACAGATCCGACCAGAAAAATTCTTATACTTACGACAAGCTATTCAAATTCGGGTGACATTGGCTATAATTTCCAGCGTTTACCACCCAGTTATAAATATTTATTTAGAATGTTAATTTTACCTTCTTATCTTCCTCTTCTGTATCATGATCATCGCATATACCATACAAAATATTTTCTTTTATTGACCCATTGAACAGAACTGGTTCCTGCAATGTGTTAATTAAACATTATAAAGACGAAAACATTACAGACACAAATTTTCTACTGAGCAGAATTTCTGTTGTCGATCTCGTCAAAGAGTATTAAAAGTGAAAATCGGACGGTAATCCGATTTAAAATATGTTTTAATCTTTCATTCATATTTTATTTGCATAATTGGCATACCTGACTAACGTAACCAATGTGACTTCTCAACCATACAGGATCTAATTCTCTGATGTCCACACCATCCAATGTTATTCTTCCCTTTTCTGGATCGTAAAGGCGCAATATGAGAGATGCTATGGTACTCTTACCACAGCCCGATCGACCCACCAGAGCTACCGATTTACCAGGAAGGAGATGCAAATTTAACCCTTTAATAAGAGGTGCTCCTCCATAACAGTACCACACATTGTCTAAGATTATCTCACCCTTAGGCCTCTCTTTTGGTCTTAGACCACCTAAAATAAAACATTTTAAATTGTACATTTTTCAGTAATGCTAACCATAGCCAATTAAGAAAACAAACGTCATAATAAGAACTGAAAAGGAAATGCAGCAATGCCATTTAAACGATACAAAAATTAATGCCATTTAATTATGGCCTTACAAAATCTATGGCTATTCTTAGATGTAAAAGAAAGTTGACTAAGTACACACAAAAACATCTTTAGTTACTGCAAAACGAACTTTACCTCTAATTTCTTTGGGTTTAAAATCAGTTTAAGAATTTTTATTGTTTTATTTAACTAGAATTTGTTTCAATGGATCCCACCTGTGACTGGTATACTAGGTTCCCTGTCTATGATCTCCCATAGCCTCGTGGCAGCCCCCACTCCCTTGTTCAGCTGCGTATAAAAGTTGCTCAAACCACCGATGCTGATTCCGACGTACGCCGCGTACAGCAGGAACGAGGTCAGATTGCCTACAGACAATTGCTCGGTAGCAACCATACCGCCACCATAGTATAACACTAATATGATGATTATGTTACCCGATAGGCCAGTCTGGAATACCAATCAATCAGCAATTTTATGCAAGAATTATTTTGCATGAGCTCTCACTCTACAAACGAGATTTTTTGTGAAAGAAAGAGATACAAAATATTATAAGTTTACATAGAAATATTGCCAGCCAATGTTAAAAGATGAAATAAAAAATAAGAGTAAAACAGATATAACCATAACTCACCATTCCATAAAAACTTCCAACAGCCAATGATTCTTTGTAGGCGAGTTTCAATATGTTTTCTATTCGCTTTGCATAAGCTTCACATTCTTGCTTCTCTTTGCTAAAAGCTTTTACAGTCTTTATGTTTGAAATTTTTTCTTCAGCCAACTATAAAATAAATCTGATTAAAGATTGAATAAAACTATAGTATGTTAGTATTTTAATATATATATATATTCCCGCGACTTTGCTCGCGAAAATTATAACATATGTCATTCGCGTATAATGAAGCTAGTAGTATGACAGAATTCTTAAAATTGGTCAAGTAACCTTCCCTCTTTATATATTATCTATAACTGTGCATAGATAATTTTCCAAACTAGTGTAATAAATTTGTTATGGAGTCAAACTAACAGCAAAGACTGAAATTGTTTTTCTCATATTAAACCAATAAAGTATATTTGATAATACCTCACTGGTTTCAGCCAATGTATCTTGCAACTGTCGTGTTATGCCACGAACAAAACGTCCATAGGCAACCGCTAGCATTGACACAGGGGGTACCACACACAGTCCAATCATAGCTAGTGATGGTGACATGTAGAACTAAAATGAATGATAAGTCAATTTGTATCACCAAATAGGTTTAATTAAAAAACAGACCAAGTTCGAGTTGGACTTATGCACAAAGGGTTCAGTACCGAAAATGAGCAATAAAATCACGTTTGTTGTATGGGAGCCCCTTAAATATTTATTTTATTACTGGTTTTTAGTATTTGTTGTTGAAGCAGCAACAGAAATAAATCATCTGTGAAAATTTCAACTGTCTAACTTTCACAGTTCACAAGTCTTAGTAATAGGGTTCCTGTTTTACCCTGTGGGTAACCCTAAAAAATAATTGATTATTTGAGTTCTACATTAGGTTACATTTTTTTAATAAATCTTATACAATCTCCTGTTTGCAGATTAAACTTGCTGCTTGCTAAGATATATTTGTAACTATTAATCATGGTATCATCTCACTTTATTCAATTATATTATCATCCATATTATTATGTATTTCATTATCATTATCATTATCCATATTAGTGCTTCCCATCTTATGACCCAGGCACAATATACTGCAACATGGAATGATTGCACTCTTAAACAATATTCTTCAGTGTGCTGCCACCATAAATTTGAGCTGCAGTGCTCATGTCTAATCTATAATAAGGTAGATAAGGGGGGGCCATAGTCTTTAGCATGGGAAATTTGCACCACTAAGATTACTACTCAAGGCTACACTTTGAAAAATGTTGCTACTCTTTTTGTAATATAAATAATTAGACCATGTTGCTTTTTTTTAAGAGAGAGGGGGCAGGTCTGTGAACCAGAAAAGATTTATTACTAACTTTTATTGGTTCACTTAACTTTCAGACAAAAAAAATAAGTAGTATTTGATATGTATCATGTTAATAGAATAATACTTCAAGTAAATTTATTTGACAATGTGGTAATTTCATAGTTTACATAATTTATAAATAATATAATTATTATTACTTTGTTCCTTGATTTGTCTGTGGTCTGGTAGGATTATTTTTTCTTCTTAATACTAACAGTAATTTACCATCATTCCTGTGCCAGCTCCCACCATGAATAATGACCGTAGACCATCACTAACATTTTCACTCAAATTTCTTCCGACAAGCTGTGTATCAGTTGATAGTCTGTTCACAAGCTCACCAGTGGATGTTTTACTAAACCAAGCTGGTTCTTGCCTCATGATTGCACTGTACACCTGTTTACGTAGGGCCTGTGTCATTCTTTGACCTATAGATTTCAAAATAAATATACTATGACAGAAAATTAAAAAAAAATGTATTTAAATTACTACTAAGTAAATATAACTTTCATTTTTAATCAATATGTTTTTACCAGATATGGACATTAGATAAACCCTTCCAAAGTTACATAAACCTCCTACTAAAAATACTCCACAGAGCATAAGACAAAGTGTATCCAGCTTCTCTCTAGCAGCCCCTAAATCGCTTGTGCTGCTGTAAATGATGTCTAACACTTTACCAAGAGAAAAAGGCACTGCCATTGTTACACTTGAAGATACTACAAGAAAACTTATGGCACCTGCAAAACAGTCAAGATGTTACTAAAATTATATCATTGTTCATTAAGAATATTGTTTGACAAAACAAAAAGTTTAATTTAAATTATGTTACCAGCTAGGGTCCATTTCTCGGGTCCTGCTAAAGTAAGTAACCTTCTCAATTCAGATGTTTTTAATTTTACATTGATTTTCTTTGAAGATTTCAAACTCGATTCTTTTACACAATCGACTGCGTCAGTCTTTTTTTCAGCATCTACTTGGGTGCTAAAGTACCGGGGTTTGAACCAAAATATTCTTGCTCTACTAAAGGAAGACTTTTCATAATATTTCACGTCCTTGTGACTAGAAAATAATCTAAACTTGCACTGATTACATGATTGACTTCTTACTGGAATTCTCAGTAGTGATTTCGTAGACCGTATCGATATTCTAACATCCAAACGTACTTGAAGCAAACGTTGTAACATTTTCAATAGATCTTGTGATAATTCTAACTGCAAATGTAAAGCATTTTTATATGATTTTTACCAATCTCTTGTATTATTGCATCAAAACCGAAATGTCAAATTTATTGTCGCTTTATTGTCAATGTCAAAGCTTCCAAATTTGACTGACGTGTGAAATATACGTTCATAAACAAATTAAATATGTAGCATATTTACAATATTCGTTGATGATCGAACTTGATGATGTATGATTTTGATTTTCACGGACAAAAAAGCCAAATGTGATCAAAATAAATGTTCACATATATGTGGTGCGTCCAAAATGTGTGCGAGTCGTGCCTATATATTTAACTAACATACGCGCATACTATCTTTAACTCTTTTATAAAGCTGATCTTATATTATATTAATTATATTATATTAACTTATATTATAATAATTATATGACCATATAATTATGTCCCGTCACACTAGCACAAAGCCCATTGGAAGTGTTCACATTACAAAAATCTTAATCTAAAACCGAGTTATAAACTGTTAACTTTTTTTAAAACATATTGTTGAATATTATCTTGAAACGTTGAATTAGACATCTTGTGTAAGCAAATCAAATCAGCCCAAAATCGATAGGATTATTTATTTACAAAAATCCCCTTCACCATGCTCATTAGATCCATTCCATTATTACGCAAATTATTATATGTATGAAGTTCAATGGAAAACCGGATCTTGATCTTGAATTCGTATGTTTTAAACCACAGTAGTGCAGTAGATTAGTAAAATAGGTAGTTAAATGAGACTATGTATTGATATTACTAAGTTTTTTATTTTACATAATATACAGAAAGGTGGGTTTATGTAAATGAAAAAAAAAACGATTAGTATATCTTGTAATCGTACTTAATTATTAACAAATACACGGTAAGTCATCGATTACTTAGAGACGCAAGACGGAACTACACGAGTCTAAAGTGTTAAATACGACTCCCAAGGGATATAAAATATAATCATATTAAACTACACTTACGAGAAAAAAATGCAAAATAAATGTTTTTCTTTTTCCCTGCAATGCGCCAAATCTGCATTTAGGCAGAAACACAATTCGTTGTTTTCGCGTGTTGTTTCATTTATTAGAATGAAACGGATACATTTCAGTCGCGGCGCATCTACCATAGTAAGTCAATCAACAAAATGTTCCGAATTGCGTTGAATGAATATTCCTTATTTATTATATTAATTAGTAATGATGCACTATCTGGGTGTTTGTAGTGATAATTTTAAAAAGTAATAATTTAAAACTGTAATAAGTCAGTCAGTAGGTGTTAGTGATTTGATTACACTTTGATTTTGGTTAATGTAATAAAATTTCAGATGTTATGATAGCTCGTGTGGTGTGGCGTAGCTGCGGTTTAAAGTATTTTCCTTGTTTTATTACTCAATAAAATAAGATAAATTGTACTAAGAAACCGGTAATAATCATTAATTTCACGGCTTTTATCACATTTACCAAGATAACGTTATTAATTATTATTAATAATAAGGTACCACATTAATACATAAAGATAATCAATATAGCCTTAATATAATATTTTTACATATATAAACAAAAATGGTTCCATTAAACAGTTAATTAATTAGTCTTTAGTTAAAAATCAAAGGTTTTGTGTTATTTTGAAAATAACATATGTATGTAAGGAATTTGCGAATGTCTAGGGATTTAAAATAAGAGTTCTAAGTACGTTTTACGATTCTACAGGTGTAATCAGTTTTACAAAACTAAAGCAGTGGAAACAAAAATATTAAAGTGGTTTTTAACTCTTGCGTCGCGGCTATAGACGGTTCTCGGAGGACTCACGTCACAACGTGTTCGTTGTGTTTTTTTTTTTCTTTATGGAATAGGGGGCATTCGAGCAGACGGATCACCTGGTGTTGAGTGATTACCGCCGCCCATGGACACATGGTGTTCTTCATATTTCACCACAATATTATCTAGTTGCATCCAGTATCCGGACAAAAAAAAAATCAAAACAGTGCTTAATAGAGATTCGTAGAGACAACTACATATCTGCTAAATAACGATTCCTTTCAATATTAATATAAGATGATTACATTGTAGAAATAAATCAGCATAGCCAGCTAAGAGTCTGATCAGAGAGCTTAATGTACACTTTTTGACGTTTACCTTTGATTGTGACCACGTTAAGATTTTAGTTTGGAGTCCGATACAGCACCCCTAGCGGTAACTAACAAGAATCAAAATCATCTCCATACAAAGTCTTAACGCGGGCACTAGTGAACGCGTAAACGTAAATCTTACACTCACCGCTCTGTACAAATAATGAGTGCACATAAAATCTAAATTTTATAATTTAGTGTAATATTTATGTTATAATATCGAAAAAAAAACAAACTTCATTTGGTCACTTTTAATTTCTATACGTATTATATTGCTTCTAATAAATGCACGGCATTATAAATTTGTTTCACAATTTTTTAAGAAAAGGAATTTATTTGATGTACCGAGTGTTAGATATAAACATATGTATAATTACTGCCTGACGCTATACTCACGCCAATATTCATTATAACAGATAATTTCATACAAACTATTTTGCTTATACACAACAAAAACAGTTATAAAAAAAATATTACCTTACAATATTACTCGAGTCTCGTCAAAATTAAATAACGCTGTATTTCATCGCCTTTAAATAAACTTATCACGTGACACATTAAAAAATAATACATGAACTTAAATATATCACATTGAGAAAATAAAATGTCCCTACCTAATAATAAATTTTATATAATAAACAATTCATGTTTTTTATTAATTTATTTTTCAAGTTATTTATTAGAAAGTGGCTTGGGTACTTCAAATGATAAAAACTTAACAATAGGTCCGATATTAGCACTGCCCGAAATATATACTGCACATTTTATTTCATAGATTTCTTATATGAACAAATATTACATTTTAAATGTTTTCATATTATACCCATAGACTAAGTAATACTATTATGTGACATATACATATAATTAATAGTCCCATATGCTAGCTTATATGTAGGAAAAAAAAATTGTACACATAAGTCATCGTTACTTTGAAATATTTTTCCGGTATAAATATATTATAATTATATTACAATGATACATTTTTATTTTTTGTTGCTACCCCAATAGACACCTTAATTACAATAAAAAAAAAACATCTTTTCGCAATCGATTTTCAACTTAACCCTCGTTAAATTAAGACAGATTTTTGTTTCTTTAGTATAACACGTGACGTCATCGACTATGCATTAAGAACCGGATTTTCTACTGCAATATTTGCAATTGCAAAAACATATTAATGATATATAAGTAGAGTAAATACATTTTGAGTGTAGGAATTGTGAATATAAAAGCTGACATATTGTCTATTGCTTTAATTCACCTGTGCCTGATATCAGTTAAGATTAACTTAACTATGGAGTGCCAATGGCGTTTCAACAACATCTGCTTGCCACTGCTATATTTTAGATTATAATTAATAATAGGCTAGTTGACAACTTTTTTTTTATTTCATAAATAAATAGTCCATTAACATCTGAGAAATAATGTCGAAGTAACAGCATGTCTGCGATTAATAGTTTCGGAGATACGGTGCTGTGTTTGTAGAACTGCTGCTAGTTGGCCGAAAACGCTCCCTACAAATTCAACGCACTCAGTGACGTCACATGGTGCTACAGTAGCGAAAAATGTATGGGCGTCTGGACAATTTTTGTAATATCTTTGTTATTTGTGCGTTTATGTTTATAACTGTTATAATGAAATTTGTAACATATTTTATATCTAATTTAATGCCTAATGTATTTTAGCAAATTTTTGTAGTAGATTTTCTCTACTTTTTTCAAGTTTTCAGAGCGTAATATTTTCCAAATCAGTGACTTAAAATTTGTTTAGTTAAACATTTATAAGTTAAAATGGTTCATATTTTTCGAAGATATAACAAAAACCTGTATTTTTACTTGTAGGACACAAGCCTATTATATGACATCAGTGAATAGTTGTTTATGAATTATTTTATCTATTTTAATGCAGTGTACTTTAGAGAATTCGTGTGCGGCCTATGAAAACTGATGCGTGCATTTGTCTAAAATATAATTTCTCAAAGAATATCTATTCCTAGCTAATTAAATAATTGAAACTCCATTTTCACATTAACATAAGTGAATAAAAGCCGGTTTTGACTAGTACTTATTGGAACATAAAAATCATTGGGACATAAGCATTAAGTAAAATGAATAGTCTAACTATAAGTAAGCTCTGTTATGAGCTTGAGTAGCTATTTTTATAAATCATTATAATCTTGATATAGTCTAAGTAAGTATCTTACGAGTCGATTTTAATGTCATATACAATTTAAATAATAATGAAATTTATTGAAGACGAGGAACCATTTTTAGGGTTCCGCACCCAAAGGGTAAAAACAAGACCCAGTTACAAACACTCCGCTGTTCGTCTATCAACAGTCTGTATCTCATAAACCGTGATAGTATAGACAATTGAAATTTTGTATTTGTTTTTAGTATTTGTTGACGCTATAATAACAATGAGGAAGTATTAAAAAAAAGAAATCACTAAAAAAGCACCTCCACTAGATGGCGACTCTAGCAAAAGTTGATTTTTGCCGGAAACGAATGGACCAAAGACAGTAATTTTCGTTCAAATTAACTAACATATTAAAAAACTGAAATTTGCAAAAATACGAAAAAGTACAAATAGAATGAGTTGTTTTTTGAGTTTTGAAACTAATTTACTTTTAAACATGAAAGAAAACCGGAAAGGTTGTCATAGAGAAATCAAGACATGGCGACATCTAGTTACATTTCAGGAAATAATTTCTTTTTTATTACTTCTTCATTATTAAAAACAGAATAAAATAAATATATAAGGGGTCTCCCATACAAGAAACGTGTTTTTTATAGATAATGGTCCGGTACCCTTCGCGGGCGAATCAGAGTATATATATTTATTTATATATATATGGAGTTACACCACACTCGTTCACTAAAAAGTTTTAAGTCCTGTTTAAGTTAATATAATTTCAACTACTTACAATAATTTAATTAATTAAATAGTTCAACTCTAAATAATTTAATTACGGATATAATATTCTTAAGTTAAAAAATAATCGTTCCTGGATTTCCATTTATCTGTAACGCACAAGTCATGCATGGCTCACATGTAAAATAAATGTTATATATTAATAAATCTATGTTTACTGTGTATAATATACTTTATAATATAATGTTTTCGACCTCCATAAGCTGTAGGTGTTATCGAATTTTAATAAATACACCCCTTCACCTGGATATGTGTGTGAGCCAGCATATACCTGGAAACATAAAAATATATTTATTACACTTTTTGAAATAATTGCAAATGTTTTTTTAATTAAAAAAAGCCACAAACAAACATTTCGGAAAAATATCTACGTTTTATTGCCTTAAAATAAAATGAAAATTTAAACTTTTTTTTTTATGCCTGCGAAAAAGTTGCCCGTCATATTCATGACGTCATTATGATATGTAGACAAAACAGATGAATAGAGTAAAAGATTAAAAGATGTCAATAAAACATTAATAGTGCAATCTAACGATCGATTACGAAATAAAAAGTAGTAAATAAGCTAATAACACCGCCATCTAGGAATTTTATTTATAATTAATAGGCATGTCTTTATGACAGCTACCGCCAGTGACGTCGCACAATGGCGGGTCGTGTTTCAAGGCACGTGACACACATACAAAAATCTCGGCTTTTTTTACTTTAAGATAAAAACATTATCGTACGATTTTTAGACTCAAATCAGATGCTTCTTCTTCTTCTTCTTCACTACCGAAACTACCCTATTGAATAATAGGCGCTCGACTTCAATTGCTTTTTTAGCAATTACAGTTTCTTTGTGCAATTTATACAATGACAGGTATTGAATCATAATATTTACATGGTTTTTAAGAGAACTTGATATTGATGTCATTGAAAGATTTTCAAAAACATGTACGTACTGAAGTTATCATGTTACTTGACATTTATTTTGTTCCATGATTGACTTGCACTAGATAGATAGACTAATCATTAACATTGTTATACGTGGCATACATACATATATATAATTGTTTCGTTTTTCTCATTTATGCATGTTATTTAAGATACAATTTTCGCAAGAACGAGTCATAAGATGGGTGACCAAATATTTATGATTTCGAGCTCTTCTGTTCTTCGGAAAGCACGTTGAGCCGTCGGTCCCGGCTGCATTTGCAGTCGTTAATACCCTCCAATCCGCATTGGGCCAGCGTGGAGGGTCACGGCCCATCCTCCTTAACCATCATTGAGGAAGGTCTGAGCCCCTGCAGTGGACGTAAAAGAGCTGATGATGATGTTGATGATGATGACAGTAGGATACCTCAGTGTGACAATCCCGACGGTAGATGGGTACTACGAGACTGACAAGTGGACGAGGACTGGACAAAGATCTTCTATCGCTGCCCATCTCTGGATCGCCGCTACCGTGTATCGTGAATTCTACCGACAAGGCATCACATAAATATTCAATTATGGGGTCCTAATAACATTCTTAGGGTCGGTACTTACCCCCGAGTACTCTGAGATTAGAACCCTCGACCTTTCGTGATCCGGACAACCGTTCTTCATCTTAATCGAAATTTTAAAATATTTTTAAATAAATATTTCCTTCAGCTGTCTGGGTTGATTGCCTGAATATTGATAAAAATACGCTCTGCAGTAGCGAAAATGTAACAAGTACTTGAAAGATTCGTCAGTCCTGCTAGGCCCTGGGTAGCACATTGGTTAGAGCCCGGAATGCGAAAGGTCGTGGGTTGGAGTCCCATCTCAGAGTACCTGAGGCTAATGAATTTTTTGAGCGTTCTTCCATAAAAATATTTCCCAATATAGCACTGTGAATGCAATATTGATCAAATATAATATTAAAATATGACAATCAACCTTGCGCACTTATGAGCCTACCACACGTGCATGCTTGACCACAATTTTACTTGCGCATGCCGGCTTGTACACTGAACACTGTGCGTGTAGTTGGTAAAATGGTAGCATGCGCAAACCTCAAAGCTTGGCTGGATGGTTTTTAAACTTGCTTGAAATTCTGGCATGCGCAAGCTATACTTGTACAAACTTGTTTGCGCGTGTGGTTGGGCGTTCAGTGTTCAAGCCGCTCAGTCAGACGGGTGAAGCAACTGTGCGCGCACTGTCGTAAAAATGTCGGATTATTTTAGATAATGCTTGTTCCGAAATTGCTGCAGATCTCCCAGTTGCCAGAAACCTTAAAGTTGCGGTTAATCTTTCGTGAGGGGATATACTCTCACGCATAACCGTGTTTTGTCTTTGAATGGGAGGCGTAACCAAACGTAACAGCTCACTATAGGCACTTTCGTCCATCCGTAAATAATTCCGCCAATCGTTTGGATCATCTCTTAAATCCTTGAGTAGATTCATATGTGAATGAATTTTTCTATTCAACAGCCATTTTTTTGTCCACTTTGATCGTTTACGCTTCGACTTATGCATTTTCTTTTTTTCACTAGCTAAAAAATGAAAAATAATAGCAGAAGAAATAGTTCTTCATTGGGAAACATTGTTTCTACGCCGACGAAGATGTCGCCAAGACTGTGGCTTGCGCGTACTTAACTGTGCCGTGTGGTAGACACGTCCGTGTTCAGTCTTTTCATGCGAGAAGCATGCGCAAGCAAAACTATAGTCAAGCATGTACGTGTGGTAGGCGCATTAACGGGTGATCCGTCGCGTAATAAAGCATACTTTCCTGAGATACTCCACAGATATTCAGTTAGATTTGCATCGACCCGTATAATTATTCTATTAAAATTAAAATAGATGGCATTATCAGCGTCCATCACAAGTAGATAACATATTTCAAATTGGCAGATATCAGTTGGTATTTAACAATTAAAACACGCATATTTTAGATGAATACAAGATGAAATATAATAATTTTTAAATAGATACTTTTATAAAAGAATATACCTATAACGCTAATTTAAGTAGCGAGTAAAAGTATTACGAGGTTCACATTGTAAAGTTTGCTTGAATAAAACATGCATTGAAAAATAATACTAAGTATAAATATTAGTGGTAATATTTAAGCGAACACATATAAATCTATGGTAGTAAAATATGGTTGCAGTATACCTTCATCCGCATCTCCATAGCCATCATCGTCTGCGTCCTCTTCATCGTCACTTTCTGACACGTGGATTGTGACCTCAGTGGTGGGAGATTTGCTCCACTCGAAATACAAACCGAACCCTGTAAATAATAAATATTAGACAACCTCACTGATAATACCTGTAACTTATATGTAAATAATAACTATATAGTGAAATGAAATGAAATGAAAATATCTTTATTCAAGTAGGCTATTACAAGCACTTTTGAATCGTCCAAAAAACTTTTTTCCCCTACCACTTGTTCAGGACGTCTTTTAGCTGACAAGAAGAACAAGCGAAAGAAACTTACCAGCTTTTTATCATAAGTAATGAAATGACATTTACATAAATCATGTCATTACCAAAATAATATGTATTATCACAATAGTAAATACAACTTTCAAAGTCTGTAGGACATAGGTTGAACATATAATTAATCTTTATAGAACAAAGCGAAGGCTATTAATTCCATGCATTGCGATCCTTAAAATAATCATCAACTTTATAATAGCCTTTACTCATAAGTATATTCTTTACATGAATTTGAAATTTATTTATGGGTAGGTCAACATTTTGTGGAACTTTATTGAACATAGCAATACATTTACCCAGAAATGATCCTCTGGTTTTTTGAAGTCTGAAGTTTATCTTTATTTCTTGTGTTAGGATTATGAACACTACTTTTTTTTGTGAAGGAATCGTAATGTTTTCTTGTGTACATAATATTCTCATAGATGTATTGAGAGGCAACAGTCAGAATATATATTTCTTTAAAAATTTCTCTGAGAGATTCCCTAGACCGTAAATTATATATATAGCACGGACAGCTATCTTTTGTAGAATAAAAATATCCTGAATGCTAGCCGCAGAACCCCACAACAATATACCATACGTCATTACACTATGAAAATAACTAAAATATACCAATCTTGCCGTTTTAACATTTGTTAAGAGTCTAATTTTCTTGACAGCAAAAGCTGCAGAACTCAGTCTCCTTGATAAGCTATCAATATGAGGATCCCATTGCAGTTGGGAATCTAGTGTAATACCAAGGAACTTTGTCGATTCTACTAACTCAACTTTTTCACTATTTACATTTATAAGTGTACTGACATGCCTCACATTAGGTAATGCAAACTTTATGCATTTCGTTTTATTTGAAAAGTACTTTTTGTTTAAAAATAAAATATAAGTACCATTTTTTGCAAAATTAGCGCGGGCGGCCAGACCACCATGTGAGGTCACATTTCAATAAACTTCACAAACAATCAACGTTTTCGTTACCAGTGCAACCAGTACTCATGTTTATTGAAATGTGACGTCACGGCTGCGCATGACACGTGACTATTATTTTAATAAAATTGGATAAAATCAACAGTTTTTAGAGAAAAGCAAATCTGATAATGGTTTAATATGAACATATGAACCTATTGTATCTTATGACTATGATTTGACATTCGCTATTTTATCTAACTGAATTTTTTAATATTTATTTTTCATATCTGATAATTTATTGTATTAAGACTTTAATATTTGCACATCGTCTTGACGATAAAATATGCTGGTCTAAAATTGTAAAACTACATTGTACCAATATTTTCGCAAATAAATATTATTATTAAAGTTTTTGAATATTTGCGATTCAATAAATCAAACTTTATCTCTTTAACGTCCCATGTCGGTGACATAATGTGTACCTAAGAAGAAGAAGAGAAAGAAGAAGAAGAGAAAGAAGAAGAAGAAGACGAAGAAGAAGAAGAGAAAGAAGAAGGAGTGCGTACCTATGTCGTAGTTGTCGGTAGCGAACTCCCAGCAGAGGCAGCGCGCGTGCTTGTGCGTGGGCACGCGCACGGTGACGGTCTCGCCGTGGCCCACGGTGAGGGTGCCGCCGCCCGCGCGCGCGCTCTCCTTGAACTGGTCTATTGGACCGCGAGTCCACATGCGCGCCGCCTCCACCGCAGGGAACACATCTATCCGACATATGTTCAAGTCAAAGTCAAAGTCAAAATAATCTTTATTCAAATAGACTTCTTAAAAGTACTTTTGAATCGTCCAACATTTTTTTTCCCTACCGCTCGTTCAGGACGTCTTTTGGCTGATAAGAAGAACGAGCAAGAAACTCACCAGCTCTAATAGGAGTAATGACATTTACAAAAACCATGCCATTACCAGATCAAGTTCACATCTTTATTTGTATCGGAAGTGCTTTTAACGGGTATCCCATTTTCAGTGTTGAGAAAAATGGACGCAAGACAGTTTCAAGTTTACGAAACTGTTTCCACTAACATAGCTACTTGTATTATATTCGATCAATTTTGCATTCACAATGGTATACTGAAAAATATTTTTAATTGTCCCTGGCACTCTGAGGACCAGTCGCCCGGATTGCGAACTTGTAATTTTTTTGAAATCTTTGCGGACGATACGATTCTGAAAATGCGCATTCGGTGGACGATAAAAGGCCATGGTCCCTTCGAAGGCCAACTATAGAAAAATCAGAGTCGTATGATAACAAATTGTTTCCACTCACACTAAGCTCTATCAAACCTAGGACACAGGCGGAGCGGCAAGTCGCTTGTGACGCTAGTTTGATGGTGAGGCCCTTCGCTCCTTATACTTTGGTTGTTGACGTTAAAATTTTAATTGATTGAAAATTGTAAAAAAAAAATAATCTTGCCTGTGTATTTGGCGTTATAATGTTCGAGAGTATGGCTGTTTTGTGCCAACCTTCATTTGTTAAATAGATATATATTATTTGTTTTCTGTGACTGACATCAATAAGGAGTGATCTGACAGAAATCACGAGACTCATCTTCGTCGACGACACATTTAAAATATTATTTAATGTTTAAACACTGTGAATGAACCTCTTATTTCTCTAGCTACTTCGCGTGATTCAGAGTGAAAATATAATAAATAATAATCCCGCTTCAACTATTTAAGTCATTGATAAACACCTAGACAACTGCACCGATTTTAATCATAGTTTGACCTAACTTAAAATACAGGATAGATTATTTATTAGTATGAGTCACAGCAACGCGTGGCAGGGTTAGCTAATAGAATACATAGATGAATGAATATGTAACTTAAAACAAATTTATTAAATAGTTAAGAGCCATATTACATCGCAACTGTGATTTCTGCGTGATTTTTCTCGGAAACAAAAACAAATTAACAATTTTGACTTGTTGAATAGTGAAGAATAACTCTTGGTATAGAAATTAGTGGCTCAACTTTTTGGAAATTTTGCTCATCTTTTTAATTAAATCCAAAATACCAGAGAAAGTTTTTCATAAAATGCGCAAAGACACTTTTTTGAAGTCCTGGATTGAGCTACTGTTCTTAACAAACGAAATAAAAGAAATAGAATGATATCTCTTATATAGTCGTAAAGTAAACAGTAGCTCGAAATTTTGAAATAGCACTGATTAAATATAGAAAAACAATTATATTACAAACCAAAAAACATCAAAAATTGCTTGAAGTTAACTTTGAATTTCTCTTAGCCACAACAATATTATTTAACAAAATTTATGCCAGATTAATGACTATTTCATAAGGAACAAAGTTATTATAATTTTAAAGCATAAATTTATTATATTATTTCAATAAATACGATAAATGTAAACGCAAAATCACTACAAAATAAGATGCAGCGGCCGTCTGAGCTCAGTACCGCGCGAGCGCTCCTCAACGTTAGACCTGTGTCGCATTTCTTCGCGCCATTTTTCGATCTAGATACGTTCGAGCGAGCGTAAATAGAGCAGTATAGTGGGACTTCCAACTTTGGTCACGAAGTTCGATTTATATGGAATTTATATAGCTTATTGAATTATTTCTAATACACATTTGTTATTTTCAGCATAGGTCGAAAGACCCCTAGGTATATTTGTATAAGAAAGTTAAAATATATATTTATATTATGAAATGCAAATAAAGCAAGGTACTTCTTCTCTCAATACACTTATACTAGTACATAAAATTGGAGTGCATATTTGTAATATTAAAATAACCGCTTTTCACTAAATACATTTGTGTGTATACATGGTACATATACAAAAATAATATATTTTATCTGTCTGTCTGTTAGTTCTGGCTAATCTCTGAAACGGCTTGGCCGATTTTGAAGAGACTTTCACTAGAAGTTGACTTACGTAATGAGGATTAACTTAGACTTATGGCTCGATGCAATTCGACCGATATCAAATTTATCGGAGATCCGCATATGAAACAACTTTTTCTAAATTCAATATATTTTTAATCCCGGACGCAAAAACGACGCGGTGTTATAAGTTTGACATGTCTCTGTGTGTGTGTGTGTGTGGTGTGTTTGTGTCTTTTTGTGGCATCATAGTTCCCGAACGGATGAACCCATTTTGATTTTGTTTAAAAGGTGTATTAGTCGGGAGTGTTCTTCACTTTGATGAAAATCGATACAAGATGGCCGCCGCCACAAAATGTCGGATCACATATTTTATCACCATTCCATCAATATGGGTATCAAATAAGAGGGCTTGAGTAGTAGAATACTGAACACTATGACAAATTTCAAATCCAAGATGGCCGCCACCAAAAATGTTGGATTACCTACATATTTTTCACGACTCCCTCAATACGGACATTAAATAAAAGGGCTTGAGTAGTAGAATACTGTTTACTATGACAAAATTTTATATACAAGATGGCCGCCGCCACAAAATGTTGGATTATCTATTTATTTATTTATTTTGTACACACATACAATTTCATATGAACAAATGTAACAGACATTAGTACAAGGGCACTGCTTATTTCAAATTGAAATTTCTACCAGCAGGCCCAAAACAGGAAAAAGAAATACAATAAGGTAGTCAGTGTGTACCTCCTAAATAAATTAATATGGAATAAAAAAAACAAATTCAAATACCGGGAAAGAGAGAAAATAAAAATACATAACGGTTCAAACATTATATAAATAATAATATATATATCTATAATATATAAAGATTAATAATACCTACACTATCCAATATCAACAACAGGAAAGATAATGATCCTTTACTCTTTTTTTGAACACAGAAATAGTGCGACTGTCACGTATATCGGCAGGCAAAGAGTTCCAGAGTCTAGCAGCATGAACAGTGAAGGAATATGAAGCAAAATCCGTTTTGTGTGAAGGAGTTTGAAGACTTAAGGTGGGATCTGCAAAGAGCATCAGGAGAACGGAGAAAGGAGAAACGCTCACGCAGATAGGAAGGATAGACGGGATTATACAGGATGTTGAACAGAAGACAGACAATCCTGACATATCTACGCTGACGAATGGGAAGCCACATGAGCTGCTTACGTAAATGTGACACATGATCATACTTACGAAGACCATAAATAAATCTAATCGCTAGATTTTGAAGTCGTTCAAGTTTGTTTAATAACTCCTCCGTGGCATCCAAGTAACATGCATCTGCATAGTCAAGAAGAGGTATAATTAAGGATTGTGCTAGTAACACTTTAGTTTTAAAAGGTAAAAAGTTTTGAAGGCATTTAAGTGTGTGAAATGAGAAGAAGGTCCTACGACTAACCTCAGATACATGGGCAGTCCATGATAGATTTGAATCCATTGTAATTCCAAGATTTTTTACAGTGTCTGTTAACTCGATCTGAGTCCCATCCAAAAGCAGGGGTGGTAAAGATAATGCAGAAATAGAATTAATATTAAACCTGCTACCTATCACAATGGCCTGAGATTTACTCGGGTTAAGCATGAGGCCAAACGATTTTGCCCAAGTACTAATGCGATCCAAATCGTTATTAATAGCTACCAGTGCCGAGTTACAGTCTTCTATTTTAAAGTGTCGATAAAGCTGCAAGTCGTCTGCATAGAGGTGGAAGTTGGAAGATATAACTTTAGTAACCGAGTTAATGAAAATAGAAAATAAGAGAGGTGAGAGAACAGCACCCTGAGGAACACCCGCACCGAGGTCGCACCAATCAGAAGATTTATTACCAAGACGCACACGTTGCGTGCGTCCCCGAAGGTAGGAATCAAACCATGAGAGAACAGAAGGAGAGATATTGCAAGAACGAAGAATAGCGAGAAGAATGTCAAAATCGACAGAATTAAAAGCACTGCTGAAGTCTAGAAGAATTAGAACTGTAAGAGCTTTATTCTCCATAGCCCAACGAATATCATCAGTAATGTTTATTAAAGCTGTTACAGTACTGTGACCAGGGCGGAAACCAGATTGGTACCTATTCAAAAGGGAATTAGAAAAAAGAAAAGTTGATAATTGCTTATGAACAATATGCTCAAGAAGTTTAGAGAGAAGGGGAAGAATAGAAATAGGACGAAAATGAGATGGGACTGAAGGATTAGATACTTTAGGCAGTGGAATAATGTGCGCCATCTTCCAAATTTTGGGAAAAGAACCGGATTCAAGTGAGAAGTTAAGTATGTGAACAAGTATAGGAAGGAGAAAAGATAAAATAGGGGTAAACATTCTTACGCTTAGGTTGTCCTCGCCAGCAGCCTCGGAAGAAATGGCTTGAATGGTATTTTTAATGTCAGTTTCGGATATTTTTGAAAAGACAAAAGATGTGCAGTCTGGCCTCGGAACCAGTGAAAGTTCTGCGAGCGTAGAATCCTTTATGTCACCATCGATAGTAGAAGGAGGAAGGGAGAAGTGTCTGTTAAGGACGCTTAAATCTACATTGGTAGACACAGTAGCAGTAGATTTCCCCACTCCTACAGAGCGCAAAAACCGCCAGGCATCAGTAGGATTGCGATCAGTAAGAGAGCTATGGAAGAAGCGTCGCTTAGCATCCCTACACATACGACTGCAGCAATTTCGAAGAACCTTAAAACGAATAAGATTGCGGTTAGTTGGACGTTTCTTATATGCTCTTTTTGCCTTATCTCTTTTTTGACCACCAAAAAAATTGACCACCCATCCAATTGCCGGCCTTTGCAATCGTCGCTTAACCTCCTCAATCGCAGATCAAACGAGCTATCCGGCACCATCGAGCTTTTCATTTGTTTATATACGGATATTGCCGTATTTTTTTGTAAAATTCAATATATTTTGATGATATGGTAAGTATGAGCAAATGAATCGTTCCTCGATATTATTGAACAGAAAATCAAAAGCAGATCGAGCGTTCTACCACCTTCATACATTTGAAGTGATACCGCAGACCATGAGATTTGTGAACGATATTGACAGATAGTACAATCTCATGAGCAAACACTTGAGTTTTTCCATACATTTTATAAGTGCATGCGATTCGTGTGATATCGTTCATTCATATCGAATAACATCGCATCTAGCCATGAGAAAAGAACCTTAGGTTACTTTCCATTCGCATAAATCCGCGGGCACAACTAGTTTAATATAATTCTAATTTACTACTTTTCCAAACAGGAAACAGTCCGTGTTTCCTATGGATGACGAAAATATTTCGAAATCGTCGACGAAAAATATGGCACGAATATTTTTTAATTAATATTTATGATTTTATTGATATATTGTCATCGCTATTTATATTTATAGCCTATGATTTGGCTAAACTTGTTTCTTTTAATTTTTGTCCGATCTTAACAGTCTTGTTTTTAATTTTTAAATAATTTTCATATTTTATTCATTTTAGTGAGCAGTTAATTTTGTATATAGATTATATATTTTTAATGGACCTTTAATTTGATACCCATAAAGTTATGATTATAAAAAAACATACTTTTTTAAATGGCGTCACACGTCCCCATACCTATTTAATATTAATAATTAAGCTAGTTTCACTGATACTCTATGTATTTTGTGGTAACTTGGGATGATGTTTCTAATGATACCCTGTACATTCATATCCATTATATCATACATACATTAATTCCAAAAACAATAGACTCGAGAGCAGTCGTTTAAAATATTCGGGAATCGATAATGAATCTCACCATAGAAATACTAAAATAAATACAAAAATTGGGAAAAGTATCAAAATAGCTTGAACGTGGTTTCAACACAGTATTGTGGACTCGTGACCTTGAACAAGTTCTCGAGAACTCAAATCACAGAGTGAAAATTTGTCATATGGCTCTTAACACGCTACTTCATGCCTATTTGCCATTCTAACTTTAGAAATGTCTAGAGTTCTCCTAAAATTACTTTATTAATGATATATGTTATACCTTCACTATCTGACTCCTCTTCTCCACGCGATTCCTCAGTGTAATCGGTAATTTCTGATTTCTCAAGTGTCTGCATTGATCTGTAGATTATTAAATAATACTATGATAGGTCTATATGAAAATCTGACTCAACTACAGACTGACAAACTTTAACATTAATATGAAATCTGTCCCTCATCATCATCATCAGCCCTTTTATGTCCCCACTGCAGGGGCTCAGGCCTTCCTTATGGATGGTTAAGGAGGATGGGCCCTGACCTTCCACGCTGGCCCAATGCGGATTGGAGGGTATTAACGACTGCAAATGCAGCCGGGACCAACAGCTTAACGTGCCTTCCGAAGCACGGAGTAGCTCGAGATAATAATTTTTTAGTCACCCATCCCATGACCGACCCCTGCGAAAGTTGCTTAACGACAACGATCGCGGGCTGCGGCGCTTAACCACTACGCCACCGAGCTACTCAATCTGTCCCTATTCCACATCAAACTCACTTGTTATTTTCCATAGCATCCACTGCCTCAACATCATTCAAATTGCAATCCTTGATAATGTCCTCATTGTCCTCTTTCCGGCTTTCTGTTTCGTTATCACAAGGGTCATCGTTATTATCCTGTATATTAGTATTGGCTAGTCTCTGGTCCATCGCCAGTTGCTGAATATATTGCTGGTAATGCTGATCTTGTAGTTGCCTGATTAGGATTGCCTGTTGATCAAAGTTGCCTGGATACTGCTGTTGTGCATACTGAAGAAACTGATCATATGTTTGCGCGTTCAAGGCATCTTTTATTCTTTGCCTAAAATATTCATATTGATTAGAAAATAAAGACCACACTTCAGTAATGAAAAACTAATATTTTTAACACCAATTTCTTTCTCATACTAAAATAAAGTATAGTGTGCCATAGAGTAAAGAACATTAATACTATAGATACAGAAAAGAATTTTAAGTTTAACACATATATTTATCAAAATATCTTAATCAATAACTTGATTAAGCAACTTAAAAGAATGTGTTATTATTTTTAATTAGATTCTGATCAGATTGGGTACCTCATGAGCTTATTGAAAGAAACCTAATGAACCATGTTCTCATTTGTGATTCTTTATAACGGGGTAATGAAACCGAACCATTTCTGAAGAAGTTGATAACTGGTTATGAAACGTGGTACGATAAGAACGTGCGAAAAATGTCCTGTTCAAAGGTCGGATAGGCTTCACAGACTGTGGCGAAACCCGGGTTAACTCTCAACAAGGTGATGCTGTGTGTATGGTGGGATTGGAAGGGCATTATTTATTATGAGCTTTAATCACCAAGCAAGACCATCGATTATGAACTTTTCTAAGAACAATTGATGAGATTAAAGCAAGAAGGTGAGAGAAAGCGGCCAGAATTAATCAATAGAAAGGCTATGATTTTTATCATGATATCTAGCTCACACACCTTTTGCCACTTAGCAAAAAATAAAAGAAATTTGCCTGGGAGGTGTTAATGTATCCCCTATATAGTCCTGACCTTGCACCTTCAGATTTCCATATGTTTCGGTCTCTTTAAAATTCTTTAGGCAGTGTCAGGTTAATTTCATTGCGAGGGCTGCCAAAACCACTCATCGCGTTTTTTTATCAGAAGCCCAAAAATTTCTATAGCAATGGGATGATATCCCTACTTACAAGATGGCCAAAAGCTATCAAACTAAATAGATCCTAGATACTTTATTTACTAGATACTTTTCCCTCAACCTATTATATGATTGAGACTAGGCAGAAACTGCCTGTTACAAAGCCACTGTAATTGCAAATGATTGTTTCTAAAAAGCTCCTTTCTACATGTATAGTTAGTAGAATCAACAATGAAGGATAGGACAGATAAACAGTAAATTATTCCATAAAATTCAAGAAGAAAAGTTTCTTTCTGATCAGTAGACCAATTATTATTAAACTACCCTATATTTGTCAATTTAATGAGCTTAAATAAGTCATAGTGTTGATATTTATTTTAGGTTATCATCTTTATAAACACTTCAGGAAATATTGTTTATTCTTGAAGTGTTCTGAAGTGTCAGCGGACCTAACGCCTTAATGCATTCTCTCTCTGTAAACCAGAGACTTATGGACAGAATATTTATAATAGTGGTGCAACAAACTGAAAAATAAAAATCATGTTCAAAAAATAAAAAATGTTTGATTCAGAAAACTGATTCAGTTACATACATACCACATTAAACATATAAATATCATACATACATTAAATATACAATGGAAAAAAAACAAAATTTTGTTATACAATCGGTTGCTTACACTTGTTGTTCCTCAGTTAACTTATTGCTTTGTTGCTTTTCTTTTTCTAGCAATATTCTGTTTTGGAGTTCCATGTGGGCTTTTTCTTCTTCTTGACGCTTTAATCTACAATATAATATTTAAAAATGCTTTTTAGTATTAGGGGATATGCAGTCATTAACACAATGGTCCTGCTCTCTCTGCACTTATGGTAGGTTATGTCCCATTCACCCTATGTAATTTCATATAACCTACATGGGAAAACCTATGCCCCAACAGCAGGGACCTAATAAGTTGACAAACATTGAGATCTATATCTTATAACTATATCCTCCTTCTTGTCATATCTCTTGCTGTTTTCTCTGCCATCTAGAATCTTTAGCTTCATAATTATATAATGACTACTAATATTTAATAATTACTCCACTAGTCAAAGCCAGGTATTGCCAACCCCACCATTAAGATTATTAGTAAAATTATATAAAAGAATATCTAATTAGATTTCACTCACTCTTGTAGTTTTTTGTCTTCAAAATCCTTTTGGATTGCTTCTAAATATGGCTTGAACAGTGGGCATAACCTAAAAGGTGACGTAAAATTCAAAGAAGTTGTAATAAAATATCAAAACTGTATTTAATGATGTTCAAAATATGATTATACTAGTGGACCCAGCGAACTTTGTTCCATCCAATAAATTGAAATGTAAAAATATATAAACTTCTTGGTTCCTCCTAACAGTCAATGGATGAGCAAATTTAAGATTTAGCAATAATACAAAATAAACATAGACAACAATATGTATACTGACAATTGCATTTAATTATGACAAATCACTATTATCACTAATTATTTAGCTCTTTTAAAATTATTGTTATTGTTGATAAAATATAATAGAATACTTATTATCCTATTACTAACAAAGACAAATTTATATATATATTTTAATCAATACCTGTCCAAAGCGTGCACAAATCCTGCCATGGCTTGTATTTGTGACATTCGACCCAACGACTGCCATGCTGCTCTACGATCTCTACCAATAACATCAAGGACACCTAATGGTGGAGCAGAGTTTGGATCAAGAGGACCATGTGCAGTTTGCTGCGTATATGCTACTAGTTTCAATCTATCTTCATAACTTAAATGCAATGCTTTCCCCTCCTTATCTGAAATTTTTTTTTTGAGTTTAATTGTTTATTACATTTCAAAATAATCACATGCCCTTAATGTACCTGTAATTCTCTTATACACACAGCACATAAAATTAAAGACTAGAATGCAGGCAGTATTTTCATTGCCTAACATAATTTTTAGTGAATAGATGTGAATTCTCAAAATGTTAAAGATACTTTGATATTGATTTTGTTCAAAACCATTTTACTTATCTTTAGTAAATTGATTTCAGATGTTTAACATATAGCGAAATCATTTTATGATTGAAGATACCGGGACGATGTATAAATACATAAATAATAACAAATGAAAGAAAACCTGAAATGTATAGTGATATGTATAATTTTCAGTTTGAAACACTTTTGATATGTATGAAGTTAGCAGGCGTACATTTCCACCGTAGGTCTAATAGGAAACGTATTTTCTAATCGTCAAATTGAAATTACCAACCTTTGTAAAAAGACAATCCATGTTTATACACTTCTTTTAGAGGTAAACCCCACTTTCTTTCTTCACTCTCCATTATCCCTTGATCAGTTTCAAGTGGTATCTTCTCTGAATTCACTTTACTGGTATTTTCGCTCATATTTATAAATTCCTAAGCGCTTTGCAAAATAATTTTACAAGTTCCAACCACTTTCAACCTTCTTCCAACATTCAGTTCTTGAAACGTCAATTAGGTGTCAATGAAACTGAATATTTGGGGGTGGGGAGGGTTATAAGTTTCGTTTCACACTGCATTTGACAGTATAGCTCAAAGAGTACAGTAATAATACGGAAATAGCTACGCTTTTTCGCCTGTGCCAAAGGACGAATTAAGCTACTTCTTCACTGTGTTTGCTAGCATGCAATATAGAATATAAATTTAATAAATTATTGTTCTGACGATGATATGATATTGATGAAAAAAAATATTTGTAAAACACCTTAATTTTCCTTGGATTACACCCACCATATAAGAAATGATACGGTTAAGAGATGAAGCACACAATAAAAGCCGGTTCACACCACATAACTCATATATAGAATATTACAAAATCTTAAAATCTATTGTTAACAAGGCATTGTATGCAGAAAAGGCGGCTTATTTTAAAAGCAACATTAATTAAAATTCAAAATGATTTTTCTCGCGCATTCGATGCCATTAATCATTGTTTGCTTTTCTTCTACGGGTTCGATGCCCGTGCTTTGAAATGGTTTTCTTGTTATCTAAGTGGCTTATCACAGTGTGTATTAGTCTGTAGTGAAGATGGAAGCCAAACGGTCTGTCGTGCTATTTTCTGGATCGAGGAGTCCCACAGGGATCAATACTTGATCCAATTCTTTTTAACATAAATATTGCCGATCTAATTGATTGCATTTGAAATTGTGGCTACCGTATGACAAACAAAAAAGACAAGCATAGACTGTAATTTCTCAACTCATACAGCCTACTGCCTACCTACTTTTTCTAAATTTAAGAATTACATGATGTGAAACATGAGACAGCAGAACTTAAAAAAATATCGTTTTTGATATCTGAAAATGAATATCGAAAGGCGATATATCGCGGCCAAAAATGTCGTTGATTTATATCGATTTTTTCTGAAAAAATATCGATATTATTTTCATATTTCGATAGTTTTTGCCCAATTTGTATTATTACTGTACTCATACTACTCTTTGCTGTACTCTTTGCCCAATCCTAATATAAATTGGTGATGTGAGATTAATAGAAAATAATCGATTTAATAAAAATCGATTTTGGTTTATAAATTATAAATCGATTTGTCTATAATCAATTTTAATGAAAATAAATAATCGATTTTTGCGAAAAATCGATATTTTTTTCTATTATTTAAAATCCTACATGCTTTGCATATTCCAATAATAAACCTAAAAGATTCATATTAACAATTAATCAGATTAAAAAAAATAATATGAATAAAAAAATTGACAATTCAAAACTAAAAATCAAAGCAAATGTTCTTTTAAATTTTCAAGGTAAGGAATAATGAAACCAAATATTATTGATAGAAATTCTCAGTATCTTTAAACGTGTTATAATAATAATAATTAAATGAGCTCCCCAACAAAATAACAACCTTGTTGTCGCAAAAAATTAAATATAATAATCAATAAAAAAAATTGTCATGAATGTAAATGTTTAGTTTTCGATAAATATCAAACATCGATGTTGGACTTACGATAATGATATCGATGTCAACATCGATGTTATTCTAATGTCGATCATATATACCTACATGCCTACAGATGGCGCCGTTTTTATATTATCAACTTTTAAGTAATAATGCTTCGAGTTTATTCATTTGGCGCATAGATGATGTTATTTATGAAAATCGATTTAACCGCGCAATTTATTAAATCGATTTGTTAAAAATCGATTAATATTACTTGAAAAATTGATTATAAAAAATCGATTATACGAAAATAATAATCGATGTAAATAAAAATCGATTATTTTTTAACATCGCTAATATAAATAATCTGTCAGTGTGACGTAAAAGAGATGAACGTGACTTGTTCTTAAATAAAATTAGCAAAGAAAATAAATTACTGGTTTAAGTGCCATTTCTTCAAGATTTTTTTTTTTGTTCTTATTGTTAGGAAATACTTGCATTATTTGGTTGATTGTATTTGTATTTTAATCGAGAAATTTATATTACATTTAAAGACAATGACGTTTAGATAGTTTTTGTGGCGTAATTCTTATTGGAAATGTTGTTTACAATTTCGTAGTGGGTAAATAAAAATCTTAAAACAATGGAGGTAAATCCCTTAAATATATTCTTTGTAAAATCTGACAGTAAAGGAGATAGACTATTATTTAGGTATCCGTACACAACAGAAACTAAAAATGAAAGCACCCAGAAGAAATGTGGTAGGCACAATCCCTACGCGATTAACTGTACAGAAGATCTTCTTCAAAATCCACAGTCTCAAACTTCAAATATATTCAAAGGTAAAACAAATAAATTATCTATGTTATAGTGCTAATAGACATCTGGATGTGTGATCTGCTCCATATTTTCAACATGGTTTGGTGTGATGTGTTTGGTGACATTATTATTTGTTTGTACCAAACCAAGTTAGCTGTTTGGAGCAGACAAATCCGGTTGTCTATTAGCACCACTAAATCTGACTTAAATGACAAATATTATACAGTAACTTTATTTATACAATAAAATTTTCCCATATGGCTCAGCAGAGGGAACAATCATAGGCAATTACAACTTTGGCTAAAATTTATTGTTAATATGATGTATTTTATTTTAGATCAATTGAGCGGCTTCACGGATGAAATGCTCTCAACACTGTTTGCTGTAAAGGCAGAATTGTGTAACCGGAAATTTGAACTCAAAGTAAATGATGTCAGATTTGTTGGTCACCCCACTCTGCTTCCATATAGAACCAACAAAGATGACACAGCAGCTATGATATTAATTAATATTGTATTTGCATTAAGAGCATCTGCAAGTCACTCAATAGGTAATGCATTAAGATAGACACTTTCTTAATGATAAGAGTAATATTTTTCTATTATCAAATAAACTGTAGCTTCAGATTGAAACACTGTCTATGAGTAAATGCAAGAAATCAAATAGTTCTATATTTTTGCAGTTAAATGTTATTATGATTTGAGTAAAAGATTGGGTAAAGCTCTGAGACATGAAGAAAAAAGATGTTCGTATTTGACTGAAGAAATGAAAATAATGGTATGTGATTCTCTTTTTATTGAAGGAAATGAAGAGGTTGTCCATAAACTACATCACACAAAAATCCCTATTTTTTAGACTCACCCTCCTTATGACAGTTTTTTAAAGTGTGACAATAGAACAATTCTATAAATATTGTTCTATTGTCACACTTTGTCATCCCCCTCTCCCCTCCTAATGTGTGATGGAATTTATGGATAAAATTGGTGCCTCATATAATTTTTGGTATTGTAATTTCAGTTGGCTGCTCATGATGAAGTATCATCCCTGGATAGTGAAATTAATTCTGGTGAAAATGATGAAGAGGATGATAATTTACGAAACTCGGTCAGCTCAACTACTTTTAATATGGAAAATGGTGATGACGGACCTAAATCCGCTTTCCACCTCATATTACAGAGAAGTTCCCTGGCTAGGTCTATGAAGTCTGTATTTGAGCAATTAAGTAGTACAGGTGTGTAAAAAAGTGTATTTCACCAAAAGTTTTTGTTTTTATGTTATATGTGGTAGTAATTTTATACTTTGTATTGGTCACTTACATTATAACATTGAACCTTTTTCTAATACCTTCATCATAAAAATCTTTATGATTTAAAAGCTGAGTAAAAAAATAAGGTCAAATTCTTATATAGGGTTTGATTTTATTAAAATATGTTGGCCTTTTTATGAAAATACAAAAATATCTGACATCAACAAAAAAAAAATATTGGATCTAAAATTTCACAATTTTTTTTTTTGTGGGTCATTATTTTGAGACTAAAATCGAGTTGAGTTGAATGAGTATGCCAACCATGCTCTATACTAAAATATTCTGACCACATTTTTTTAGGTATAGTACAAGTCCGTCTGAATAAACTGGTATTGCTATCATTCTGTCTTCCACATAAAGCACATCAAATTCATAACAGAGGTCTCATCATAGAGCCAGAAACCATAGACAAATGCTTACAAAAACTGAGGCCATACCATGGTTTATTATTACTAGTAAGTATACTTTTTATCCTATTCTAATGATATTAAGTGCTTGTTTTCATAATAATAAATTTGAATAGTTATTAAAGTATTTGAATAGTTATTACTTATTTCATATCAATTAAATCTAAATCAGGTTAATTGTGAACAAGCATTTGTTAACAGTTTACTTTATGATTATAATAAATGGTATATTCCTAAAAATGGCCCACATTCTAATAAATTGATAACTTTTTGTAAATAACATTTGTTTTACATGTGACTCAATCAAATTGAGGAATTGTTCACACAAATTTTTATGTTGAAATACTAGAATATAAATAATGCAATACATTTAGTAATATTAGTCTGTGCATTATATTTGATAAAAAAAGTATATTTCATTTGCTAAACAGATGAGTGAAGGTAGTTTTATATCTGAATATTAAACTAATATAATGTACACAAGCATATGTCTAGAATCATGGATATTTTTTATGGTTTGCTTTTGAACTTTATGTAATCTATAGATTACACAAAGATAATTAAGGATAAATTATATAGACAATTAAGCATCTATTTTCCGTTTTAAAATGCAACTCCAAATATTATATTTGATAAAACAAATGAAGTGAAGACAAAAATCAACACTGTCAGGTGCTTTAAATTGAACCTATATGGTTCAATTAAAATAAGATCATTAATTATTACTGAATAAATGGGTAATATTTAAATTACATTACAGGTAAATCCAAATGATCTATTAGGATGCATACCACTTGATAGCAGCCCCTCATTGCTGCGGCTGATTAAACTTTATAGTCCACTGAAGAGTCTACAAACATTAGCTATTGAAACAGATTTGTCACTAACACAGGTAATAATCTGTAATCTAATATACACTTAAGTATTATTTAAAATATTTTTAATGAAAAATCTCTGATATAATCCACCAAGTCCTGGTGCCCCAAGACGGGATGGGATGATATTATCTATAAGTTTAAAGTAGAAAGTTTTTAAATCTTTTTATTGTAATTCTGTAAATTACACATTAATATGAGTATTCTAATTAAATTTTATATTTTACTGTCATATATGTACAGTGAACAGTATGTCAGATCACTGCTGTATGTGAATAAAACTTTATATTATATGATTATTTGACCTAGAATTCTATAATATGTCAGATTAGCTGTAAGGGTTAAAATCAATTGAAGTAATTTGACAGTCTGATGATTAGATTAGGAGTACTGCTCAGCGTGTCTCGTATACGTAGAAGCCTTGATTGTATGTTATTCTTATCTAATTATCAATAAATTTGAAGCAAATTAGAAAGTTTCTGGAGTAAAAACGACTACTTGTTATTTTAGGTATTTCAGTTAACAGGCCATTTGGTGTACTGGGCAAAAGCAACTATAATATATCCGCTCTGCGAAGGTAACGTTTATGTGGTAGCACCCGGTGCAAATATTCACATACATTCGCCCCTCGTCGAAGAGTTTGCAAAGGAATTCCCTGGACTCTGTCTGTTACAGGTTAGATTTTATTACTAATTTTAATCACATAAGATTGAAATTAGTTCTTTTATATTATTTTCTAATCTTTTAATAAAATTTGTCTTCTGCGTAAATTAGATTAAAAAGATTTAGTTCGATCGAACTGCATTTTTAATTGTGGATATAATTAAAATTATAGAAGTAAACTTCATAAATAGTATACAAGAGTATAATGAAAGAGTTATTTGATCACACGTGGATACGGAATTATATTAAACCAAATTAAAGTTTGAATTTTTCCAACGTTTGAGGTTTCAGGTAATGCAAGTTTTTGTGCTTGAATAAGATCAGTGAATTAATCTCATTAAGATGATTTTCTGATCGATTTTGTTATTAATCTTCCTCAATAAAATCGATACTCAGAATATTATTAAATTAATGTACGTAAGTTCTACAAAGAATGTACATGAGGGAAAAGAGTAGTTTCGACAAATTTCAAATCGATTCCTATGAAGTCGCGATCACTTATTACCTTACGAAACTAAGTTACAAAATATAATACTGCATAGAAAACTATATCCAACACATTGATGATAAAATTTATTTTTCTTTAAAATTTTGTTATCGTTTTTAAGAGTAAAAGATCCCGTTTTGATAGAAAGCTTTTTGATTTAGTGCGATCATAACTTTGTAATAGATAAAGATCAGTAATGACAAATAAATACAATAATATAATACAATACAATACAATACAATAATAACAGTACAATAATATTGTAATGGAAAGTGACTTCATATTTTAATGAAGTCATTTTTCAATCATGACGCTCTGTATGAAATAAAACAGGGAGAAAAAAGCAGCCCTTGCCGAGTTTCTTGCCGGTTCTTCTCGGTACAAGGTCTCCCGCCGTAGATTTACGAACCGATGGCGTAGCTCTCGACTTTTTCAAGTGCTTGTAACAGCCTCAACTGAATAAATAATTTTGATTTTGATTTTTTGATTTAAAGAATTCTTTGATCGAGAAAGCTGATATAGAACTGTCATTACATCTGTCACTATTCGCATAACGTTGACATTAAATAAATTTTGACATTGGCAGCACATACCAAATCATACTCTTTTTGGTTGTATCGCTACTAATTATTAAGTTGGCAGTATGGGGCAAATAGTTATCGTTCCACCCGCTATACATGACGTTGCGCCTGCAACAGATGCTGAGCGAGTTCTCGCTGCCGGCGCCGCTGTGGTACGCGGCGCGCGGCGCGCACTCGGGGCGGCTGCCGCGCGCCGTCACGTGGCTGCTGCGGCGCCGCCTGCTGCTGCAGCTGCACACCTACGTGCAGTTCAACTCGCCGCACTGGCACCGCGCCCCGCACGCGCCCCAAGGTCTGTACGACATCTGTATATACGCCCCGCCTGCTGCTGCAGCTGCACACCTACGTGCAGTTCAACTCGCCGCACTGGCACCGCGCCCCGCACGCGCCCCAAGGTCTGTACGACATCTGTATATACGCCCCGCCTGCTGCTGCAGCTGCACACCTACGTGCAGTTCAACTCGCCGCACTGGCACCGCGCCCCGCACGCGCCCCAAGGTCTGTACGACATCTGTATATACGCCCCGCCTGCTGCTGCAGCTGCACACCTACGTGCAGTTCAACTCGCCGCACTGGCACCGCGCCCCGCACGCGCCCCAAGGTCTGTACGACATCTGTATATACGCCCCGCCTGCTGCTGCAGCTGCACACCTACGTGCAGTTCAACTCGCCGCACTGGCACCGCGCCCCGCACGCGCCCCAAGGTCTGTACGACATCTGTATATACGCCCCGCCTGCTGCTGCAGCTGCACACCTACGTGCAGTTCAACTCGCCGCACTGGCACCGCGCCCCGCACGCGCCCCAAGGTCTGTACGACATCTGTATATACGCCCCGCCTGCTGCTGCAGCTGCACACCTACGTGCAGTTCAACTCGCCGCACTGGCACCGCGCCCCGCACGCGCCCCAAGGTCTGTACGACATCTGTATATACGCCCCGCCTGCTGCTGCAGCTGCACACCTACGTGCAGTTCAACTCGCCGCACTGGCACCGCGCCCCGCACGCGCCCCAAGGTCTGTACGACATCTGTATATACGCCCCGCCTGCTGCTGCAGCTGCACACCTACGTGCAGTTCAACTCGCCGCACTGGCACCGCGCCCCGCACGCGCCCCAAGGTCTGTACGACATCTGTATATACGCCCCGCCTGCTGCTGCAGCTGCACACCTACGTGCAGTTCAACTCGCCGCACTGGCACCGCGCCCCGCACGCGCCCCAAGGTCTGTACGACATCTGTATATACGCCCCGCCTGCTGCTGCAGCTGCACACCTACGTGCAGTTCAACTCGCCGCACTGGCACCGCGCCCCGCACGCGCCCCAAGGTCTGTACGACATCTGTATATACGCCCCGCCTGCTGCTGCAGCTGCACACCTACGTGCAGTTCAACTCGCCGCACTGGCACCGCGCCCCGCACGCGCCCCAAGGTCTGTACGACATCTGTATATACGCCCCGCCTGCTGCTGCAGCTGCACACCTACGTGCAGTTCAACTCGCCGCACTGGCACCGCGCCCCGCACGCGCCCCAAGGTCTGTACGACATCTGTATATACGCCCCGCCTGCTGCTGCAGCTGCACACCTACGTGCAGTTCAACTCGCCGCACTGGCACCGCGCCCCGCACGCGCCCCAAGGTCTGTACGACATCTGTATATACGCCCCCGCCTGCTGCTGCAGCTGCACACCTACGTGCAGTTCAACTCGCCGCACTGGCACCGCGCCCCGCACGCGCCCCAAGGTCTGTACGACATCTGTATATACGCCCCGCCTGCTGCTGCAGCTGCACACCTACGTGCAGTTCAACTCGCCGCACTGGCACCGCGCCCCGCACGCGCCCCAAGGTCTGTACGACATCTGTATATACGCCCCGCCTGCTGCTGCAGCTGCACACCTACGTGCAGTTCAACTCGCCGCACTGGCACCGCGCCCCGCACGCGCCCCAAGGTCTGTACGACATCTGTATATACGCCCCGCCTGCTGCTGCAGCTGCACACCTACGTGCAGTTCAACTCGCCGCACTGGCACCGCGCCCCGCACGCGCCCCAAGGTCTGTACGACATCTGTATATACGCCCCGCCTGCTGCTGCAGCTGCACACCTACGTGCAGTTCAACTCGCCGCACTGGCACCGCGCCCCGCACGCGCCCCAAGGTCTGTACGACATCTGTATATACGCCCCGCCTGCTGCTGCAGCTGCACACCTACGTGCAGTTCAACTCGCCGCACTGGCACCGCGCCCCGCACGCGCCCCAAGGTCTGTACGACATCTGTATATACGCCCCGAGGGACGTGTAAGCGGTGATAATGATGTTTCAGCAATTTTGCACTCGCAGATGCTATACATTTGCTGTTGCAATGACATGGCACATCACCAATCCGGGCGACTGTTCTAGCAGGACTGATGAATTCTTCAAGCATTTGTTACTTTTTCGATACTACCGAGCGTATTTTTATCAATATTCAGGCAATCCATCCAAACAACCGAAACAAATTATAGCTACTCTTTTTTAATTCTGGTAGTGTTAATATACTATTACTGATAATCACACTTTTATTCTTATAATATTGCTTTAATTAATTATAGAAAAACTAATACTTCATACTCGTTGTAACATGACCGCAAACAGTGCGTGACGTTACGCCCCTCGTACGCATAACTTGAAAAATTGAAACTTATGCATACAAAGAACGATATTAGTTTCAAAGCTGTAATACCATGACAGAAGTGGCGCTCTGGTGGAATATTTTTATAATGAAATTTATTTTTACATTTTAACTTATTACATGAATGATACTTTTTTTACATATTTTATGTAATAATAACAATATAAAAAAGTTATCTACAGCCCTATTAACCATACACATCTAATAAGTTTTCTTTAACAAAAATACATTTTCTTAATTTTTTTCAAAATTTCGCCTTCAATAGTTTAAGGGGTGACCAATTTTCGCCTTTCACTTAAAAAATGTTTATCTCCTTAAATTATTGAAAAACTCACAATAACCTTTCGTTTCGTTTGTCCCACAATATAGTTAACGAAACATTTAATTTAAATCTACCCTCCAAAAGTTTCAATAGGTTCAGTAATTTAACCACAACTTTTCGAGATTTTGTATTGAACCTCCACAGCTAAATTTATAATGCACCACGAATATGGCTTACGCGACAACAATAGATAGCAAAACGCGGGTAAATTATAATCAATCAAAACTAGTCTAGTAGCCTGACCCCAGCCGAGTGTGACCTGGACGGAAAACTAATTCATTGTATTTTACTCCTTATGTGTATTAAAACAAAATTCTTTATAAATTTTAACCATCCACTTTCTCCTTTTTAGATGGAAAAGAATATTATTGCGAGAAACATGATATCTACAATCAATCATGTAGCGTGTCATACTCCTCGCTGGATAGAATGCAATTGCACGTACCAAATCCAGTAGACCACAAGGATGGTTCGAACCATTTCGCAGACTCTGACGATGAATATCCCACAATGAACAATCTAAACCAGACAGATTTCTCGCACACGAAACCTATAGTAATCGACTCGGACCACTCCAAACTGGATAAATTCAATGAATTGGACTCTGCCAATCATTCGTTTGACGATGGCGTGGATGTGGTCGACGGTATAATCGCTAATGGTATTAACGGTTGTGAATATGATGATGTAGAAAAGAAAAAAATACAGGGAAACTCTGTTGATAGCGGCATATCTAATAATATCACTGGTACTACCAATGGTGTTGAAACAAATGAAATCAATGGCCACAATGATGTCACTAATGGCGTAGACATTATAGAAGATAAACCGAAGTGTTTACCGACCAGGCTGTCAGATTTGTCATTGAAAGACACTGAAAACGTGTTGAATACGAGTAGCGACGATGATAGATTCGAAAGTGATCAAGATATTTCGCCGAGACTGAAGATAAATGGCGTCAAGAAAAACGGAGTGTCGTTGAATTTGAAATTGCAAAGTGAAATGAGGTAATATATCCTTTTTTTATTCCTTACATTTTTATTAATATGTGAAAATATTCATAGACTTTTTAAATATGTTAGAATTAAAGTTGTGTTTAATGATTAGACAGAATGTTTTTGAAAACAAAAATAAATAAGACTTTCCGTAATAAGTTTTACGAAAGTAGGTATATGGATATTCTTTTGCAATATAAGTAATAGGTATAATGATAGGCTAATTAAAAGAAATTCTATTTACTCTGTCAGTCAAATAATAAAAAGGTTTGATACGTATGTTTTTCGCTGCTATTTAATAAATAAAAAAAATAAAATATAATAAAAAAAAAAAACAATTTTCATTGCAAGTATTGTTTATTTTAAACTTAAATAGGTTTGATATTTATATCCATAAAAAATATATGTGTTTTAATATGCAAATTCAAACAAATATCTAATTAATACACAGTTAAAATAAATATTTTTATGATGGTTAATTAATCAATCGGAAATACAAATTGCATGAAATGGATTTGTTTACGAATGTGAAGCGGGCTGGATTTAGTGCATGAACAACGGTGTGCACGTATAATGCGCGCTGACCGTCGTCCGTTTACATTAGATTTAGTGCTCGACTGACGACAAAAAGAGAATTGGATCCATTTTTTACTCCATAATATGTGCGTACTTTTTATGTAAAAGAATGTAATTGGGTACTACCGCTTAACAAACTTCTGACTAAGCCTTAATTTCGGCGTCTATATATTTATCTCTCACAAGAAGCTTATAAGAGAGGTCCTACAATGGCGGACGTACATCTACTTCAGTTATGATATGCTCAGTATCGATATTCATTTTGATCCGCTCGGTTGCTGCATCGGCGTGGCACTGAAAGTACGCATATGGCGTCATAGCGCATCAGGGGGAAAATTAAATCAAAATTTAAACTTTTTATACCCGCGATGCCAGCACTGACCGTCAGCCGAGCACTAAATCCAGCTTAAGACCTTATTCCCCGGTTAAGAGTGTCGCGCGGTCGTATATATTATTGTTGTGCCCGACTGGGTCCATAGTGTGACTAACTGAACTATGTAACATATGAAATGAAATGAAAATTTCTTTATTCAAGTAAACTTGTTTCAAGCACTTTTGAATCATCTAAAAATTTTTTTCTCGTACCACTTGTTTAAAACGTCTTTTAGCTAACAAGAACAACAAGCGAAAGAAACTTACCAGATCTTTATCATAAGTAATAACATTTACATATATAAATCATGTCATTACCAAAATAGTATGTATTATCACAATAATAAACAGGTACAATTTTCAGATTGTTGTTTGTACATATAGTTAATCGTTATAGAACAAAGCGAAGGCTATTAATTCCATGCATTGCAGTCCTTAAAATAATCATCAACTTTATAATAGCCTAATTACATGAATTTTAAATTGACCTATGGATACAATAAACATATCCGAGTATAGTTTCCAGCAGCCGACCGTGTGGCTAGTGCCGGCCCACTGCGAGGCGGCGTGCGAGGCGTCCCCGCAGCTCGCCGAGGAGTCGCTGCTGCACGCCTTCACCGAGGACGAGCGCGCCGCCCTCGCAGCGCTGCCCGCCGCCATACTCACTGACGACCTGCTGCTACTGGCGCAGCTGCACAAGAAGGGTGCCCACCCTGTCTCTCTCTCCCCCTCCCCCTCCCCCTCTCTCTTTTTCTCTCTGTCCCTTTCTCTCTCTCTTTCTATATCTCTCCCTCTTTCTCTCTGTCCCTTTCTCTCTCTCTTTCTATATCTCTCCCTCTTTCTCTCTGTCCCTTTCTCTCTCCCCCTTTCTCTCTCTCTTTCTATATGTCTCCCTCTTTCTCTCTTTTTCTCTCTCTCCCACTGTTTTTCTCTCTCTTTCTATCTTAAATTTACATTTTAATTCAGTTGGATATTCCATTTCATTCATTAGTGTGATATTATTACGAATCATCTCACTCCTTATACCGACCAGTCGCGACATAGATCTGAGTTAAAAGTTAATATTGTCAATCCGGATACTATAGTTTAATCTGACTAAGTTGGGTGTAATATTGGTGTAGACAGTAAACGAAAATAAATATGTACTTTTTTCTGGTACTACTATTTATTACCGATCACACTTTTATGATTCATTATATTTATAATATCGCTTAAAGTAATTATGAAAAAACATACATTTTGAAAATATTTTGTGCTCGTTGTCACGTGACCGCAAACAGCGCGTGATTTCACGCCCCTCTTACTCATAACCGAACTTAGAGAATTCAGCCTTGTGCATACATATAACGATATTAGTTTCAGTGTGCCGTGATATCATTTCACCAGCTCTAAAACATCCATTGAAACCATGGGACACAAACTATAGCTAAAACTAGTGTACTTTAATTTCCAGGATACTTCCGAGGCGAACAGCACCTGGAGGAGATTATGTTTATGGAAAATGTCAGCAGGTCTCGTCTTATACAGCTCCTTGACAAATTCAAGGATGTTCTCATCACATTCGAAACTGAAGATCCAGCGGTCGCCATGTTATATCCATACCAGTAGATATTAAACGTGCGTTACTCGAAAGTGTAACATAAATTCGAATAGGTTTCTTAATCTGCGAGTTGATGTAGACGCAAAAGACTAAAAATTTGTTGTGTAGTCGCAAAGTTTCATTAATTCAGAATCTAAAAGCCTTAAAAATCATTAATATATAACGAGTTTCAAGTTATTCTCTCATTTTAAAATAATGAAATTTTAACCGTGAGACTGATAAACAATGACGTCATTGTGCAAAATGACAGCACAGAATAACATGTAAATGACAGCATTGACAATAGGTACGTGAGTTCATTAGACAATATCGATTCAAATCGATTATGTCAAGATTGAATCTCTATAAAATCAGCGTTAAAAGTTAGAATTTTGGATTAATCGCGACATTTTCAAACTCGTCCAAGAGAAAACATCTGTCATATGACTGCGGTCACGTCACAGACCAAATTGCCGCGTTTTTGCGTCAAAGATTGAATTTTAATATGTAAACCCAAGAATTGTTTTGAAATATTTTCAACTCCCGGATTCTATGCATTGTGAACCCCATTGCTATAAACACTGGAATTAAAGTCAAATAAGTTATCTCTCGAGTTGAAAGTTCTTGAAGCCTTATATTGTTTAGGACTATAAATATGTTTTGTTTTGACCTTAACTTTGTATTTATAATAATAGACTTTTAAATGTGTACATTGAAAAAACAAAGGCAATACAAAACTATCAATTCTCCAAACGATTGCACCTTAATTTGTTTTATATAAAGTTCAAAATACCACACAAAAGTTTATTAGGTGTGCTCTCTATTTGCTTTCTTATTTATTATTATTCAGTCAACTTATTATTGTTTTTTTTTACCATGAAAATATTATGTGGCTTGCTCTTCCATCTTTTCATTTTATAGATTTATGATATTTTTCTCAGCTTAGGTTCAACTTAGGTTCAATTAATCAGGATACCATGTTGAGTCTCTTGAATCTATTTGTACAAAGTACCTAAAACCGCAAGTCTCATAAATTCTAGTACTACTACATAGTTCAAAGTATAATCAACATATATAATTTTTTTATACAGCTCTTAATATATCTTTATATTTGTAACAATTAAGTTGTTCTACTGCCTCGACCGGAGTAATATTATTATCGTTCATGGCTCGCCTTATACTAACCCTCAATATTATCATGACGTGTGTCTCTCAATATTACCATTACATGTGTTTACTTTAAAATTGCTTTGTCTGTACTAGCTGCTATGAAATTATATTGAATTTTTGCTTGTTCTAGCGTGCTATCGTTTTCTATATTATGACAGCAAATTTACTTTAATCATTGTTTACAAACTTTGTTACATTGTTACTAAACTGTTTTATTTTACATAATTAATTTACATGAGTTACATTGTAATTGAGAAGTTTCATGATGTTGATATTATTATATTTAAAACGATATAATAAAATCGGTCAAAACTAAATTGAATTTGAAAACAAAATTAAAATTAGTTTATAAATGACAAAGTTATAAATTTCTTAAACTACATGTTTTCGCACGCAGCGTCTTAGGCCTCCGACTCGCCTTAACGTCACAGCACCGTACTCGAAATCGTCGCACTACATAATTAATAGAAGTCTGCAAAAATATTCTAATAATTGGGCACTCTAGCCTTGTTTTTTATTTATTAATGGGCATTAATAGCTAAAAAGCAAAAAACAGCTTGTAGCGAAATTATACTAGCGAGCGCTACTTCTAAGTCCCATAACTTTTTATTTATGTTAATATTTAAGAAATATTTTGATTATGCTTATTTTTTCATGTTAAATATAAAAAAACTTCCTAGTTGCAATGGTTGGCTGTTCTTAAAATTAATTCGAGTTTAGATGTACCAGTCATATATTTTAATATGTAGTATCATATGACCAATACTTGTTTGCCATTTATATTAATTGTGTAGGAAAAATTGCAATATTAATTTTATCTGCCTTAAATATCTTCGCATAGCTTGAAATGTATTTTAAGCCCAAAAGATGCCTTTATATTCATCGTTTTATAAGTTATTTAATTACATAATACCATTTTAAATGGCGCGGGTAGATTCCATCAAAGACTTATAAAGTAGCATGAGTCCCTATGTAAATAGTTTTCATAAATTTTATTGTAATCTATGAACAATTGTAAAAATTTAGCATTTGTAACGTTTATAAATTGAATCTTAAATGATATATTTGTTAGTTTGCAACATGTTTAAGATATCATTGTATTCTCCTGATGCTTATGTAAATATCAGACCAGAACACCACCTTACATATTTATTTCTATTTAATAAAAACAAAGTGAACTATACATTTTTTTATGTGAATTCTTACTGCCCTATCTAAATCTTATACCTTTACATCTCGCTACGAGAAGGATTCGTGATCAATTTGTTAGTTATGTACTTCAACGTGCATAAAAGCTGATCCCAAAACCTTGAACTTCGCGTTAATACGTCCATTATTATTTTTTTTTCAAAAATAATTAAATCTGATTATTATTTTGAAAATCAGAGTTTGCTACGATATCAGACTATATATATTAAAATTAATAAGATATCACTCTTCATTTATTATTTTTTATGAATGAACTGGATGTTCAAGTTTTCAAGAATGACGGAACAAAAGGTTTGATGAATGTTCTGAAAAGTATTGCGAATGCGAAACATCTGCGATAGTGCAATAATAAAATGCAAGTCGTTGAGGTTCAAATTAAATAAAAGTTGTGTTGCTAGAGTTTGAAACACCGATGGTTTAAAAAGTGAGAAGTATAAATTTTATGGTGACTAAGCTGAATAGACTTGGACCTCTTTGCTATAATTAAAGTTTACTACTTAATGACAGCTGTCATTTATGACAATAAAAGTAATAGCAAGTCCCAATTACATTACCAAAAATAATCGATTTTCTTAATAATTTAATCATCATCATCAGCCCTTTTACGTCTACATTGCAGGAACTCAGGCCTACCTTATGGATGCTTAAGGAGGATGAGCCATGACTGTCCACGCTGACCCAATGTGGATTGGAGGGTATTAACGATTGCAAATGCAGCCGGGACCAACGGCTTAACGTGCCTTCCGAAGCACGGAGTAGCTCGAGATAATAATTTTTTGGTCACCCATCCCGTGACCGACCCTTGCGAAAGTTGCTTAATGATAACAATCGCGGGACGTGGCGCTTATACACTACGCCATCGAACTACTCAATAATTTAATAAAACATCCCAATTGTTAAAAACTACCACAATTACCTTTATTTGTTCAGCAAAAAATTAGCATTTACAATTTATTTAGTTAGGATGCTTTCTTTTAATATGTTGCTTTAAATTTGTTGTATTGCTGCGCGTTTAAAGATCTTTAGAGCTATATTTACATCACAGTTGTACCATTGGTTTTTATTATAAACTAAATCCTCCAACCGTTTTTTTGACGTTTAAAACAGAGTTTAAAATTAAACAAGAGAAGATTTTTTTTAAAACCACCGTGTATACGTTTAAAATATCAAATGACTGTACTACTATTTCCCGATCGAGTTTTCAAGTGTTGCTGAAATAAAATAGTATGATATGCAAGCGATTCTATTACAGAATTGCTGTTAAAATATTGAAAGTTAAACTCCGAAATAAATAATCTATTAAGTAATTCAAAGCTGCAACCATTAAAAAACTAAAGTATGGTATGAAATGAAATAATAAGAAATCAATCGATATCGAATCGATATAAATTGATGTTACTAAAAAATAATCGATTATTATTTACATCCTTAGCACATTTGTGTTTTGCGTCTCGTTCTTTGTGTATGCACAAAAGCCAAAGATTTGGTTTCGCAAAATTTTGTTCTTGTGATAGTTGTATAACAAAAAGAAAACATGAAAAACTTTCCTGTATTTGTGTTTCCAGTTTCACTCGACTTTTATTTGAATGCTAGACATACTCATAAACAATTATTAACTGTTTATAACCCGTACGAGTTTTCTGTAAATTTTAAAGGTAACGCTAATCGTCGTGGTATTTTTTTTATCAAATAAAATGTTTATTTGTGATATAATTGCTTATATATTTGTAGTTCCGTTACAGTATTATGTACATCACCGAACAAGTTTACGGTAATAGATCCGGAAGGCGTGATAGCTCCCCAAAGTTGTATTGATATTGTGGTTCGCTACACACAGCCATCTGTTACACACTGTGACACGATGGAAAAATTTCGCATCACCATGTATGATAGAAATACTCAGCAGGTAAGAGATTAATTAAATAGACCAGTTGTAACCACAACTGTTACATCTGTGAAATGTTACCTTTTGGTTTTTCTGACCTTTGGACACCTTGTTTGCTATATATCAGTAAAAAAAAACTAGATAATCTCGTAATGATTTTAATTGTTTATCACCAGCTTATTCTTCTATGTAAATTTTATAATGTTTGTATCTTTGCAGGCCTTAGGGAAAAGAGACATTCCTACAAAATTAATCGAAGGTGAACCATTAAACTTAAATTTAGAAAGTATGGGTGACAGTTTTCATCCTTTGACTACAAGAGCTGCACCTATTCGTCCAACAGAAGAAACACCAAAACCTGTCTGCCAACATGCTTCACATATAAGGTATGCAATAATTATTTTAGTAATACTTTTGTCTTGTTAATTGAATGTACTTGAACGATAAGACAAAGGCGGTCATTGTGTTTATTACTTTATTCAGGTTTTTAAGTATATTAATTGAGGTAAGAAGTTGTGACTTCCACAGTATTATATGACTGCTTCTTATAACCATGTAATGAAGGTAATTATGTATCATCAACTATATTTTTGGTAGGTCTACTGTCATTGTTTTGTAAATCAACTACAAAGAAATAGTTTTAAAAAAAAAACTGACCTTTAGCACAAAAATTATGGAGTTTGAGTCAAATTCATACAATAAAGAAACACATGAGTGATATTTTTGTGTTGAAATTTACACAATGCCATTTTTACAGTGGTAGCAGTTTTTCCAACCAACATAAAGCTTTTATTTGTGTTTGATATGAATTTGATTTACAACAATTGGTTTTATATACTTAGGATACTGAGATTTACAATATATTATTTTGAGAAATCAGTATCGGTTGCATGAAAAAAAATATTTCAAAAAACTGTGATTCCATGACATTTAGAGAGCCTTGAATGTACCTACCTTTGCATCAAGAAGTTCCTTGTGATGTGTTAGAGATTGTGTATAGCTCACATAGTGTTGTATGATAGTTGCTAGCTGTCTATCATCAGGCCTTTTCATGTAATTTATCATAATTTCTATATTTCCAGAGAGCAGCAACCAGTCAATGTGGTAGCTGTTGCTGTTAGTATATGCTGTATTGCTGCACTTCTACTTCCTACACAACCTGAACAGGTAATAGAAACCCAATGGCCGGAGTGGCTTCATATAGGTTCTAATCTCAAATTGGTTTTCTCATTTGTACTGGGTTTGGTTAGTATGTTAGTATTACGACCTTAGGATCTTTATAAATTGTATTGTATGATAGCTAGTTGATTTGTACACTACAATATCATTGCATGCCCAGATTGGCAAAATGTAATCTTCATTATTGATTACATTGCATAAAGTGGATTTTTTATGAAATTGATTAGTGCGAGTGATACAAGAGTATGATGAATTTACGAATGATTAATGACTATTATAAAATTTAATCTTCATTAATAAGTGAAGTTAATATAATAGTCATCAGGGATTACATTTTACCTCTCTACAATTAGCAGACTGAAATTTCTTTACTTTTCTTCAGCCTTTGTTACATTCAGATTACTGTTGATGTCCATTTTGGGTTATCTTTTAAAATTCTCAGTTCATTAAGTTCCCATTGTTGATTGATAACACAAATCACTTTATCTACTTATCTCAAAAGCAATGAACTGCTGTGATGACATCACAATTTGTTTTATACAATTTTAACTACTGCCTAGTCTAGTACAGTTATTTGTACAATTGAATATAATTATGTACCTTAAATGAGTCATTTATTTGTGTAAATTAATGTTGTGGAATTAAGTGTATTTTTTTAAATGATATAATTTTTGTGGTTCTAAAATCCATGACTCATATATTGATTATATTTGTCTAGTTTATGTTCTCATAGGTTGATCATTATTAGGTTAATTTTAGATCAGTCAGTTTGTGGTAGTAATTGAAGCCATTATAAGTAATGTTCGATCTTGGGTAATGCCTAACGCTCATCTTACAAAATTTGTAAATATAAAGAATATAGTTTATAAATGAACATATCGTTAATCATGATGCTTAATTTCATAACAAAATTAAGTATCTTGTGCAAATAATGGCAAATGATGTAAAATTAATACACTTATACATTTTCTACAAGTGACTACTACATGATGTAGTACCTATGTTTTATTGATAGTTACATTTAAGGTTTATAAATAAATGCAATGTTTTCTTTTATTACTTATGATTTACTAAAATACACATCATCTCTTTTCTTTGAGTTCCAGAGCGTGTATGTATAATTTGACATATTTTAAAATTAAAGCATTTTTATATTATAAACGGTAGCTTGGTGTTGAATTTAATGATGAATATAATGCTTGTTGAGTTTAGGGTAAATAAATCAGATCTTCATTCTTAAGGTGCTAATATACAATGTAATGTGATTTTCTTTGGACATGGTGTGATATGTTTTATGTTTAAATATTAGGTTAAATGAATAATAGGTTTTGTGACTGTAGCAAAGTATTACATGTGACTTTGATTTACTCCTAAGATTTTTTTTCCTATTTACATAAACGAAATTGTAAATTGTTTAGTTATATTTATAATTCAAATTTAAGACGATGTTGGCGGCAAAGTATGGAATAGGCGAGTCCTATTAGGGCCGGTACACATTGGACAAAAGATCTGTCGTGTATGGAAATGCACTTGGCATTTTTTAATTCAAACCTTATGCGCCGACCCTCATACCTACTTTATTCTACCTCACCATAATTATTAAGTATAGTAAATAGCATAGACAGATCAGTGATCGTGTGGCTCGCGTGCCGGTTTCAAGGAGTCGACTTTTCTTGATTTTCTGGCTTCCATTCCCGGCCCCAACCCTAACCCTCCAATCCGTATTTGACCAGCGTGGAGGGCCATGGCCCCTCCTTAACCATCCATAAGGGAGGCCCTATCACCTGCAGTAGGGGCGTAGAGGGTCGATGTAGGAAATCGTGAACCATTACAATCTTGACCCTGGGTGAGTGATGTAGATACCTTTTGTCCCTATTTCGTAATGGACCGATAAATAGAGTACTAGATGTATCAAGAATTCATTTCAAAATCAAAGAGCAATTGATAGACTACTCGAATGTGTGTAAGAAATTTTTTGAAATGAAAGATTATTCCACACTCTCCCCCAAGCTGTAATTGTAAGTATGTTATCTTTACTGAAACATTGGTGAATAGTTTCAGTATGGATGACGTAATAAGTGGTTATATACTTAAGGTTTAGGATACGTTACACATTTTTTTATGTTATATATAAACGTAAATATAAATTATTTACGGTCGTGTTTTGATGTGTTTGACGAGGTGTTGAAAAGGGTAATTAAGTATTTTTAAGTAAATTACTGGCCGGCGCACTGACACACGTTGCGGCGCGGCCATGTCATGGTATATTGCAGATCAATTTAAACCTTATTTGAATGGTTTTATAACACAAATTATTTATTTAGATGAAGATATAGCAGCGTCTCAGCGATATAAAAGTAATTTGAACGCTAAAATAATTTGAATAAGGTTGAATCGTTCTGATCATGACACCCCATTGTTTGGTACCACAGAACATAGAGAGAGAATAGAAGTAGTAAGTGGGCGGGGCACGCGTCGCTGGCATATGCGCTTTTACTCATATGACGCCCTTTCCTCGGTTTTATGTTTGCCAGTCGTTCGTCAATCGTCGAGTGGTGATTTTACAGATTTTTTCTATAAAAAATGCCGTTTTGTGCTATTATCACTTGCAAAAAGCAAAGCAAAGTATTCAATCTAACTAATGCAAACATTTCCTTTCACTGGTAAGTACAATTTTAGTGCTAAAATATAAAAAACGTAATAATTTGACACAATGTTAAATAAAATATACATTGATTGCTCAAACCAACATCAATGTTTCTGACCCCATTACTAAACAGCAATGTAAATCATTTTGTGCACTTTTGCAAAAAATAGTGCTGTGCCTCCATTTGTCTGAAATGTACCGATAGGCTGCTGCTGCTCGGAATCGTATTGTTAATTATATGGATCGTAATCGATAACTAAAACATATTTATTTAGAGCTTTTCTTTCATCATTTCATAACAACGTTATCGATAAATATATGCCATAATTATATAAAACTAAAAAATACTGTTTACAAGGGAAAAATATAGATGAACTGATACTGAACAAATGAAATAATGAACTGTCCAGGCACTTTTTTTACGAAGATTCGGTTAATTATTTACACGCAGATAAATATTAAAAATTACTGATGTGCTATAAATATCTAAGTTACGAAGTATATCACCGTTTTATGAACAATACATAAATTAAACGAAACTTCGTGAAAAGCTCAGAGTTGGCCTAATAGGTCTTGTTAGAAACTGGTGAAACTGGATTTCACTTATTTTGCATTACTTATATTTCAGTTTCCCTAATAACTTTACAACGGATTGCCTTGTTTACATAATTAATTTTGCCCTTTCCGTTTTAGACCTAAACCTATCAAATGAATTTCAAAACAACATAATATCTATACAAACAAAAAATTATGTTTTCAACTAACGTAATATTGTTGGTGGTGTGAAATTAATTTACAAAATTAATTTTTAGGCGTCAATTTAATTTACCTTATTATGCTGATTCATAATCGGAAACTATTATTATAGAAATCGAGTTAAGAAAGCCACTTTAAAGAACCGCCCACAGAACAGCTTTTATCAGTTTTTTTGTTGCTCCATATTTGCACATAAGTTTATAGACGCATGTCTCAAACGGATGTGACTTTATATGTAGATAGACGTTTGTACGTACTTATCGCTTTTGTGTCTATCTTCAAACTTTTTTTGTCACGGCTTTCAAACTCATACTTGACCAGCAATTCCTTATTGTCCAGTCGTTGCAATTAATAATGTAGCTACTACTATTATTACAGATATAAAATTTTGAATAATAAAGTAAAACAAACATGGCTATGATCAATTTATTAGTGTAATGATCATATTAGTTATTATGAAATGAAATGAAAATATCTTTATTCAAGAAGGCTATTACAAGCACTTGGAATGGCAAGTTTATTTTTATTTCTACTTTTTTTTGTGTTATCTTGCGTACATAATATTTTCATTGATGTATTGAGAGGCAACAGTCAAAATATTTATTTCTTTAAATATTTCTCTGAGAGATTCTCTAGACCGTAAATTATATATAGCGTGGACAGCTCTCTTTTGTAGAATAAAAATATCTTGAATGCTAGCCGCAGAACCCCATAACAATAGATTATACGTCATTCATTACACTATGAAAATAACTAAAATATACCAATCTTGCCGTTTCAACATTTGTTAAGAGTCTAATTTTCTTAACAGCAAATGCTGCAGAACTCAGTCTACTTGACAAATTATCAATATACCAAAATACCAAAGAACTTTGTCGATTCCAACATCTCAACTTTTTCACTATTTACATTTATAAGTATATTAACATGCCTCACATTAGGTAATGCAAACTTTATGTATTTCGTTTTATTTGAATAAAGCTTTAAATAATTACTATCAAACCACTGTAGAAAATTGTCGAACTGAATTACATTGAACTGTTTCATGACAAAATTTAAAGCTCTTATTTTATCAACTAATATGTCACATCACTAATATGCACAATCGGAATGATACCAGTAAGAAAAAAATACAAATTAGGCTTAATGTAATTAATACAAAAATTCTGTTGTTTTCTTAATTTTTGTTTTTTTACACTTTCCCTCGCTTAATTATATTACTCCACAGACATACGATAGAGTGTATCATTGAGTTTTCTTAGTTTTTGTACTGCGTTTTTTAAAAGATATTTTAATAAATTATGTAGGGAAAAGCCTTAATTTTTCAGTATTCACTTGGTTACAGCAAAATCTAATATTAATAGTTCGCACATAAAATGATAATCCCAATTTTTTTAAATGTGCATAATCTTAAAATATTTTTTTCCTTCTGGTATCCCCATATACAGCCACGTGACAGTTCAACATTCATGTTAAAGTAAATTATTTATTATCACGTTGAATTAGAGTTTTTTTTTTAATCGTGTGATTTCTTAGCTTAGGATCTTTTTGGGATTTGATTTATGTTATCGCGAACCTATCGCGTGGCGGTTTTTCATGTAGTGAACAAAATTATCATTTCATCTAATCTGTATTTGTGTGCGGAGAGGCGACACTCGGTTCCCATACTAAATTAATATCATTATACTTCTAATCTCTCTCTATGTTCTGTGTTTGGTACTGATCCTTCGAGCTGCCAAAACGCGTGCCCTGTGACGTTTGTTGTCGCCGGTCCACATGGTTCTCCTTGGTATTGTATTAAAGTTGTAAGAAATGTTGATCATTTACGTGTGATTTTTTTTTTAAGTGATATTATCATTTAAATCCCCTGTGATTTGGGACCACCTAATAATGTATTATTATACCAAATATATAAATAAATTCCACTTTGTTTTTTTTTTATTTCTAAATAAAACTTAGCGATTTAATTGAAATAAAAGGATTTTCTACTTATTTCTATTTAATATAGTGATTGCACATCGTTCACAAAAGAATTCCTTAATCATTGAGCAACATTTAAACAATTAAGTGACGGATTTTATTGTCTGTGAAATAGTAAGTTTACATATTATATACCTTATAACTAGAGTTTATACAAAACTAATGCTTGAATGTTGTTTTTATATAAACAACGCTTCTATTAAAACTACACATGTCTTTAATTATTGTATTTGATCAATTTGCATTCATAATGCTATACCTATATCATATAAATAATACTTAAAAATCAACCAGCGCCTTGTTGGTTCGACTCGCGTCTCAGGGTATTTTGGCGGCTGGTGAATATTATAGTATTTTTCAAGAAAGTTATTTATTTACATGTCTACGTATTAAAGATTGACAGCTTATTAGTGGATAGCCGTGGGATATTTAGAATGCTGATAAAATAATACAAGAAGCATTTAAAACCACTCTCCAAATTTTAGTATGTTAATCTTTACGACAAATAATGAAATACGTGTTTTTTCTTTTTATGTCGTTTAGAACAAAAATGTTGAGTTATATCGTCACCAAGTTATTTTCAAAAAACATACACTTGTGGACGCTCCCGCTGCCCAGTACGTGCGCTTTACGCGCTACGTTAGTTCCCCCCCCCCCCCCCTCCCTTCCCGCAATTCATTGATAGTAATACAAGTACGTTTGCGAGTTAGTAGCAGCTACCTAAAATGTTTTCGTTTTTTTATGCTAGGGCAAATGGTACATAAAGTTGAAACCTTTCCTTCATACTTTTACGGGCTTAGGACCGTCAAATTGCAAAAATTCTATTAGATACCTACTATTACAATAACTATACTGCTTTAAATTTATAAATAAGTAGGTAAGCAAATATCAAGTTACCTAAAATTCTGTTTAGTTAAACCAATAATAAAAAAAGTAGGTACTTAACTAGATATTCTTTGCAATCAGGCGTATTTAAAAAATCATCAACTTTATGTACATAATCAACTAATCACTTTATCCTACCTAATTTAACTATTTACCTACGTATACTTTAATAATTGTTCAAAGTGCATACCGTTCCTCTCCACACAGTCTTGCACGTTTTTGCACATTGTCTTTTAATTTGGCGAGCACTACAGTGTCATTTTTCACGTGGTCAAATGCCGCACTAATTTGCACTTTTAAGTCCTCGAGGCTTTGTGCTTCTTCAAAATACACACGTCTTTTGATTTCACCCCACAAATAAAAGTCGCACGGTGTTAGGTCCGGCGATCGAGCAGGCCACACGATGGGGCCTCCGCGTCCAATCCATCGATCACCATATTCTATGGTGAGATGATCTCGGACGGCGGCGGCGTAATGGGGTGGTGCACCGTCCAGTTGAAAATAAAAATCCCGGAAGTAGGCCACGGGCAAGTCCTCCATGAAATCGGCAATGACATGCCGCAACATATCGAGGAAGTTGCCGCCGGTGAGCGGCCCTTCGATGAAGTACGGCCCCAGTATTTTCGTGCCTATAACACCGGCCCACACATTGACACTAAAGCGCACTTGATGGTGGGTTTCCCGAATCATATGCGGATTTCTGAAGGACCACCAGTGTTCGTTATGATGGTTATAAAGCCCCACACGAGTAAACAATGCTTCGTCAGTCCACAAAATGTTGGCATTAGGGTGTGCAATCAGCCATTCACAAAAGGTGCGACGGGGCACATTATCTCCATCGTGTAGAGCTTGGACCTTTTGGAAGTGGTAAGGGTGTAGCCCTGTCACATTCAGCAGCTTCCACACGGCATAGTGGCTTACGTTAAATCGGCGTGCGGCATCTCGTGTACTGGCTCGCGGGTCCCTTTCGAAGAAATCCAAGATTTCATCTTCGATTTCAACTGCAAGTCTTGATCTTCCACCTCCGCGAGCGTGAGCAGGCGTAGTAAATTGACCATAGTCCAATAGCCTTTGGTTCACAGCCAAAAATGTCTCGCGACTAGGTACTGCGGGGTTTATTAATCCCTGATTTTGCAGGGCTGGGATGGATTCTGTTTCGTATAGTCTCCGAGCTGCATTTAAACTTTCACCGCTTAAAATGTAACACCGCACCATTTCGTAATATTCGCGATTGGAATACATTCCGACGCGCGAAGTGTGGGGCTGCGGCGGGTGGCGCGCAACACGGAAGCAAAGGCGGAAGCGCGTGCGTTCAAAGGGATTATGCGCGGGTGACTGATGTTGCCGACTAAATAAAAAACCGAGCAGATATCGTCGGCGGTGCATGCGCGGCGCATGCGCGGCGCATCCCCTGCGCCCGCGCCCCTTGCTACCCCTGCTCGTTTCGTTCATAACTAATGTGACAATGCGAATGTTATAATTATCTTGTAATTACAAAAAGTTTACACTTCATTTTGAAAATTTTACATACTGTTTTTTTTTCATATATGTGATCTATTAACGATACCTAATGCCTAGAAAAAATTTGGAGAGTCATTTTAAATGCAGGCGGTATAATAAAACGCATTTGGAGGCAATTCGAAAACTAGTATAGATGGCGCTTGAAATTTAAAAAAGATTAAGTTTTAACCATGCCTCGAAGGTAACAGATATTCAAAATAGCTGGAGATGCATATTATTAGAAATATACTACAGTGCGAGAGTATAAACTACATTTATGTATATAAATAAAAGAACAAATTCATGTTATTGGATTTAGTGGCGTAACTACATGGTGGTAAGTTGAGGGAAGGGGTTACTGGTCAGAGAAGCATTCTTACTCCTGACATTTATTATTACATAATTAATTTAAAAACAATATTCGATGAATTTGCCACGGGCCTCAAACGATATAGTTACGCCACCGATTGGATTGCAATCTTCTATCAGTTGGAAACCTAATTTATTACAGCCAATATAAATGTTTCTCTCTCCATTCTGTTTTAACGAGTGATTTAAAAGAATAAATGTGATTCTTATGTAATATAGATGTCTTAATCTATAGAATTCCTTAATAAGGCTTTTATAAAGACGGCATTGAATTATTTGTGAGAATATAAGTCATTAAAGCTGATTGATAATTGATCTAACATTCACTATGTAATTGACAACATCTCAGGATCTTTTTGTGCTCGTTAAGACCTATTAAGCAATAGCTTCTTTTTGTGCTCGTTAAGACCTATAAAGCAATAGCTTCTTTCTTTTGAAAAATGTATATAAATAAAAGTACATATATACATACAATTTCCATGACTACATATAAATTCTATTTAAAACCTATAGGTTTATCTAAACAAAGAGAAAATCACAGAACACGGAAAAGAGGTCTTTCTGTGTTCTGTGGAGAAAATATCCCGTTGGTCACACTAGTGTGACCATCAATCTAAACACTAGGAAAAATCAATTTGAAATGCTGTCAATTGTAGTTCTGGACCTGAAAAGCATTAGGTCGGATGTGCAGAACCAGCTAAAATCACTTATCGCCATAACGTTGCTACACTCTTTTTTCTCTTTCCGGCAAATTAACTCTTGTATGTTTGTGCCTTTTTACTCATGAGCAACAGTCATGCATAAAGTCGGATCAGACGACTTTTTCAAATATTTTGATTGCATTTAGCTATTTCTGTTTTTATACAGTTATGCCTAAGATTCCCGACATCCGACCTAATGCTTTTCAGGTCCAGAGTTGTTAAAGCCATTTTATCCTGAGACAGGATTAAATCCCTACGTTTTACTTCATTACTCACTTTCGCTTATTTAAATTACCTATATATAAATAAGATAAAACTGGCAGGTACTTTGACGTGTTATAGAAAAATTGGAGATAACGATATGAGTGAGATACAAGTCAAAACTACTATGAGATATGCTACAAGTCAACCATGATATGAGTGAACAGAGGATGAAGTACCGTCGCTACTTCTGTGTATTTCAATGTGTTCAGTCCGTCTTCGTTCACTTTGTTTTTTGCATAATTAAATACTTTATGCTTTCTTTCCCTGAAAAAAGAAATTGGAATGATAACATATTTTTTCGTCTGTCCGTTAAGGTAGATTATTTAATAATATTAAACACGTATTATTTGCGTAATAAATAAATTAAGGCGATACATTGAGTTGAAATATCACACGACTCCTCAAATTTCTATTTGAATTGAAGCAAAAAAAAAAATGCCGCTGCAAACGAATCATATCGAAAAAGAGGATCGTCTTAAGAATCACCCAAACCTTCTTATAGCAGAGTCGTTGGACCCATCGAACGTGGTGAATAGATTGAAAAGAGACCACATACTGAATCAGTAGAAGCGGTAATGACCGCTTTACTAATCATCTCCAAAATAGGTTATGGTTTTGCGACCGATCGCTAATCGCAATATAACAAAAACATTTAACATAAAGCAGTTTTGTCGTTTAAATATATTATCCTTCACTAAGTACACAATTTTTAATAAGAGTTAAATTTCGGCAATGGGAAATTTAAAATTTCTATAGATATTATATTGTAGTGTATGCTTGCCCATAAATGTTGCTGTATCTTTCTTTAGCCTAAATGGCGGCAAAACAATATTATCTTTGTTTCTAGTGTTAAAATTGTGTGTGTGACTATGTGTAATGTAAATTGTCTATGTTGATACTAATATAAAGAATACAATTTTATATTAATTGGAAGGTCAATATCCCAATTTCTTTGAATTTATCTCTAAGTTAAACCTGATTGATAAATAGCGCTTTCTGCTCTTTTTCTGTAAAATAAATACAGTATCTATATCTGCAACCATACCCCACAGCAGAATACCGTACAGCTTAATTCTATGGAAATAAGTAAAGTATACTGTTCTGGCAGTATCTATATCTGTGAGTTGTCTGATTTTTCGTAATGCATCGTAAGCTAAGTGTTCCGGCCAATAATGAAATGTGAGGATGCCATTACAATTTTGAATCCAACGTTAGACCCAAGAAGATTGTTGAAACAACCAACTCGAACTTTTCATCATTAAGTTTAATTTCTGTTAGTTCTGCTTTTACATCAGGTAGCATAAAATTTATTCACTTCGTTTTTTTTTTACATTTAACTGGGAAAACCAAGTCATAATCTATAAAAGAGCATTGTATACATTGTTAGTTATTTTTACATCAATCAACATTAAAGAAGTATCATTTGCAAACAATACTATGTCGCATAAATTTTCGACAAAGAAATCATTTATGTATGTTAGAAATAAATGCTTTGTATAAGTCACAAAATACTCTAAGAGCATTTAGTTTAAAAAGTGCTATACTAGCATCAGTAGTAGAGCGTTCTTTTGTGAAACCAGATTGTTTAGTGTGTAAAAAACTTATTTTGAGATGAAGCATGTAAATAACTGTTTAAGAATATTTTTTTTAAGATTTTACTTAGTGTCGGTAATATTGATATAGGTCTGATATATATCTACTATTTTTCTATTATCTGACTATAAATAGATATTTTTTTATACCCAGGCCCTATTTTGTGTATTCTTTTAAAGTAACAATTTTTCTTTGAGTCTTGATCATTTGTTTATGGTCACTGAAACTCTTTATGTTTTTCTGGCAAAGGGAAAAACTGTGCATCAAACTTCTTTAACACAACACAACTTCTTATTAAAAACTAATTGTATCAAAAGTACAATTGATACCCCAGTCGGCCCTACAATTTACCAAACGCCCAATTTTTCAGTGTATTTTAAGCTTTGTTTTTTGCTAAGTTTAAAATTTTAACCTGCATATTTTAGTGTCTAAATTGATTCAATAGTTGTTTTTGAGATGTTGAAATTATTTGTTGAACAATTACAAACTAAAGTAGTATGCTTGTAAATTTAATTAATAAAATTTAAATATTCTATTCAAAAGTAAATATAATTAGCTACAGTAATAAACTTATATGAGTGCATATTTAACAGAAACATCTCAGAAAAATATTCTATTCTACTTCATAGTAGTATTAAAATATGATAGTTACCCTTTTCGTTGAGTCTGGTGGGCTACCATGTGGTACCGACTCACTTCAGGCTCAAATCTACACAGTTTCAACTCTTCAACTTCCAGACGAGCATACAAGTCGTCATCCTCCCCTCCCCAACCGTAATATTCATTGCTCATACCGTTTATAAGTTTGTATTGCTGTGAAGTTATTGCTATAGCACCACCAAATAGATTGAGGTAAGGGAGGACAAATCTGAAACGAAATAATTATTATATTTGATTAATGTCGAATTCTATACTGAAAGATTTTAAGCATTTTTTCTTAAGAACGGAATAGTTAACTGATAAATATATTGAGTGAAGTAACAAGTGCTTGAATAATTTGACTTGTTGGGTTTCGGGTAGCTCAATAGTTACAGCAGTCACCTGGATAGCCAACGATTGTGGGTGGGATTGCTGGTTCGAATCCCATCTCAGGTAACATGGGTTTGGTGGATTTACTAATTTCTCATCAAAATTATATAAATATTAAACAAAAATGCTAAATAAGAATCACTATTCTCAAGTGATCAAGATTCTCTAGTCACATATGTTAGTTTCCTAGCATCTATGACTAGAGAATTTTCTAAGCACTTACTAAAAGTAAATACTATTAATATGTCGAGGGAACACTGTTGATAGATAATATCAATTGTTCAACATGACTCATGATTTAATTAAAATATAGTATATGATAACTATACTTACATGCAAAAACAGGATGAAAGACTAATAAATAAAAATTCATCCAATAGAATTGGAGATACCATTTTGTAGAGCTGTGAATATTATGTAGTGCAACTCAGTTCCCTATGTGGAAAAAAAAATATAAAAACTAAAAATACATAGAATAATGATAAAAAAAAGTTATAGGTAAATTTAAAAATTTATAGGTAAATTTAAAAAAGGTTGGTAACATATTTATATCAATTTAAAAAGTTTTAATTACCACAAAAACACAAAAGCTGAAATTGTTTTATTAACTTAATTATATAATGACATCATATCGACGCTGGAAAGCAAACACATAGTAACCCACAAAACCAAAATAGATATTTAGAGTGGAAAATCTTTATATTTTTCAAAAAAAAATCTTATTTCTGTATAAATTGACTAAGGAACACCTTATTTGTTACCATAGACGTTTAGAGGAATTATTTATTAAAAAAAAATAATAGTATTTCTGCTTTGAAGAACAATTTTCATTTTGCTGGTTACTACGTGTTTGCTTTCCAGCATCGATATATAGATAATAATGTAGTGATGATTATTAGAGTTTCAATAATAAATATATAAGGAAATCACCAACATTTAAAAATTTCAGTTATTTAAATACCATACCTAAACTTATTGATGCTAGATGACATGTGTCTAGGACATTTAGTGCACGCATACAAGTTGGCAGGTCTCAACGGTAACAAATCAACATCATGCAATACCAGGCAAGGATACCCCGCTTTGAATGCAGCTGCTGCACCAATATTCAACAGTTTTGCCCTGTTAAATGGCTTCGTGTCAACTTGTTCAATGACGTAGATGCGATAGTGAATATTTTGACGGCGTAGGAACACATGCATGTATACTAAAAACCCGCGAAGTTGTTCTGCTCTATCCCTGTAAGGTAAACAATAATCATTAATAACAAATGCCAAATTTATGTCGAATTTATTGTTTAGGTTTTCTTTTACTAACCTGTAAGGGACTATAATTGCAGTGCTGAATTTAGGCTTACACTCTGAAGGGTAAAACTCTCCACCGTCTTTAATTTTGTGTCCTTCGATCAAGTCTCCGTCCATAAGACTAACAGACATAGTCGTAACATCGAATAATATGTCGCGATAATCACAATCCATTATAGCTGTGCTAGTGAAATTTTGGGCAATTCGATCATGTAAATTAACCATAATATTATTTTTTTCAATGTAATCGTATGTTCGGCGCCCGTTCATGTTAGGATGAAGAAATATTATTAAAGCGATGACAATTAAGCCACAATATATTATCTTTTTCTTAAATGCATGCCGCATTATCTATAATTGACAAATAAGTAAACGGTTTATGAAAAAATCACAAATAAAGATAAAAACCAATGCAAGGAAAATCAATATAAACAACTTTTTTTAAACTACATTTGACCACAGACTTAGTAGGCATTTGACTTTGACAGTGGGATGCATGCTTCACGCTTTTTAAATTTGTCTTCAATGTTACCAGTATCCATAAAATAGGGGTGTAGACATCTTTTTTTTTATATATTTTTATTTTATATAATAATCATTCATCTAAAAACAAAATTGATTTTTAAAATTTCCCGCGTAAACGCCACTTCTGCCATGACGGCGCTATGACGTCATAGCACTCTTGAGACGAATATCGTATGTATTCTTCTTCTTTTATTAATAGCTTATCTGCGCGTTTCGCACAATTCTGCAAATGTCAAGTGAATAATTAAATTATAATCAGTCGAACCAATTGGGCGCTGCTTTCGATCAGCCGAGTAGATTAACGCAACGTTCTATAATATGGCTGAACAAAGGTCAGCCAACTAATTAATTAGTAGGATTTTAAATAAAACTCAAAAACTCCTTGCCGCAATATGTAATCGAAACAAATCAACAAGATACAACAAACTGCTTATACGGGACTGGGTGTTAACTGTCCGTATGATCCAAACAGGAAGCTAACGTACACAACAATAAAGCAAGTGTGTTAAGTTTAAACTTTCATAATAAGTTCTTAATACTAATACAATTATACAAAAACAAAGACCTACCGCGATACATACGGCCACAGCGCCATCAATTGTAAAATTATTGTAAGTATGTATTTAACTGCGACTGTTTTGGTATATTTTATTACGATTTCGAAGTTTGGTGCTACAATAGTTAATAACAACATAAAATGATAAACAAAAAAGTTATTTTGGTCCTGTAGGTCGCGTGATGGGTTAGAAGTTATTTTTTAATATATAACTAACTAAATGAACATTTTGACGACTTGTAAATCAGCCGTCTTGTTGAACGCTTCAAATGTCATAATGATTCAACTAAAAAACTGGGCGTGCAAACTAATGGAGCCATTCAATTATAATGGCTAGCCGCCCAATTAAATGGCTGTTTAACCAATTGGCTGCAACATACGCATAAAGTTGCAATCACTAAGTTCTAGTATGAGTAAGTAGGTCGTGAGGTATAATTTTAGACGCTGTTGGTTTAAGAGTTTATATCGAAAAGCTTTTACACTTCGCTTGATTAGAGGCATAGCGTTATAATTCCGTCTACGATATAAACACGAGTTTACATGATTGTATCCCAAATTACATCGTCTCTTAACTTTTGATGCATCATCATAAACGCGGGTATATTTAAAATAAACTGAATGTCAGGTGTAAAAAATTAAATTCGTAGGTAATTTTTAGTTATATCGCACAATATTATTAAAGTATAAAAACTGTTTTAATTCAAGGAGTATAATTGATTTTGACTAACGACTGGCCTAAAAGCTCCAAAGATTCAAAAGAATACAAAATGACATTGCAAGTTAATCATAAAATTGACTTAGATGACACAGAGGACGCAGCGAATTTCTCAAATTCTGTTGAACTCATACGAAGATGTACAAAGGACGATCAGATAGAAACATCTTGGGAGCAGAGTCGCTACATGTCCTTCTGTGATCAAAATAAATATAGCCCAGATAAGACGCCTTCTTTTGTGAGTATAATGATAACTGACGCAGGAAGTCCTGAAAATAAGAGTAGCAACTCAACACAAACTGAACCCACACTACCAATCAATTATAATATAGCAGACGTGAGCCTTTCGTTTAGCAATGACTTTGACTTACATGAATCGACATCAAACGATAACTCCGACCGATGTGTACGGAGTAAACGTCACAGACGTAAGTCCACAAGTAACGACAGGGAAACCAAATCCTGGAAAAAGACGAAATGTACAGAGTCATGCACATCGAGCACATCAGACATAAACGAACTCAAAATATCAATCGATACCACTTCCAGCAGAATGACGAGTGCATCTGAAATATCTTTTAAATCTATCAACAGTAACCATTCGTTCAAAGTTCGCAAAAGGCGGTTGAAGTCCGAATCGAATTTGTTTAGAGATGTGCTGCAGAAGTCAAGAAGAAATGTAAATATGAGTAATAAAAACAAACAAATAAAATGTGTAGAAGACAATATAAAAGGTATTTTTATGATAATTATTACAGTAAAAATGTATGGTGGTCGCATATCTATCATACCGGAAGGAGAGGGAGGAATCGAACGAATTTTCTTTACATCATCCATAATTTAAGTCACATTTAAGTTAAGAGGGGTAGAGCGAGTTTGATATTAAGACCATATTAGCTCAATATAAATTAGAATTTGTATAAACAAACTGTGACAGGGGGAGAGGGGCTTAAAATTTATTTCGTGTAACGTAATTTATGGACGGAAATGAACGACAATCGTTTATTGTTTTGTCACCTACGTTAAACGATTCAGCGGTCAGGTTCGTGTTTTTATACAAAGAATTCTAAAAGTTCTTTCTTTCATCTCCTTCGGCGCGTTCTATTCTGATAGATGTGTAAACGCAATATCAAGTTTCTGTCCCGATTGGAAAAGTTGTCGATCCGGGCCTATTGCCGCCTCGAGCCTTCGATGAGGTTAGTCCGCCTCGGGGGCTGAGCCACAGAACACAGAAGTGTGTAATGTAATTTTATATTTATTTATATATTTTGTATGATAACTAAATGGTCCGGTGTACTTCGTATCACCTTTCACATAACATACACACTAAAAAAAGTATGTTGTACGTATGCCGTTGTAGATATGACCATTATATGAGTGTTTTATTTTATCTTTAGGTCTAATATCCTGGGTTCGATTCCCGTGTAGTTTAATTCAAGAATATAACTTTTGTTTGTGGTTGATTGTGTGCAATTCGTTAGTGTAGAACTTAGCTTGGGTGGTAAATATAAAAAAATAACATAATCGCCCAAAGGGCGGCCTTGTAGCTGAAAAATTATCCTTTCCAGACAACTATATGGAAATTAAGTAGAGATTTATGGTTCATCTGAGCAAAAGTTACACGTTAGAAATATATGTCTATAATATATGCGTATAACTTTAAATAGAGATAGTAGGTACGTACTCAATAATCAAAATTTTAAAATCAAACTAAATTTAATGTTTAGGAACGCTTTGCTGCGTCCGGTATATGTGCATGTTGTATTTACATATACGTTTTAAAATTATAAATCCCTCTCTCAGGGTTCACTTTCCGGCAGATTTTAGGCATTTATTTTTATTTAACAAGTGCTAAATCATAACTGATAATATGTGGCACCTTAGTTAATAGAAATAGTGCAAAGCTGTTTGTATAATATTTATAATTGTAGGTACCAATTTCGTTATAGAAAAACAGATGTGTGGATCTGACCTATGTTATCTTAGCACTGAACTTAATATGTATAGGCGGCATATCAGCCAGTAACTCGATTTCTTTACGATCTTTCGTCCTTATCACAAAGATTTCATTTTAGATTTAAAAAATATAATAATTAGATAGTACCTACGCCTTTTGCACTGTAGTTAGATTTATAGATGATTTAATAAATACTAATCAAAAAGTGTGTTAACAAATTCAAAAAACTTCATTTGCAGTTAGGGCGAAGATTGCCGGCGTCGGGCGCCAGGCAATTTCAGAAATAATATTAATAGAACGACCAAAAAATGAGAAGATTCTAATTTGGTCAAACATATATTTCTGAGATTTGTTCGTTAGAAAAAAAATACAGTTATTTCTAAAATTAACCACTTCGTTTTTTTATTTTATAATTCATCGTAAGGATAAATATGTATGAGTCACTATGAAACCATACAATTTTATAATAATTAAAAAAATATCTTCCTTTTTGATATCTAAAAAAATACTTATAAATCTAAATAGATCACTTTCCGCGTTATATGATACAGAAGCAACATACTGATGTGTTATATTTTACAACATGTCCTGAGATCATCTATCTCGCGCAAGATTGGTGACATCACCTTCCCAATACGAGTTTCTGTTTTATATTCCAACGGTCAGACGCATTCGTGATTAATAAACATTGAAGAGATGGGCGACTGTTTGAAAGATGGTCATATAACTGTTGAAATAGAGTTGGAGTGTGCTTTAGACAGTGGATTACTGAGTGATGTGGAATGGTTTACTTTGTCAGGAGGGCAGAGGAAGGAGAAGAATCAACGCCGAGGGAAAACGAAAGCTTGGCGGTTCGTCGATTTGTGTGCATGGATTGGAAGAAAGGTAAACAGTAATGTTAATTTTAAAATTAGGTCGAATTCATATCTCACAGTGTCGGAATATCCATATAGCAAAAGTAGCGAATGCTACGGGCCCCATGCGTTTGGAGGTCCCGCGCGATTGGGAAAAATTATTTTTTCCGTCAATGTTAAAAAATGCAATAAAAAAGCGACGCTTCTGCCCAAACTCATATTTTTAAGTAAAAACATAAATTGACTAATAAAACTCTTAAACGACATATTACTTATGTTATGTTATTCGGAAAGCTCAGGACGACGTTTTTCTTTATCCGTCATCGTTATTACGAAAGATATAGGCATTAGATATTCGGAAGAATGTCCACAGTTTTTTGAGAAGCCATAAATCAAAATGTACCTTTATTTTCTTGTTAGAACTCAAAAACAAGATGGAGCATGTTGATGCTCACATCGTAAGACAAATTGATTATGAATAGTTGCACTGGCTATTACTTTTATTTATTTACTAGCTGTGCTCGCAACTTCGTCTGCGTGGGAAGTATTTTGGTAGAATTTTTTTATTCCTATGGATGGAGTCGAATCAAATAAGATCAATGGGCCATAACTTAATGCGGATCTGTGGGTGTTAATGTTGCTGATGCAGCCAGGACTAACGGCTTAACGTACATTGTGCCAGTGTTGTACACAGTGCTCAGGATAATAATGTTTTGGTCACCCATCCTGTCCTTACGAATGTAATTTTCTATCTTTTTTCTCGTTTCTCGCGCTCTGGTTGGCGCTTGTGTTTGAGAATTTTATTCGTAGCTGGAAACTGTCCTTCTTTTGTTTGTGATCTTTTTATTATTTATCTAGTTGTATGCACAATCGGCTATTTATTGATCTTTTTTTCATGTAATGCTAGGTTGCCTGGAAGAAATCGCTTGCTAGCGATGAGTTTGTCGTTTGTACTTAGTTACGTAAAATAAGTTTACATGTATATACTTGTTGTGCAGTATTTTACTCATTTATTTCACTGCAATTTAAATCGAATGCGCTAACCCACTACGCCATCGGACCTCTTATACCTAAGATATACTAATAATAACAAACTACCAAATCTTTCCTTTTTATAAAAAGAGGAAGGATTTGGTTGTTTGTTTGTTTGCATCGAATTTGCTCCAAAACTACTGGACCGATAGTTTCAGAGCGATTCCGACCTACGGGAAGCTACATCAGATGCGGATGTCATAGGCTATAGTTTTGCGGTAAAGTCGCAGGAAAACAGCTAGTTCATTACATCCTATTAAAACTTATCTGCGATACGCCTGTGGAGTATGAAGGCAACATAGATTGGTGATAATCGAAATTATTTTCTCGATCTCTATTGTGCAAACTGCGAGCTCTTTTAGAGACCAAGCGCATTTTTCTATCAAAGGAAGTTTCATACTCATACCATACTGCATGTATGTTACGATCAGCAGTTAGACGCGCTATGCGATCTTCAGAAGTTTCCTGAGATCAAACGCTTGTTGTATGAGTTCTCCGAGAGCTCAAGAGATTGTCCCTGACGGTAAATGCTTCAGATTCAACTTTATAGTGCATGAGCCTGGCGTATGAACGTATGAAATACGTTTCGCGTTTTTCAGGTGTCTCCCGAGACCGAGCACTTTCCGTCCGATCTCTTTCTTTGTCAATAAAAGTCGATCGGTACATGTATGACGGAAGATACGTGGAGTTTTATTTATTGATATAAAAAATATATACATATTTTAATTTCGAATTTCCACACTCGAAGGAAATCGTCTACTAACACATACTTCCGAGAGGTGCTTAACTGAGCTTCCGTCAGATTTGAACGGCCCTCATCATCATCATCATAAGCTCTGTTACGTCAGCAACTGCAGGAGCCTTATGGATTAAGGAGGATGGGCCACGACCCTCCATGTTGGCCCAATGCGAATTGGAGGATATTAACGACTGCAAATTCAACCGGAACCAATCACTTTACGTGCCTTCCAAAGCTTGGAGTTGCTTGAGATAATATTTTTTGGACACCCATCCTGTGAACGACCTTTGCGAAAGTTGCTTAACAACTACAATCGCGAGCCTTGGCGTTTATTCACTACGCCACCAAGCTACTCTGAACCGATCCTCAGACTCGCGTAATATTATATGTGTTGTGACCAATGAATAAACCATTGTTTCCAGCGAAGACTGAAAATACCAACTTTGAAGTACGTATCTTCAGCAATTTGTATGTAAAAAAAAGAGTATTAACATAAAAATAGTAATAAGAGAAAAAAAATATATAACTCGAGTTGTCTTTACGTTCTTAACTTCAGTTGACGTGAATCTAAGTTTTTTAACATCGTGGAAAAACTTCTGACATTGTCTCTGTTACCTGGCAAGCAACAGGGATGAGTAGGATTCTCCTCCGTGAACCCGACAGTGAGCTGCCCGGTGGGTCCCCGGAGGCCTACCCACCAAAAACCGTACTCTACACCTTCTCATGGGAAATGAAAACCGGCAAGCTATGGCCGAGTCACCAGGACACTCAAGTATTGGATCATTGCTCCCCTTGCAGATGGAAAATTGGAGAGACTCGGCTAAATGGAGTGCCTCTCCCAGACAGACGAAATCGTGCAATGCGGGAGCGGCTGCCAACCACCTGCGCTGGCCCCGACGACGACGTGAACCTAATCTGATAAAAATATGCGTTCACTGTAAACTACTCGAGGCTTAATTGCATCATCGGAAGGCTCTTTCCGCTTGTTCTCCTACTCGCGTGATCGTATACCACATGTCCATTATAAGCTGAACCCTATTTAATATGATTGGCCATATATAAATGAGGTCAACTTACTTCGGAGTTGTCAAAATTTTGGAATCTTATTTTTTTATTTGTCATCATACAAATTATCATTTCATAGACAATATTAATTCACAGCTCGGTGGCGCTACGGATATGCGCCGCTGCGCACGATCGCTATTGCTAAGCAATTATCGCAAGAGTTGTTCACGGGATGGGTGACCAAAAATTATTAAACAAAGGCCTGAGGCCCTGTAGTTTGGCTGTGAAAGAGTTAATGATGATGATCAACATATCAAAGATGAAAATTTTATAAAACAGTAAATATTTCATAGCAATTTTGGCGACCACGTCACTTCAAATTGACATAACTTTTTTATTTGTGAACCGATTGTAATAAATCTTACCCTAAATGTTAACGGAAGAATGCCGCAACACAATAGTGAAAACTGCATTTAAATAGGTTCAGCCGTTTCTGAGATTATCGTGCACAAACGCACAGACAAACAGACAAACCGACAAACAGACAAACAGACAAAAAATTTAAAAATCATTGTTTTGTATTCTATTACGCTTATAAATGTCCCCTATAACAGTTTTTTTCATATATCTTCAATGTACAGACATCGATCGGTTACGTTTTTATTATAGTATAGATTTGAGCAACCAACAAGGTCAAACACTATACATGCAAATAAATTAATAATAAATAACAAAGACAATGTGCTGCCTTAATTAAAGGTTACCACGACATGCATATGAAAAAGTAACCTGGAAGCGTGTGGCCCCAACAATAAACAAGCTTAAATGTAATTACAGTATAACATACTTTTATAAATTAAAAGTAAAGAAACTGAATAGGTTAAATCTAAAAGTGACTATGGTTAATAAAATATATTGCTATTGACATCAAGCTACACATTTAATTAAATATTTATTATTTTATTTTAATTACTATATAATGCTACTTTTAAGATTTTTTAATTATTACAATGCCAACATTTTACAGTGAAATGTTACAAATCAATAAAAGTGTATTTGTGAGAATTTTGTTTTTCTTTTTTTATCAATTATTATCCCCTTGGTTTGCTTGGGATTAATTAATTTGATTCACAAAAAATTCCCTCTTAAGTTGTTTTTTGTTTTGACAAAAATAAAATAAGGAAGTATCTAAAAAAAAAGAAAGCACTAAAAGCACGTCCACTAGATGGCGACTCTAGCAAAAGTTGATTTTTGCAGGAAACGAATGGAAATATTAAAAAAAAACTGAAATTTACAAACTTCGAAACTTGGATATTAATACAAATACGAAAAAGTACACATTTTTTCGTCGAGTTTTGAAAACTAATTTACTTTTATACATGAAAAACCGGAAGGGTTGTCATGGAGAAATCAAGAACGAGTTGTATTTCGGGAACTAATGCTTTTTTTTAAATACTTTTTCATTAGAGTGGTAAGATTACAATAATATTGTAAATGTTATATTTGATCAATTGATTCACAATGCATTTAATTAAATAGATAGTTTTATAGGCAATAAATAAGAAATGAACTTGATAAAATAATATCGTAAAGCTCTCCAAAGAGTCTACAAAAGATCTATTTATTATCAACTAGTTGTTCTCATGTGTTTTCGTCCGTGTAAATTGTAGTTAATTTATGTCACCCGCGTATGATGAAGCTTCCAACAGGTGAATATATCCGAAGATTACTCACTGCAGACTAATAAACAAAGAAACTTGACCTCTTTATAATATTAGGTATGCGAAGATAAAGTTTTGGCTGTACATATTTTTGCACGATTCTTCGAAGTTTCCAATTAGGAATTCGATTTTAAGGCCTTGCAGCTCGTTGCAACGAAAGGAGTTACACCGGCTGCCTCTGACCTCATGCCGCCTACACATGATGTCTTCTCTTAGGTAACAGGTTCAATTCAAGGTCAGATCGAAGTAGATCGAGTTTGAAACAGTCGAGCCCAGCTATGAGATAGATAGGCAGGTCAGTATACTTTTTACGCGGAGCCTTAATAACAATAGACAATTTATTGTTGTCCAAACAGGGCTATCAGTCCATCACAGGGCTGTACTCTGATATGATACGGGAACCTTTAGGCCGCAAGGACAACGAGAGAAATGAAGAGATCGCCGATCTTAGGGACCGCCTGGAGGAGGTGGGTGCTAAGCAGGCAAGGCTCACGCAAGAGAATCAGGTGCTGCACGACCAGATGAAGAATATGATGAAGAAGATGGAAGACTTAGAAGAGAAATTCAAGTAAACTCATCCATTTAATAAACTAGCGTTTTCTCGCGCTTTCTTTTACGCATGATGTATCTTCTCATAGGTGATACAATTTTTTAAATCGATTCGGATTCTAATAGTTTCGGATTCTATTCATTGCAAGCAAACAGACAATCAAATCTTTCCTTTTTATAATATCACTAGCTGACCCGAAAGACGTTGTTCTGTCATAATTATAAATTTTACAGCACGCATTCTGTCAATATAGATGTAGACGATTTTTTAAGAATATCTTTATTTTAAAGATGTATTTGAAATATATATTTTAAAAAAAATATCTCTCAGATATTAATTTAAAATCTAAACATCAAATTAATGTTGAAAATTTCCCGTTAAAAATAATGAAATAATTCTCCTCTGTTATGGCGTCGATGTGACGTCACAGCCCTCTGAAACTAACATAAACATCATCAACAACGGCAACAACAAACATCGTTCTGTGTCCAGTTCTATGTATGCCAATGTCAAAGTGACATCTTCCTTAATGAACTGTGACGTCACGCGCTATTTGCAGTTACCTGACTACGAAACTAAAATAAGTGGTTTCTCATAATTAATTTAAATAATATCATAAACTAGTCTTACTTTCATCCCCTAATTTACCTCCTTAGGGGTCGAATTTTGTAAAATCCCTTCTTAGTGATCACCTACGTCCTAAAAAGAACCCGCATACAAAATTTGAAACTCCTAGCACTTGTAGTAACGAAGTTTCATCCCCTAATTTACCTCCTTAGGAGATGAATTTCATAAAGTCCCGTCTTACTGTGCACCTACGTCCTAAATAGAAACCGCATGCAAAATTCGAAACTCCTAGCACTTGTTGTTTCTGAGATTTCGTGATGAGTGAGTGAATCTTACGCTTTTATTATATAGATAAAATAAGCATGTCAGTGTGATTATCGGTAATGGTATATAAAATTAATAGTATTTTAAGAAAAAAAAAAGAATTTATTTTCGTTAATTGTGCCAGGACAATGTGAATTTATTAAGCATTTTTTCATTAAGAATTTTTGGCATATGCAGAAATGCTTCCAATTATTTTTTTATTAACACAAAACTATTGTAAACTATTCCGATTTCAAATAAAATTCATATAGGAACACCGCAGGCACATAAGCCCCAGTCATGTAACATAATAACCTATTGCAGACGCCATGAATGTGAAAGGCCGTCGCGTCCGATTGTGGCTCCTCCCCCTCCACCGCCGCCACCACCACCTCCACCCCCTCCCCCACCACCGCCACCGCCACCTCCCACGTCGGCAAAACCCCTGTCTCGCTCGCACACCATACCGCGGTGTGGATCAGCACCACCCCGGATAGCAGGACCACGGCTCACCATCACGCCTCAAGATATAGCTAATGTGAAGCTTCGCAAGACAAGGGTAAGTAAGAAATTAGACGTAATAAGAGCTTTTTATTTGTAATCGTTCAGTAAGATCTGCAGGCAAATTCTATTACGGCATTTGGCCATTGTACTATCGACTAAAGTCTAATGTATCTTTTATATCTGTCATCATTGGTTTGTGAGGAAGACAGCATTCATAATATTGGATTTCAGATTCTATTGAGATGCGATTATTACCAGTGCTGGATTAAGCCAGAGTGGGGTTTGTAGCGATTTTTTGACACCCCCCCCCTTTCCCCTTGGTTTGCTAGACATTAATTAAGTGTATTTATAACATTTCATAGTAAATTCTTCCAATCACCTAATATATCTTTCGTTACGACGATGACGGATAATCGGAATCAGTAACTTTGCAAACGAAACGATAACGTCGTCCTTTGCTTTCCGAATAACACGACACAACTAATGTACTAACTGTATCTGTACTAAGTAGCTCGGTGGCGTAGATGATAAGCGCCGCAGCCCGCGATCGTTGTTGTTAAGCAACTTTCGCAAGGGTCGGTCACGGGATGGGTGACCAAAAAATTATTATCTCGAGCTACTCCGTGCTTCGGAAGGCACGTTAAGCCGTTGGTCCCGGTTACATTTGCAGTCGTTAATACCCTCCAATCCGCATTGGGCCAGCGTGGAGGGTCATGGCCCAGCCTCCTTAACCATCCATAAGGAAGGTCTGAGCCCCTGTAGTGGGGACGTAAAAGGGCTGGTGATGTGTGATGAACTAATCTGTGACTTGAGTTTTATTTGTCAGTTTATGTTACACAAAAATATGAGTCTAAACTAAACAGAAGTGTGGCTTATTCAAATTCTTGCATTTTTTAACATCGACTTGATTAATTTAGCCCGTAGCATTTGCTACGTGGCTAATCCGGCACTGATTATTACGTAAACATGAGCTGAATCGTCCTACTGATGCGGCTCCCTAATATACTCGGCGCAGGAGACTGAATTTCGAAGCGCAGGAAACGTTGACCAATTAGAATGACTCTAGTATCACGCCATCAAGCGATTAACCAATATCGACAATTCGACATGCGTGCCCCCGCCGAGTGACACACCTAATTTATATCTTATGGATATTGAAACGAGAGATGTCGTTGAGTTGGTAGGTTTGGTCTGCGCAAATGATCATTCAGCATGCGCCAGATTAGTTGAAACTTACTGTATTTTTACTTCATTCTTAACTTGCCCGGTGTCACTTCTATACTAAATAAGAGGGCACGGTTCCTTTTAGTGGATTCTATTTATGTTATAATAAAATCAAACCACCGAGACACCAACCAAAGACGAAAGTGTGTAAAAAACACGTAACAAAATTGATTTCCTTTTGCTATATATATTTAAAATATAAACAGGATAACCCAGTGAAACAAAAGCCAGTTGCAAAAGAAGCCCAGCCGTTGGTGACGCAGCAGATGCTGATGACCACCCGCGCTAAACTGAGCAGATCGCGACCTGCCGCTGCCTCCACACCGAAACAGCAATTAACCGATTTGGAGCAGTGAGTACTCTGCAAGCATGACGTCACCAACTTGCCCTTACAATATCTCGGGTAATCGGATCAGTAACTAGCGTCAATGATGGCCCCAGAAAACTAACTGCATTGTTTACTCAAAGTCAAAACAGTCTTTATTTAATAAAAGTTATTAAAAGTACTTTCGAATCGTTCATTGTTTCTGGACGTCTTTTTGGTTGAAAAGAACGAGCGAAACAAACTAAATCTAACAGAAGGAAGTACGTCTTCTAGGGCACTTTGTTTGTTATGCACACGAGCAGCCATAAGTGTCTTTATGATTCAATCTACTCTAGGTCTTCTAGGGTTTGGTGCCAGTAGCTGACGGCATGCAAATGCGGCTTTATTAATTTTGTTGCACATGACAGAGTTTCAATTGGAACAATTAAATTAGGGATGAAAAGTAGCCAAGCAGATGTAGTCTAGAACACTGGAAATCAGCACTCATCATCATAGCAACAATTTCAATTAATACATGAAAAAAATAAACGTTTCTTAGAAAGTAATTTATACAGGCTTTTTAAATATTCTGCATATGTAGGTAATATGAAAAACTCGAGAAAAGCTTTGTATGTCTACATTTACGAGTCGCAAGTGAGGTATTGTACGGGCGCACCCGGAAAGATATTTGATTTAGACCAGTGAATTTTTTTAAAATGGTCTACGAGAAAATTTTTTTTGTGAACCTCTGTGTAGACAAAGCGTTTCTCGAGTTTGCCATGCTATGTGTGAAGGATATTTAAAATACTGTATAACTTTGTCGCAGTCGTAAGTTTAAACGTTTCGTTCCAGATGTCTACTGCAGGAGTCGTGTGTGACGGCGCTGTACCGCGCGCGCGTGGCCCGCAGCTCGTTCCGCAGCGCGGAGGAGCTGCGCGCGCGCCCCTACCCCGCCCCGCGCTCCCCGCGCCCGCCCCGCCCGCCGCGCTCCCCGCGCTCCCCGCACTCCCCGCACCACGAGCAGAGGTCCGCCTCGCTGCCCCGCGGCGCGCAAATAACGAAATTGAATTTCAACGCCCGCTCTGTCCTCAAATAGAGGAGAATCATTGATCTCAGTGGCAAGGATGGAGCTAATAGGGTTGTGACGCCACGTTTTCATATTAAACAAGGTCGATTACCTATGGTAGACCTATAAACAATACGATAGCTTGATCACTGTGCGTCTAATATATTCTGGGAAATATCTCTTTTAAAATGAATGCTCTATTTTGAGCAGAAATTCTATAGCCCGACTCGCCCTATGTCTGTTTTCGGATGGTTGTGACCAGTGGCGTAAATTTACCATTTGAGGCCCGTGGCAAATTCATCGGATATTCAATTTTATTTACTAATTGCGTAATAATAAATATCAGGAGTAAGGAGTATCCTCTGACTGGGGGCCCCTTCCAGCTGGGGGCCCGTGGCATTTTGCCACCCTGTAGTTACGCCACTGGTTGTGACCACAATTTTTTTGGGGTCTGGATACACCTTAACGCAGTGGCGGCTTTATATGTTGCAAGACACCGGGGACAGGACTAAGCGGGCTCTATTCCTTTAATTAAATTGGAAGCGTCTGAGTGATTCTGATGAATAAATATGTTTGAGATTGTTTTATACGGTTAATTAATATTAGTTTTATACTGATCTTATATTATTGTTTCAAAAGAGTAGTCTTGTTTGTTCGTATTATTGCGCGCGAACGTTGGTGAGGTACCTTTCTCTTTCTGATCCTCACCTCCATTGTACTGCAGTCGTCGTCATATATTTCTAGAATGATACTCGTCTCCCCAGTGGCGTAGGCGTTAGACAATTTTGCTGCCCTCTCTTAATAAGTATTTCATAGGTATTTTATATAATTATACTATACATTTTAAAGAATTTTTCGTAAAGAACTGTCATCATTATTTTTCATTATATAGGTTAGATTTTGACTGCACAGTGGTCGAGTGGTTTAGTTGTCGCCAGTTGCATGGCCCACAGATCGAGTGTTGTGGTTTGATCCCCACAAAGGACAAATTTTCGTGTGTATTACAAATAATTGTTCTTAATCTGGGTGTACTTTGTCCCTTGCAAAACAGAACTTGTATCCTAAAAAGCGGGCTTATCTTTTAAAAAACAAAAAATATTTGAAATAATAAAACTTTCTTTGAATTGTCAAAGCATCACCTACTTTCTTAAAGGGACGTAATAAACAAAATTCCTTTTTGCCGATTATAAGTCATACATAAACAATCTAAGCACATAATAAAATACGTGGAATCCCCGTAAGTCAGTAAAGATGGTGTTGCCATTCGCTACAAAATATATAAAAATAGAATATGTAATTCCGTGCTCTTTTCATTCGTTCCAAATTTATAGTTGCGTTAGAAATGAATTGGTTTAAATGTTTAAAAAAATATATTTTATTGTTTACTGTGAAATTTTCCCGCCCCTCTAAAAAGTGACGCCCGGTAGATTGCCCCCCCCCCCCCACTACGCTACGCCACTGCGTCTCCCTTAGATCAAATTCAAATACGCAAAAACAAGATGTATTCAAAGTGTATACTAGGCATCACGACGACTGAATATTTGTAAATTAGTAGATAAATAATTCGCATTAAAAAATATATCGATATATTTATGTAATATGAGACTGACATTGATAATAAAACAAACCTTTCTTATTTGACAAACGAGTAAATAGTTATTTTGATAATATGTATAGCTATTTGTAATTTATTACATTAATTTAAAGTTGTAACTATGTTTATATTTAGTTAGAACTTGAGCATTTGGAATGTTCCGAAGACTAACTAACACAATTATCAAGTCCTTTGATGTTTTATAATAGTCAATACAAAATATTGTTTGTTAAAAAATATTTTTTAAGAAACCTTATATTTGATGACTTGCTAATCCCATATGATAGTTCTGTATTAATAATTCTTTATTTTAAATCATTGTTATAATTTTTTTATAGGAAATCTTTGTATAATGAGTTTTGTCACGTTTTTTATATTCAAACAAAGGTAAATCTGGTATTTGTTTATTAATGGAAACATTGTTTGCTATATTTTGTGTGAACTGTAATTGTAGTTTAATGATAAATCTTATCATGCATATATGATATTTTCCCCGAATTCTGATAAAAACATTTTCTAAATAAAAAGAAAATTGGTAAAGATATTTACTTTTATTTACAAAACAATATACAGTTAATATTCCAATTTTTACAGAAGTGGAATGTTACATTTAATATAAAAGATCCACAGAAATGCAATAATGTATTATATTAATTGATATTTGATACTGGTTATTTATTATACTAATACCAAAACTCAAAATCTAGTTTAATAATCATATGTCCAGTTTTATAAACGTCCATTAGCTATTATGACGCCATAAAGCTTTAATGATTGTTAATTTTTTTGAAAATTTGTCAGCTTGTTGCACTACAGATTCATTAAAAGTGTCATTAATTTAATGCCATATTTTCTATACGATTTTTCAATTTAGAACACTCATTAGAGCTTATAGTCGTAATTACACTTAATGGACGTTTGTGAAACGTGCAATTGGACAAGTCGGACAAATTAATAACACCCTGCCCGGCATTCTCTGCACTTCCCGGCACTACGTCCCGCCGTTGCATCGAGTTTTCAGTAGCGATAGTGTAACGTGTCTTTGCGTAATAGATTTTTTGTTTTTCTTTCTTTTCGTTGTTTTTCTTACGTTTGGAAGATTTATTTTGGCGAAATTTTGTTTAGTATTTTTTATAATATATTAAAAAGTTCGGAGTGGTAAAAACCTTTTTTGCGCGCTGTACTTTAGACAAATGTCATACTTGCCAAGTGTTGTGTTTACTGTACCGACTTGTACTTAAAATAATCGATATAATTATTATATTTTTTTAATTTTTACTGCAAACACACGTTAGATCTCAAAATAGGTATAATTCACTCATTTAATAAAACAATAATTGAAAGAGTTTTTAAAGTTCTTTTTTATGTATATGCATGTCGTTTCATACCCTTAACAGGGATTTTAGACGTTCACGTATAGCTTTATTATAAAATATCGCAAATAAATAAATATCAAATTTCTGCAATAGATTTTGAACGCATTAATATATTAACATGATGTGATGTTGACTGTACAAGATAATGTTTAAATACATCATACAAAGAAGGTGTTGACTTGGTCAACTAATAATTAAAAATTATATAATAAACAATGTTATCATAATTAATAATAATAACATAAAAGGAAAAAAAGCAGCTTAAGTACTCTTATGCAGATTGCAGATTGATTTTGATTTATTATCGGTAAGTTGATTGATATAGCATATCAATATGATACTGAGCCGCGAAAAAATTGTTTAATTTTTATCTTTCGTCTTAATGATATGTAGGTGTGTACACACGGCCGCACGTCACACTAAACACCACCAAAGTAAGCACACCTTTATTAGATGGGAAGTTCTGTACGAAGCGCGGTCGGTATAAAATCAACAATGAATAATCTGAGGTGCAGTCGTGTGTACTACAATACTGATAATAATGACTTTATTCGATGAAATCTACCTCTGTGACGGATGGATAGTGTTTTTTTAATGCTATCATCATGTAAAAATCAGTATATAATCAAATTTCAATTTTTTTTTGCAAATATGGCACTTATTACAATGCAATAAAGTTGTGAACGTTAAATGTTTTATGTCTGATATATAACTTACTGTACACAAACCTTATTTTTATATTATATATACAAATGCTACACGAGTTATAATAACAATAATATACACATAACTTTTATACTTAAAAGATAACGTACAATAATTACTGCGAGGTATAAACTAAATCGTACCACGACGTATTTATAAAATAAAAAGTTGAAACAATCACCCAATGGTGGTACATACAGCTAGAACCATTATAGCACCTGTAAAGGATTTTTTTACATTTAATATTTCCATTTTCAGTTGCAATAGATATTCAAGTATCTAATCTACACTAGCTGTTCACTAACTGCAATTTAGCCCTAAGAAGATAGCTTCTTTGTTACCCACATATGATGTAACTGTAGGTGAAAGAATTTAAAAAATCGGTTCAGTATTTCCCGAGTTTATTCAATGAAAACAAACAAAAATAAATTAATCTAAATTACCCCCTAAAAGAGGCTCTAATTTTCAAATTCATTTATTATTAGTACATTAATTGGATCAACAGTATTATTCAATCGGTACGTCAGTTTAAAAGTAAATCTGCTATCACAGACAGGCGGACAACCGATTTATCCTAAAAGCATTATAATTTCCTTCTAAAGTACGGAATTCTAAAATTATAGTAAGTTATATTATAGTCTAGTAAACCGAAATAGCTCACCTTAGTGGGCGTAGTTGTGCGTAGTGTGGTGTAGTGTATTATAGTGTAGTGTATAAGTCCCGCAAATTGCTAATGCGCTGGAACCTTGTCTAAATAACACCCAAAAATATTGTTATAATAGTCAATTTATATGTTGATGAGGTGTGTATATGAAAAAATAAAAAACATTAATAATAACGCGATAACCACAGCAAAGGACGATTTTATAAAACATCGTCAAAAATAATTGTCAAAAGAGAGACATGAGATATATTTTTAATGAAATCAGATTTTCTTTTTTTTCGGAAATCAGTTGCTATTTTTGTCAACCATAACAAGTAACAACAAAACTATAACAATCGAAAACAACAAAGATATAACAAAAACTGCGTGTGATCTCAACACAACCAAACTCAATAAGTGCACTCGTCAACCAGTGATTAATTTGTTAACCGTACTGATTGTTGAACGCAATTACGTCACCAAAATGGCGACCAGGCGCATTAGCAATTTAAAGCGGGGATTATAAAGTGCAGTGCAGTGTAGTGTGTTATAGTGTAGTGTGGTGTAAAGTGTTATAGTGTAGTGTGGTACAGTATAGTGTAGTATAGTATGTTGTGGTGCAGTTACGCCTCAGGATTGCGTTTCATGAGCGCGAGATCTGCGGTGACCATGTCCCGCACGAGTTGGTCGAAGCTGACGCGCGGCCGCCACCCCAACGACGCGCGAGCCTTACTCGGGTCGCCTAGCAATAGGTCCTGGACGAAACGATGACAACTAAGCTTTATTCACGCACTAATGACGTATCAGTATAGACGCAACTCCGTATCAGTTATAATTGACTATTCGACAGATACAACAACAAGTATCTAACACCTTTTGGAGAAAACTAAATCTAATAGAGGTTTATTATAATCAACAGTCCTGGATCTACGAATTTCCAAACGATGCAGTTGACATGTCCAATGTGTATGAATCTTAAAAAATATTTTTATGAAGCTTGTATTTTTTCGCTGACGCCTTAGACTAAAGCCCCTCCCCCTTTTTTATTTTGAATGGGCTCACTCTTAATCTAACCCAAGGATATGAATGAGATCTGCGGTGGAACGAGCTTGCTCAGAAGGGACCAGGTCCAGATTTTCAATTTATTTTAATCGGGGCTAAAAGTTCGCCTGTCACCCTACCTGTCTACCCCCCACCCGTAACGATGATTTTGGCGAACCCCCTAACACTGCCGCCCGGGACAAGTGCTCCCTAGATCCGACCCTGGAAGAAACTATTCACTCTCGTCTTTAATAAGTCTATACATAAACTTGGCCCCTAAATCCGGGCCTGAAAAGACAAATCTCACTCACCACTTCGGTCGGCCTGAAGTATTTAGGGTTGACTCTGACTAGAAGTTTATCAGTGCTAGCGTCATGTCCGGTCTCGTCGACGCCGGCGCCGCGCCATGTCACTGCGATGTCGACGCACGCGAACGCCTTCTCTACAAATTCCCGTACACTGTGCGCCTCACCGGTCGCCACTACGAAGTCTTCCGGCTCATCCTGCTGCAGCATCAGCCACATCGCCTATATATAGTAGACATAATCATTATAATCCTATTATTGTCTCCACTGCTAGGGCACATATATTATCATAATTTCGTAGTGTATTTTTCGTATATTATGACGTTTTTGGAGCCCACTTAACACTGACGTCCAGGTCAAATGTCCCCGCTTGCCCCCCCACCCTAGATCCGGGCCAGGGCTCTTTAGAATAGCTATAACCTACCGAGAATTGGTGGGGGTCAATAATAGCAGATTTTAGAAAAATCATTTTTTCTTACTACTACTTTTATTAAAAATATGCTGTTTGATAACGAATATGTAAAACTGAGATTTCTTAGTTTATATTTCATAAGCAAAATCGCAGTTTTCTAAATTAATTAGCTCTGCAAAACACGTTTGCGTTTAAATACTACTTTCATAGCGTCAATAAAAAACGTTATCGGCTCTTAGCTAACGTACTGCAACTTTTAACCTATTTATTTTATTAAGGTACTGCTATATTGTTCCTAGCTTAAACCGAACGCAATAACCAATGCGCCATTGAACTCCTCCATCTTCATACCAACATTTTTGAAAAACAGATTGATTGTATATAGGTATTGATGCATTTTTTAATATCAAATAAAGTATGTTACAATATTAGATTTGTTACTGAAAGTAACGCAATCGATTTCAATACAATGTTTCTTAGGCGATTGCGTTACAAATAGAAACAACTATGTCAATACTATAGGGTTATTATGAATACTATATTGATGTTACTAATTTAACAATATAGTGGAACGTGAAACACCTCAATTACGTTATTTTTGACCTTGGGCTAATGTAGAAAAATAACTTTTCTCTATCGTCTCGGATCTGGGTGATGTGGTTTCGTTGTTCCAATTTCCAATAGCCTGTCACGTGTGTATGATGTAGCTTACCGTTGATAAAAAACTAAATTAAAATCAATCCAGTAGTTTTCTATAAAAACAAACAATCAAATCTTTCCTCTTTATATCAGTATAAATTAAAATAGAATATTTCCCGAACCCTGATTCTTGATGTAATGTACAATATGTTGTCTAGCATTTATTATACAAACCTCAACATAGTCTTTAGCGTGTCCCCAATCCCTTTTGCTGTCCAGGTTGCCGAGCTCTAGGTGGGACATGAGCCCGAGGGTGATCTTTGCGACTCCCCTGGTGATCTTCCTCGTGACAAAGTTCTCCCCGCGCCGGGGACTCTCGTGATTGAACAGAACACCGTTACACGCGAACATACCGTACGCCTCTCTATAGTTGACCACTATCCAATACCCGTACAGCTTCGCGCAGGCTGTAAACAATTTTGCTTTATTATTTTTAGTCACAAACGCAGCTTATATCCTTTCAAACAAAAAAAAAAATATTAAAATCACCCCTCTATTATCGAAGATACTTTGATGAAACAAAGCATTAAATTACTTACATGTAAAAATAACAGATGATAATTAATTAGATATAGCTTATAAGCATATGGTGGCTTACAGCTGCAGGAATTTTATACTTCCCAAATAAAAAATATTCTCAGCAATCGATATTGAACTTTAATTACAACGCATCCATGTTTATAATTGAGTGCAGATAGATATCTATTAAACATAACCTCGACTGCTCTTACCGTAAGGTGATCTAGGATAAAACGGCGTTTTCTCATTCTGTGGCACTTCTACAACTTTCCCGTATAATTCAGACGTGGACGCCTGGTATATTTTGGTCTCTTTCTCGAGGCCCGCAGCTCGTACCGCCTCTAGCAGCCTCAGGGTGCCGAGAGCATCCACCTGAGCTGTATACTCGCTTAATTCAAATGATACTTTTACGTGCGACTGCGCTCCCAAGTTGTATATTTCCTTTGGTCTAGTCTAAAAGACAAAAGTTGTCGTACAGTGCACACTTCATATTTTCAAGTTTGGTGCCTAAGTTAAAATGAACCAGAAAACGTTAAGCGCAAACGCGAGAATGCCGAGACACAACAAAACTCATACAATATCTTAAAGGTTCAAATAAAAACTTATGTTATTTAATAGGGGTTGATTTTTAGATCTTGACGATCCTCAAAATCAGTTTTCGTTTATGTCGACACATGGGAAACCGATTTCAATCCAAGGGAAATCCTTGGGAACTTCTACTTCCACCACTTTAGGAATCCTTGTTTGTGCCCTGCTTCTGCCTTAGTGAGCAGATGATGATGATAATATTTACTACATATTTTTTTACAATAATTCACAAAGATGTTTGCTACATGCATAACTATAAGTAAATATTTTTCATTTTCATTGGGCTGAATAAATTAATTAACATATGAAAAACAGGTTATCGTTTGTATTACCTCGGGTGTATAAGATTTGAGACAAACATTTTACTGATAAAATAAAATAAAATGTTACTGGCTGTTACTTTTTTACCAATTTTGAATTGGGAATGTTAACTTTTAGCTTATTTGTAACGCAACTTTATTTCTTTATATTTTCTCGTGATGGAGGGAACGAAACAATTACGCGCAACTGTCATTTCGCTATTTAAGGCGGGGAAAAAACCGATGCAATTTTCCGCGACCTGAAAAGTTTTCCTGTAAGCCGTAACTATAACGGTACAAAGAGAAAAGTTCTCTGCAAGATTGCCAAAGGAGTGGCCGGCCACGCTCTGTGAGGATGCCTACGAACATCTAAATCATCCGAGAGCGATTTCGTATTTTTTTTTACTTCAATTTAACAAGTAATACGAGGGTCAAACTGAAAGTTCTTAGAAAATCAAAAACTGATTACATTAGCCAGTTATTAGTTTTATTATATCTTTTCAAAATATTGTCCATTCACGTCAATACACCGCTGCATGCGATGGAACCACTGGGAAAAGCACTTTGCCCACTCGTCCTTAGGGGTCTCTTCAATGGCATCGCGATACGCAGCCACCGCTTCTTCAGCATTCATAAACCGCTTTCCTTTAAGTTTTTCTTTAATTTTTGGAAATAAATAAAAATCACAAGGCGCGAGGTCGGGGCTATACGGCGGCTGACCCAGTAATTCAACGTTTGATGTCGCCAAATAGTCGATCGTTCGCTTGGCGGTGTGCGACGAGGCGTTGTCGTGGTGAAGGAGGATCCTACTGCGAGGTCGTTTCTCTCGAACTTTTTCCAAGACAAGTGGCAAACAATTGGTAGTGTACCATTCTGCAGACACTGTTTTTTGATCCTCTAACACAATTGTTGCAAAATGACCTCTCCTTCCAAAGAACGAGGCCACCATTTTTTTTCCCGCACTTCGATCTCTCTTCACTTTAGTTGGCAACTCCTCGAAAGGAAACACCCACTGAGCAGATTGTCTTTTGGTTTTAGGATCATAACAGTAAATCCAGCTTTCGTCACCTGTTAGTATGTCGAACACAGAATTTGAGTCACCTCCGTTAAATCTTTCAATCATTTTACGACACCAATCCACACGATGGAGTTTTTGAGCCTCAGTCAAATTATGAGGTATCCACCGGGCGCAAAGCTTCCTGACCGCTAAATGTTCGTGGAGGATTTTGTGCACTTGACTCATACCGATGCCTAAGCTTGTCCGAATCTGTTGATAGGTCAGTCTTTTGTCAGTCTCTATCATACGCCGCACAACACAGATGTTATCTTCAGTCGTCGCCGTAGAAGGCCGTCCCTCACGTAAATCATCAGTGAGATTAGTGCGACCACGTTTAAACTCATTAAACCAGTTGTAAACAGTCGCACGAGATGGGGCTTCATCGTGAAAGGCCAATCGTAGTCTATCATAACTTTCTTGTTGACTTAAATGACATCGAAAGTCATAAAAAATCATTGCACGAAAATTTTCTCGTGTTAAATTCATGATGACGTGACACAGACAATTTTCAATTTGCCGCCAAATCGTAAAACAAATGACAAATGAATGAAATATATACTCAGTAATATTGGCAAAGAGTTATATTTTCAAATTTTAGAATTATTTTTTTATTATATTGTTTATAAGTGGCCAGTTCTAAGAACTTTCAGTTTGACCCTCGTAGCTTAGATAACAGTCATCAAAGTTGAGGAGTGGGGGCTCGCTACGTCACAGTTGAGTAGAAAACGTACTCTAACGTGACGTCATGCGAAATTTCAACTTAATGTAACGCCGTAATTTTATGATTACGAAAAAAAAAATCATTGTTGATTATTATCTATTTAATGGTTACTGAAAATTTTAGAAATATAAGTTAATTATTAAAAAAGTTATACAACTTTTACTTCGTCTCAAAACTTATGAACACATGAGTTATATCATCTTAATATATCAATGACTGTTTTTGCATGTTCCATTTCCAATACAAATAGTAAGCTTGATATTTGTAAAATCTGGGTCTTTTTTGACTTTTGGAATAAAAACTATAACTTCAGTACATATATATAAGCATCCAAGGGCGGATCCAGGGATGTGGTCACAGGGGTCATAACCCCCTCGCCTGGGCTGATCCAGGACAAAAGTGGACCTATATAATACTTTGTGTCCTCTTTAACCATCCATAAGGAAGGCCTGAGCCCCTGCAGTGGGGACGTTAAAGGGCTGGTGTGGATTATTATTAAAATTGAATTAAAACTTCTTATGTCTGGAGCCCAACTATGTGACCTCCCCCTGGTGCCAAAGTTGGATCTGCTCTTGTAATCATTTCATCAACAGCTATTGCTGTCTCTTAGCCCACTATTATCACACTGTATATGTGATCAACAATTACCTCTCTTGTCAGCAATATGTACCAAATACTCTAATTCCTGTTTTTAAGTGTATTTAACTTTTCTCAGCATATTTAATTTTTCTCTCAGTAGCAATACTGCCTTTGATTCTGTTCCCTATTTTTTTTATGTTCCTATGTGGTAGAATCAGCTTTCATTAACCATTAAGATGTTAAAATTCAGTGTGAACTTCTATTACCTATTTATACATTACATCTGCAGCTTAAATATGTAGAATGGAGGAAAGAAGCAGGGCAAAGTACCATAGATGATTGTAAATAATATAGTCTAATTATGTTGAAAAGGGAAACTATAGTCTGTTTCACATAACACAGGTTCAGTGACATTTATCAAGAAATCCATTTCATGCAATTTGTATTACCAAATAAATAAAAACCATAATTATAAAAAAATGTTTGAAAGTAAATATATTAGATCTTAATTTAAATTTACATATTAAAGCACAAATAATGTGTAACAATAATAATTACTGAAATCTAACCCTCTAAAGTTTAAAACATCTATAGTTATAACAAAAATTTGATCATATTTTTAATAGGGATTGTTTTAATAGAAATATTTTTGTATCATTATTTTGTTGTAACAGATAAACTTAATTATAATTAAATTTAGTATTTTTCTGATAGCAACATTAATAAGGCATAATAATCAACATTAATAGAAAAAAATATTTGCTTAGAATTTAATCAGTCCTAAATTTCATGCTCAATATAAAGTCACCAAGTAGAGTTAAAAATCCATTACACTAACTATTATTATCACCTAGTATAGTACTAGATATACATAGTCTTAGTAAGGTAAATACATACCATTGTAATTATTCTGATAAGACATGTGGTGTCTGTCAAGTCTCCATAGTGAAGATGCATCCGCCCCCCTGTGTGGCATGCAGGCTGCTCATACAGATGTTGAATGCGACCCGTGTTGAAGGAAGAAGAGCGCCTTAAGATACCATGTACTTCATAACCCTTCTCTATCAGGAATTCAGCAAGATATGAACCATCCTAATAAGCATAGTAACATCTGTATAACTTTTACATAAATTCCTAACAAATTTTCTTAACATTAAAAAACTAAACATACTATCTACTTTGCAATGGGTTTAATAGATGCACAAAAATAATGAAATTTGTTAAGTTATGTTAACATTATTATTATGAAAATTTATTAGATTTATGTATTTCTAAAGACATAATTAAAATTATGAGACACAGTAAAAAAATCAACTAATATATGACACTTATTTTAGGAATAAGGTTATAAGATCCACATCAGCATCATTTAGAAATAATCCAGTGAAAAAAATACTAGATAAAAACTTACTATAACTTAAGATTTACCTGTCCAGTGATACCGGTTATAAGAGCTATTTTTTTATTGTTTCCATTTGAAGTAGAACTCTCTCCAGACATTTTTCAGGGCGTATATGAATTTTTCAAAGCGTTTAAAATAACACGTCCGCTATGTTAACAAGCCGGCGAACACACTGCTTGCTTACCGGCGTTCGGCGTTTAAGAACGATTGTTTATCATTGCACGTCCATAAACAGTATCTACTTTACTATACACAACAGTATTGCAAGTAATTGCCGCCTATAATTGACGGCCGTAATGTTGATTATAATATTAGATCCGGCAAGTTATTGTAAAAAATCACAACTAAATTATTTAATAAAATAAACAAATGAACAACTAATTGCAACTAATTCTCTTTTGTGGGCTAAAAAATAATGTCTTATGTCCCAAATCCGACTCATGTCAATAAAACGATAAATGTCAATGTCAATATTAGAGATGCACGATGTATCATAAAATATAGAGATAGAAACCGAGAAATATTTTATGGATATCGAATTATATCAATGAAACAAACATTGATATCGATATCGAAATATAACAATATATTTAATCCAAACATATAATAGCAGTCAATGTTCTGTTTTTATTCTACTTAAATACAAATAACTCTGTATTTAATTTCTTTGTCTTATACATGAAGAATAGGAAGCTAAAATTATTCTGTGATAGGAACAGATGAAACTCTTTAGAGGTAATCCGTGACAATAAGATGAGCACAACGGTGAATACATAGATGGATATCTCAAAAGAAATGGTGAATAAAATAAAATATGAAAATATCTAGATGTCACTACGGTAGTTTCTTGATTTCTCCATGACAACTTCTCCGGTTTTCTTTCATATAAAAAAGAAAATCAATTTGCAAACTCAATAAACAATTCATATTCTATTTCTACTTTTTAGTATTTGTTTTCAAATTCCAGTTTTTAATAGTTACAAGGAACGGAAGAGACTATTTTGGTCCATTAGTTGCCTGCAAAAATCGACTTTTGGTAGTTTCGCCATCTAGTGAGATACTTTTTAGTGCTTTCTTTTTTTTCTTAAAATACTCCTTCATTGAATTTCCAGCTTGACAGTACATATGACAGTGACATATTTATTAATTTATTTATGTCATAGGTTATTTTATTTTTCGTAGCAGTAATTTCGCATTGGCCTGTTTTTCGTAATCTAAAGTTATTTATTCGTTGCGATATAATTATCACCATTTATCTCCATTATTTTTCAAGTCATTATTCTGAAACCTAGAACCACTTATGGTTTGTGAATAAAAGTAAACTTATTTTACCTAGTTGTGTGAATATGCCTGATATAAAGATTACTCCACTCGGAGCTGGTCAGGATGTTGGCCGAAGTTGTATATTACTGTCAATGGGCGGTAAAAATATAATGTTAGACTGCGGAATGCATATGGGCTACAACGATGAAAGGCGTTTTCCAGATTTCACATATATCGTACCAGAGGGCCCAATCACTAGTCAAATTGACTGTGTAATTATTTCTCATTTTCATCTTGATCATTGCGGGGCTCTTCCGTATATGTCGGAAATGATAGGATATACTGGTCCTATTTATATGACACATCCAACTAAAGCTATAGCTCCAATATTATTGGAGGATATGAGAAAGGTTGTAGTTGAAAGAAAAGGCGAGTCAAACTTTTTTACATCACAAATGATTAAAGATTGCATTAAAAAGGTGACAGCAGTGACATTACATCAGTCTGTGATGGTTGACAATGAACTAGAAATCAAGGCATATTATGCTGGTCATGTTTTGGGAGCTGCAATGTTTTGGATAAGAGTGGGATCACAGTCTGTAGTGTATACTGGTGATTATAACATGACACCAGATAGACATCTTGGTGCAGCTTGGATTGACAAGTGTCGACCAGACCTTCTGATTACAGAATCTACTTATGCAACAACAATAAGAGACTCTAAACGTTGTCGTGAACGAGATTTCCTAAAAAAAGTTCATGAGTGTGTTGAAAAAGGAGGTAAAGTACTAATCCCCGTGTTCGCATTGGGCAGAGCTCAAGAGCTTTGTATATTACTTGAAACATATTGGGAAAGAATGAATTTAAAATACCCAGTGTATTTTGCATTAGGCTTGACTGAAAAAGCCAATAACTACTATAAAATGTTTATTACTTGGACAAATCAGAAAATAAGAAAAACATTTGTACAGAGAAACATGTTTGATTTTAAACACATTAAGCCCTTTGACAAACAATACATTGACAATCCAGGTGCAATGGTTGTATTTGCAACTCCAGGCATGTTACATGCCGGATTGTCCTTGAACATATTCAAGAAATGGGCACCTTATGAACAGAATATGGTTATAATGCCAGGCTTCTGTGTTCAAGGCACTGTTGGGCACAAAATCCTAAATGGTGCAAAGAAAGTGGAATTTGAAAATCGTCAGGTGGTTGAAGTGAAAATGGCAGTAGAATATATGTCATTTTCTGCTCATGCTGATGCTAAGGGCATTATGCAATTAATACAATATTGTGAACCTAAAAATGTATTACTTGTTCATGGTGAAGCTCAAAAAATGGAGTTCCTCAAGGATAAAATTGAGAAAGAGTTTAAAATAAACTGTTATATGCCTGCAAATGGTGAGACAACCATCATAAATACCCCAACTAAAGTCCCTGTTGATGTTTCACTGAGACTACTTAAAGCTGAAGCTGTTAGGTATAATGCTCTCCCACCTGATCCAAAGAGACGTAGGGTTGTCAGTGGAATTCTCTGTGTGAAAGATAACCGGCTGTCCTTATTAGATATTGATGAAGTTTGTGATGAAATTGGAATCAACAGGCATGTAATACGATTCACTAGTACAGTTCGTTTTGATGACACAGGATCTGCAGTGAAAACTGCTGAAAAGTTAAAAGCGTTACTGGCAGAAAAATTAGAAGGTTGGACAATAACAATTTCTGAAGCAAATATTTCAGTAGAGTCGGTATTGATTAAGGTTGAAGGTGAAGATAATACTAAAAGCATCTATGTCTCATGGACAAATCAAGATGAGGACTTGGGCAGTTATATTCTGGGTTTGCTACAATCTGTGGTACAAGGTTCTTAATATCTAAGTGTATTGTTAAAAGAAAATCCATTAGTTGTTATTTTTGTAATAAATAAGTTTGTATTTACATAAATGACTTAGTTTTTATGAACACCACAAAATATCCTCATTGCATTTTCCTTGGTACCATAAATATTGAAGTTTATTTGTTTCTGTCAAATTGCTTAATATTTCATCATCCAAAACATTTGGTTCCTGAAAATAAAGATGAAAAAAAATTACATTTCTCTATTTCATTTTTTATACTTGAAAGAATGGAACCGATTTCAAATTTAAAAAAGTGACAAATAATACTTATCTCAAATGCGACTTATTCCAGAAAATGCTATTGAAGTCAGGCAAGTATAATTTAATCAATAACCTACAGAGATTGGTTTCTGAGTTGAGAGTTTGAAGTTAAGCATGTCTCAGATTGTAATTGAATGTAACTTAAACAGGTTTTGGTTTCTGATTAAAAATTTTTCAATGATTAGTTGATAGCAGTTTGATAGAGCTAGGTAGAGCTTTTGCTACACAAACAAATTTTGCCGATTAATTTTTCCTAGCGTTTATATTTACCATTGGAGGTGGGAAAAGACGAGCGAAGTCTCCTCTGTGAGAATATTCTTTATGCGCTTGCAGCAGACTGTTCCTTAGTTTTGGGGCGAGGCACAGCTTGCAGAGGGCGCATGTTGGGAGGGCACTACAGTCGTCTTTGCATACAGTGCTGCATTCGAGGCCCCAAACTGCAATATTTTTATGAGACGACAGCATGTTTTCTGTGGCTTGATCGCTGGAATAAATTAACAAAAGATATATCAGTATGTGTTAAGTCAAGTCAACTTTATGGCTTTCATGTGGTTTAATTTAAAGAAATGTTTCCATACATGAAACCTGATAGAGCGCAACAAGTTACATAACAATGTTAGATATAAAATAAAAAGAATTAAGTTATAAAATGAAAAAAATAAAATTAATTAGAAATTATATACTTTGTTTCCTCGAAAAACTTTAGCTTATTGCAAAATATTTTATTTAACAAATATTGTTTTAGTATCTTCTTTAATTTTTTGTATCTTGCTCGTTCTTTATAAAGACAGGCAGTTTATTATATTTTTTTATTGCACTAGCATAGGGACCAGAACTGTGATTTCCCAGGTTGGAATTCGGTAGTACTAAGTCAGTTTTGTATCTTAATTTAAACTAGTACAATAGTATTTTTTTTTGAGGAAACATGTGGGAGATGCTTTTTTATAAAATCGCAGTTTTTTTAAATTTATAGAATGTGACAGTTAAAATGTTCAATAGCATCAACATTATTTAATATTCTGATTCATTTTTTGTAATACTAAATTTTTGTGGGCTTTCGTATAGCACGAAAGCCCACAAAAATTCTTCTTCTTTACTTCCCTACAGAAGTATCCCATAATTTATTCGTGAATGTGCATAAGCATAGTACGCAGTTATTGCTAAATAAAGCTGTCTACACATTCTCAATTTTGGGTTTTGTTACTAAAATTGTCATTTAAAGAGTTTTTGATAAGGTCGAAATTGCATTAATATCGCTTTCTTTCAATTAATAACTAAATTACGATCATTAAGCTAATTTACAATATTAGTTAAGACTGAAGGCTTATAAATGAATTTAAATACCGATGGAAATCGTTCTCGTTCCTGTTATGCTGTGATGTAGACCAGTGTTGATTAAATCCGCAAAGGCTAGACCAGTGATTCCCTAAGTGGTCCAGGGTGGCCCCCAGGGTCCACGAGGGATTCAACGGGGGTGACTCACCCGTGATGCCAATTTCCATCGTTAGATCTTCACATTTTTGACGCATTTTGGGAATATGGTAAAAATGTAGCAGCAGGGGGTCCACCGAAACCAGAAATTTTTTTAAATGGTCTACAAGAAAAAATTGTTTGCGAACCTCTGGGCTAGACGATTAAACTTGGCGTACTACGCAAAAGACTGAAACTGGGCGCCTTAGACAAAACACTTTTGGTATCTAACGACGCCTATAAAAATCACAACAAAATAATATAGGTACACCGATTAAAATGTGTAATTTTGCCAATATTTTGGGTACTCTTTTAAGTAAATTTCTTTAAGGTACTGCATTTTTAAGGTTAAGATAATTAGAATTTGCCATGACGTCGCCCTAATACAAGCGCCCTAGGCAGTGGCGGTTTAAGGGAGGAGTAGGGGGGGAAGGGGGAATGGGCAGTCTATAAATGACTGTACAATCATAAATTGGGCTTATCTCTCTTGTCAAGTTTCCTAGTTCTAGCAGGCGTCTTAGTAGGGGGAGTGGGGGGTAAATGCAATAATATCAAGTTTCTACCCAGGTTGGAATAAGTTGTAGGTCCGGGACTGATGTCGCTCCGGGCTATCGAGGGGGTTATAAAAATACAAAAAGTTTAAGCCAATCTTGAATTGAATTTTAGTCCCTAGAGTTAGAAGAAAGGGTGGACGAAAATCTGTCAATTTTGTTTCAGTGGTTGGAAATATAGAACTTACCTACGACTAAGGACAAAAAAATTGTAACAAATAGATGTTTTTATTAAATATAAATGTTTTCTCAACGCTTGGAAAGAGAGCATGACTTATGTATGATACGTATATTTTTCTAAGAACTGAGGTACATACAGCAGCATACCAGGATATTAAAAATGACACAATACCACAATTGATTTAAAACTTGATTGCCAATATATTAAGGATTAAAATTGATTGGCGTTCCACAGTTTTGTATAACCTCACGTGCTATTAACTATACTTACCTAGTGTTTTATTCATGAAATACTTTTACTTCAAGGAAAATTCTGCTTGTTTTACTTGGCAAATTTTATGATTCAATAACCATGAACATCTATAGACATTACTTATTTTTTTAATATACTTTTACTTATATTAAGATATTTATTACCTTTTGTCGGAATAATTGTTCATACGTGAGCCAACTCCAGTTATTAAGAATAAGTTATATAACACTTGTTCGTATAACAGTTGATTAGGTGGATAGTGCGCTGAACTCAAATTAGGAGACATATTAGCTTCAAGGAGATACACTCGCATGTCTTCATCTATAACGAGATCGAATCTCATTAGCTCGAAGAAATTGTTTGGTGAAGAAAATTGTTTCAACTGTAGGTCAACAAAAAAGATTGTTTAAATCAGGGGTGCGAACCGCCTGACTCTCATATCCATGACTCTGGATATAAGATACGACATATTAGTGGATAAACAACTAAATTGGTGACAATGCTGTCATATCCATAATTACAATTATTTATCATTCGTTTGTCGCAATTAAACAACATACATATCAGAGTAGTATAATGGAAGTAATATCGTCATACCATCGATAAGATGTCGTATTGTATCCTGTGGCTAGAGAGTCAAGCGGTTGCACGTCAGGATATCAACCGCCTTATCCTTTCTCTATAACTCTAGCCATAGCTATTAAAAGTTTAATTAATTTTATCCATGAATATATTGGTATTCTTTTATAATGTTCTTGTTTTATTATTTACATATTTAGTCTATGAGTTTGTTTGTTATAGTTCTATATTTAAATTTAAATGTTTGATAAAATATATAGAGAATAAAAAACATATATTGATAAAATAAATAAAACATTTTTTGCCTATGGCTAGAGTTATATATAAGAGACTTAGGTGGTCTCTCACAGGATAAGTAGGTATCTACTTAATCATAGCTTTGTTATTATTCCAGGAATTATCAAAATATAAAATAATTACATTGTCAATTCAGCACCAACAGAATATATATATAAATTAAATTGTAGGTTACAGTAATGCCGCACTTTTAATCTCCCAAATTAGATACTCACAGCCTCAACAATGTGTTTTTCTTTCTTTACAAATACTTCAGAAATAGCTCTTTGTACGTCTTGCCACATTTTTGATGGATTATCCCCCTGGAAACAAAATGTAGAAGATGTTATACTTACCTAATGTAGTATCAGAATAGATAAGCGCATTAACTTAACTAATTAAGAACGGGTGGGATATTTCTGTATATTGCAATATATTGTAGTGTAGTACCACCAGTGTACAATAAAGTTATTTTTATTTTCTTTTAAAAGAACACTTTTTCCAAAAGGCGTTGAATGAGACTTAAGTAAATAAGTTAAAATAAACATAAACTAGTTGTTGTATCAGCAAAGAATACGAGGGTGACCATATTTTCTATCTCATTATTGCTGAATGTATCTTTAAATAATAGTTTTACTAGTAAGTACAGGTATTGAATGGTGCGAGTTCTGTTGTAGTATTCCGTGTCGTTAGTTTTGTTGTAATATTCCGTGGTAAATTGTAATCAAATCAATCGACAGGATAATCTATTTATACTCGTATAATGTAAGTATCACACACAAACCCAAGTCGCAAGTGGTACCATAACTTGTAGTGAAACATTATGTTTTCTCAATGTGTTATGAAAATAAACAACGATGGTGCCATAACATCTAGACTTGAGATAATATAGAAAAGGGTGAAATTTTAACTGGTGAAATATTTCAGACAAGAGATGAATTATTTTTGCAGATCTAATAATTGAGGAGTGCAAAACTATGAATCTTGCCCCTAGGTTCTGTCGCCTTAGACTCAAACTGCTGGAAAATCCGCCATTTCATTTTATATTTTTTATGATCAGTGAGAATAAGAATGAATGAAAAATTGAACGTTTTAATTTAAAACTCCATGAGCATCTGTAGATGAGTGAGTAATAAGCCCCTTTTTTAATAAGTTGATACCTATATCTTTTGTTTTTACAAAAAGCGCTAATATAAAAAGTTTCTGTCTCTGTCTTGTGTAAAAAAAAATAGTGACAAGTTTTACAAACAATTTTGTTCAGACTCACAAGGCTCGATCTTAGTTTTATACGAGTACACTTTATCTTTCATAATAAAGTATTTTAAGTTTTTTTATTAATAAACTAAAAACTATTGTAGGTTCTAGCACCGCTCGACCCGGCGGGCTTCTTGTCGGATCCCGATTCCTTCGGGAGTTAGGCCTCGCTTAAGCTTATCTCTTTCAGGACGTATATATTTCCACTGCGTTAAAAAAAGGTTCTAGCGCTGCTACTGCATATGTCTTTACCTTGGATTTAGCATAGATGTCGAAGGCGCTCTTCATTCCAAACCCGAGTGCTGTATAGGGATGAGCTAGCGAAGGCACCTTCCATGTAGGCAGGTAGTCGTCGCCGATCACGTATTTGTCTAGGTCCTTCGCATCGAAGGGGTAATATTTTGCCGGGCAGTATCTTTAAATAAATAAAATTTGACCTAAATGTATAATTTTATACATAAACTATCTGACCCGGCAAATTATACCGTCTTTGAACAATTTTACACGTAGGTATTATTAGTTTTATCAATTAATATGTTCATTCTTCTATAATGTATTTATTTATTATTTTCATATTAATCAGTGGTTTTGATTGTTGTAGTTTTCTGAATTACCTAATAAGTGTCACTAAATTAAATTATGAAAAATTCAAATTTAAACTAACAAAACTATTTCGATAACTTCATATGTCAGTAGAAAAAGAAGAAGTATTATACTCTATCAAAAGCCTGATACAAATACAAGAAAAACGGAAATAATTCGATGTAAGCCTGGAATATTTTAAATCAAGTTTTTGTGGCAATTACAAGAGACTATATTTAAGAATCCATCTCATTTTACCTACGGAAGGTATAAAAAAACATCAAGTCAAAAAACCTTCATTTCCTTCACGCAAAATTACTAACACGACTTTTTTCACAAATTTTGATTTTATTTATCATAGCGACAATGAAAATTACTGAAATCCAACTAAAAAATTTACAGGAAATAGTGATTTTTATTTAACTTTTTTTTTTGTATTAGTAGTTTAATATGATAAAACTTTTATCTAAAGTATTTCTGAGTGGATTTTAATGATTCAAAACGCAATATAGTAATATCGATTGCAGTCGTATTTCATTGTTAATATTAATATTTTTTTACAAATATTTTTAAATATTTATTGTCCGTGTTTTTTATATGTATGAGTGTCCAAATATAATATTAGAAAAATTTATGTATTTCATAGAAGTAACATAAGTAACAGCGTGAAAATACGTAGAAGTCACTTTATATGTATTTTGCTTATCATGCCATTGAGAAATTAAACGATTTTTTTTTAACTATTAATCCGAAAGAAAATTTCGATGGATTAATTCATATATTAAAAAGGAAAAATATGATACCCTCATAATAAAAAAAAACAGCTGTTATGTTTTAATGTTTGATCTCCATACTGAAAGTTGGTATTTGTATCAGGCTACAATACCAAAAGTTTGACCGTGCAAGCACAACAGTTACTTTTGCATATGTAATACCAGTACAGATACAAATAAATACCACGTTATTAGATAAATAACATTCAAAATAGACTTACCTAAATAAGCATCTTTGTAAACTCATTTAAGACAAAAATAAGATACTCTAGATAATAAAATAAACAAAGCCGCCTACTGTAGAAATAAACAAACTGAGAATTAGAACTGTAATTTAAAGACTGTTTTGCCTAGATAGCTTTATTCATGAGACGAAAATAAATTTCGAGTGTTTACAGACGCTGAGGGGGTTTGATCAGAAATTCTGTAAAAATAATTGCCATTTTTTATATGAACCATATTTAGCCGTAGACGTTTTCTGATGTAGGCAGACGAGACGGGGTGGATGGGTGTTATTCAAGTACTATAGAACAACATGTTGATTTTATAGAAAAAAACATTTTAAACATTCGACAGTCTGCCCCCTTTCACCATCCATTAGACTGTTCTTACAAATTTTAGTATTTATTCTGTAAGATAAGATAAATGCCTTATTTCGTAAATGGAAAGAGAGATATGAAACTCGATAAATTCTCAATAATACTTGATTTGCATTGAGAATGTTCTGTACATTTAGTATTTACCTTCATTTTTTTATATATACAATAACATGTAAATTTATAAAGACTATAACATTGATATTATTGTTTTAATAATAAAAATAATTAAAATAACGGTAACAAGAGACACCTATTCAAGGCGATATTGGCTGTCTACATACCCAAGAAAAATATCAGGAGTAGTGTAGGGCTTATGTAGTGCTGGAGAAGGATGATAAATATTAGCTGCACGGAACTATAATCGATTGAATAAGTGCTGGGAATCATCAACGAAAAGAGACGGCTGCAAGGGCTGCCGTATATGTACATTGGTTGACATTTAATTGCACTCAACGTTCAATATGTACTTTTAGATCACATAACTCGGGTTCAACCTAATGCAATTGAACGTTGAGTGCATTTTGATTAAATTAAATATCAATCGAATCCATGCGGGAAGCCTGATGAAAACCAGAGAAAACAGACAAGGAAGAATGTATGGACACTCCATACAACAAAATTACTTTTTTTTTCAAACCGGGTAGGAAGCAAAAATAAGTCAACGACAAGTAAAACTTTGATTGTGATACTATAGAGAAACGGAAACGAAGGGAAGTTACGATAAACGTGCTAAGTTAAGCAAAATGTTAACACACACAACTTCAGAAACTTGGAAGATTACTTACAGCAGTATATTCTGTCCCAAAAAATCAATAGAAATAAATATGAACTGCGCGAATAGGCTTTGGTATTCCATGGAAACGACATCGTCATAAAACAGGTTAAGTGCGAGTCGAAATTGTGCAAGGAAGGTTCCTTACCGGAAAGGCGAAAAAGTCACGTTGGTTGTAAGGCAACCCCGTAAATGATTACTAATTTATTTTTTGGTATTTATTATTACAACGCCGACAGAAATATATCATCTGTGAAAATTTCAACTAGAGAAGAAGAAAGAAAGAAGAAACAAAGTTTATTGACCACATCTTACATGAACAGATACAATGATAATGTATAAGAGAAGAAGAAAAAAAAACAAAAAATACAAATATTAAAAAAAAAACTGTCCAACTGTCTAACTATCACGGTTCATGAGATTTAGCCTGGTGATAGACAGATAGACAGACAATGGAGAGTCTGACAGTGGAGTCCTGAACTCTAAAACGAAGCTTATTGCAAAAATTCTTCGCTAAATCATACTACCTATGTATATTGCATTTCCATCGATAAAGTAAATAATATCAAGGATGCAGTATACTACTATTAATATTTTTTGTATAGTTCTAAAACAAAACTTGAATTTGTCATAATAAGGCTTATTTTACGATATTCAAGCCTGTTTATTTATAACAATAAACATTTTTATTTTAGAGTTCCTGCTTGACGATCACCATGACAAGTCTTTTTTTATATTAAAACAAAACTACTGATCTGATTTCGTCAAAGTTTTAATGGCATTATTTTGAGGATATACTCTTTAAAATATATATATATATAATATGGATATAAGAAAACAGTAATATTGAAAACCTAATCTTATTTTTGAAGTTGATTAAGAAAAAAATTGTACTACCACGCAAACGGAATTTGTAGGCAAAAAGTATAGATATTTATATATTTGAAATGTGCTAATTAAGCCCTTTTATGTGATACCTTGCACGGAATTATTGAATAATATATAATTTTTAGTTTCTCACTTTATGCTTCTCTAGAGGGCGCTGTTTCCAATTTAATGTAACGTCACACAGCCTAAAGCACATGGACAACTAAGACTCTTCTAATGATACCTCATTTGTCCAGTTACGAAGGCTAATTTCGAAGTTATAAGGGAGCAGATGAACATTCTTACATGGATACATACAATTTGCCTCAGCTGCCTCTGCTTACCTCAGCATAAGCCATAACAGTAGTTTACCATATTAGGGCGCTGGTTTTTCCGGCAGACCCTGTGTTGTGGATAGTGGTCCTACATTTTCGACTGCTAATACATCAGTAGCGTAACTACAGAGTTCAAGCAAGACTGGCAAAATGTTACTGGAGAAAGACAGCAGAAGCATCTAAAGTCATTAGAGTATTTCATAAATTTTTATACTGTAAATATGTCACACTATGATGCAATCTATGTTTGTCTTTTGCTTCTAAGGTTGTTACGCAAGTTATAATTGTAATCTTAGAGATCATTTGTCTATGTTGCTCATTCATTAACCATAGATACGATAGAAGTCTCTTAATACTATAATAGGTAAGCTATTCGTAGTAAACTTAGTTAGCAAACTTTTGACAGTTCGTAATATGATATTTAGTCTGTTATTCATATAATTACATTAACTCGTCAGAATACTCCACTCACCTGAACAGCACATCGCCTTTATACCAATAAACTCTCAGTGGATCAACTGACGTCAGTACTACATACACACCAATATCGAACTTATGACCATCCACCAGATAAGGTTTTTGCACATACTCTTGCACGAAACTTTCTCCGCTCGACAAATCTATTTCGGACACGTTCTTTATAAACACTCCTCGGTGTTGATTGTGTTTCTCTAAAAACAACGCATGTTTATTCTTCGCGGCGTATTCCAAAAAGGTTTTCTTATTCTGTGGCAGTTTGAACGCCTTCGGTATAAATTTGAAATCGGTTGTGGCCAAATCGACTTTGTTCGTTATAAAACCAGTACCGGGGAAGTGGTTCACCATTTGTCGGGCTTTCAATTTGTGTAAGCTTGGGTACAGGGCTCTGAAAGGGTAATCGTGGGACCACAGCAAACTCCACGACGGCGTACTGTTCGTAGTTTTCTCGTAACCATATCTCTCCAGAACTAAATGGACATGTTTTAGCAAGCCATTCTTGTTGTCTACATCGCTCGATGACGAGTAAACCCAGTATTTTGGCTTCTGAACGACGGATCCTTTTGTACATTCTTTATTCCGGTTTTGTGTATGTAAAATTTCTAATAATAAACCTAGGGAAACTCCGATGATACAGATTAAAAGAAAAATATTTATATTAGCATCGTTATTCTTGACTTCGCTTCTTGTGATATTATTACTTTCGTTAGTGTTGTTATCTTGTAATGAAAAACCTTTTTCTTGTTTTCTTTTATCATGATCTCGTACATTCTGTGGAAATAAATAGTATCTCTATAAATACAATGCCTAGGTAAAGTATAGTATGTATTGTTTAAGTATAGGCACTATAAATTTAGCACTACAAATAGTGGAACATTATTTTCTTTAATTTGTTTTAAGGTACATTGACAACAAATTAAAGTTATTCCACAAAATGAAAAGTCCCAATATCAAAAAGACAAATGAAATATTCTAACTATATAAAAAAAATTAACACTGCAAAGTGTAATCCTATGATATAGAATTTTTTTTACGACCTTTGTGAAATCCCGGGTTCAATTCCCTCTCGGGTCAATGTAGAAAACGAGCTTTTCTATATTGTTTCGAATCTGGGTGTTGTGGTACTTTCGCTGTTTCAGATTGCCATAGTACAAGTGCTTTAGCTATTTACTTTGGGACCTGTGCAAATGTTCAAAATGTATTTATTCAATACCTAAAGAAAAATTTAAGTCAAATATTTTTCTTTTCTTATCAAAAAAATATTTAATAACGTATTTTTCGTAAAATTAATTATATATTTATTGTTAGATTCCCCGGTTGTTGATATTTATATAAACATGCTCGGTTATCCAAGCCGCTCCGTAATTGTGAGTAGGACGGTAGGTACTATCTACTTAATTAGATTATTTGTCTACCGATTTCTCCAAAGCATGTATTTAGTATAAATATTAGATTTATTTATTATAATGCGAAATATTTATAGGTATTCTAATAAAGTTTAATATTTGTTACTTATGTGACTTCCTCGTGTATCTTATCAGATAAGGATGCTTACATGTACGGTGAACTTTCGAAGCGCGTGTAAGTAAATATGTTTCAGATATCTTAAGTAGGTAATTATACGAGTTTACTTTAAGTTTCTTTCCTATATGTTATCTAAGTATAATCTTATATAAAATCCCCTTACATTATGGCTATGATTTTAAATAAATTGCCTAACGATAAAATAGAGCTTTTATCAATTGAACCAACTAAATGAAATAATTAATGTAGTTATACTGGATATGATGAATTTATTCTACCTACTTCTTGCTTTATTTTTGATTGCTTATAAAGCAAATAAAAACCATGGATATGATAGATAGAAAGTACATAAACCGAAATCCAAACAATTAAGCTGTAGTTAAAATAGTGTTAAAGGTTTTTAAGATGCTTCTAAAATCACAGAAGGTACCGTTAAAATTCACCATTTCTTCGATTTCTTGACGAATTCGGCCGGCAATGAGATAGGACAGTCTCTTCTTTGCGTCTAGAAAATGTTACATCTTAACGTAGCATATATAACCACGCAAACGTTCATGGTCACAAAAGATAACGTTTTGCCCTTGACAGAATCATAACCCTTACAAATATGATATAGATTATCTTATTTTTAATCACGAATAATTTAGGCGCTTTTTTTTCCAAAACCAGTTGAAGGGATGTTTTGTGCATCCACCCTCTTGATTCCGATATTAGAATATTTGTGTTAGACGTCTTAATTAACTTTAATATTTAGGTATCTTCGGTTCGTTTCTGATGGTGCTATAAATTCAATAAAGTTTTATAAACGACAGATGCATAAAATAAACTTACTTTTGCTGAATTACTAAGAACAAATATCATTTTAGACTGCGAATTGATAAATCAAATCAAAATTATTTATTCAGTCTAGGCTGTTACAAGCACTTGTGAAAGTCGAGAGCTACCCCATCGGTTCGTAAATCTACGGCGGGAGACCTTGTACCGAGAAGAACCGGCAGGAAACTCGGCAAGGGCAGCTTTTTTCTCCCTGTTTTATTTCATACAGAGCGTCAAGATTGAAAAATGACTTCATTAAAATATGAAGTCACTTTCCATTACAATATTAGAAAATATAAGAGAAAAACAGCATTTTCGTCAATCGAATCACATGATTAGGCAAAGAAGCTCACCGATAAACAATTTAATATACATGAAAAATGGGCCATATTTAACACCAAGCAGTTTTGTCGTTTAAATATTCATTTACAGTATAATATCCTTTACTGAGTAGACAATTCTTAATATGGGTTTTAAACTTAGGTGATGGTAAATTTAAAATTTCCATAGGAATTTTGTTAAAGTAGTATACACCTTGACCCATAAATGACGATAGAACCTTTACGACGATAGATTCTTTAGCCTGCATGACGGCAAAACAAGTTTATCTTTGTTGCTAGTATTAAAATTGTGTATACGACTATGTTTAGTATAATTGTTAATATTGTTTCTAACATAAAGTATACAATTGTATATGAATTGGGAGGCCACTGTTAATATCCCAATTTCTTTAAATTTATCTCTAAGTGACGTTCTTGAACCCAATTGATAAATGGCCCTTACTGCTCTTTTTTGTAAAATAAATATAGACTCTATATCTGCAGCCATACCCCACATCAGAATGCCATATGACATAACGCTATGGAAATAACTAAAGTATACTGTCCTAGCGGTATCTACATCTGTAAGTTGCCTAATTTTTTTTTATTGCAAAGGCAGCTTAGCTTAGTTTGCCTGCCAACAATGAAATGTGAGGATGCCATTGCAATTTTAGAATCCATAAAAATACGATTTCTACTTTAATCTAATCAGAATGTTCTTGTTTTTTAAAGAAATTATTTTTCAGTTTACTGATTGAGTTAAGTTTTTAATGTCTGTAGAGGTTTAAGTTAAATGTGACTATCAAATCAAATATCAAAGTATCTACCTGACGCCTCTCCATCTAGTTTGAGTTGCAACAAAGAATTTTATAAAGATATCTAAATTTCTTATTTTAACAAATGTTCGAGTTAAGGTTGAGCAGGTGTCGATATAATATAGTACCGGTATTGATCTTAACTCCCATTAGTGACAAGTGACCATTTGTTACCTAGATAAGTTATAAAAATGCACTTGTATTATGGAGTAGCTCGGTGGCGGAGTAGCTCGGTGGCGTAGTGGATAAGCGCCGCGGCCCGCGATCATAGTCGTTAAGCAACTTTCGCAAGGATCGGTCACGGGATGGGTGACTTAAAAATTATTATCTCGAGCTACTCCGTGCTTCGGAAGGCACGTTAAGCCGTTGGTCCCGGCTGCATTTGCAGTCGTTAATACCCTTCAATCCGCATTGGGCCAGCATGGAGGGTCATGGCCCATCCTCCTTAACCATCCATAAGGAAGGCCTGAGCCCCTGCAGTGGGGACGTAAAAGGGCTGGTAATGATGTGATGATGGTGATTAGTTATCAAAATAAGAATAAATGAATATTTATTTAGTCAAACTCAAAATAGTCTTTATTCAAATAGACTTCTTAAAAGATAACTTTTAACTGAGATACTTTTGAATCGTCCAATTTTTTTTCCTATTCCACTCGTTCAGGACGTCTTTCAGCTGATAAGAAGAACGAGCAAAAAACTCACCAGCTCTAATAGAAGTAATAACATTCACAGAAACCTTTTTTCGTTAATATTGTAGTGTGTACATCTCCAACCTCATTATAAATAATGTGTTTAGTATAATAAAGTCAGTCAAAACGCAACATTTGTCTAATTCACACGTACTCCCAGGTCCCCACATTGCATGGCGACCCTGCCAGTGCTGCCCGTAGGCAGCGCTGCGTAGCTGGTTTTTTTTTATATAAAGAAGTGCGCGCGTGCGTTGTTATATATAATAAATACATAATATACAAAACAATAATATATAATAATAACACGAACAATACAAAATAACAATATGAACAAAGTGAAAAATATATAGCATGGATAATTTATAATTTTAAATAAATTTATCTGTCGAATGCTGAAATAAATAAGACAAATAATTGGTCAAAATATATTTACACGAAGAAGATAAAATTATGGGAAAAGTAGAATATTTGGTAAATTGAAAGCTGGGAGCCGGGAGATGAAGGAGTCGGATGAAGAGCAGCTGGGAGAAGTTCCGGTCATTGGGACAAATGGATATAAATAGACTGGCAAGAAAAAATCATAATTCCAAAATCATAAAAAACAAAACAAAATATTATTCCTATATCGGTTTAAATTAGAATTCCTATTTTAACGAATAGTCGATATTATCATCTTGTTTATTTGTATTTTAACGTTATTTCATTAAAATTAGGATTTCAATATCCTAATAGATTTTTTTTTCTCAGTGTAATATTTTATCAATATTAACCATGTGTATATAAGTTTGTAACAATTATTAATATCTATATCTAATTTCAGGATAGCATTTATACAATGATTTGACATCTAAAAGTAAGTCATTAATAATACTCTCTAAAAATTTAAACGCCAATATTGAAAAATTAAAAATGGTATCTGTTTCCTTTTTGTATTTTTTGATTATAGATTACATATGCATATAATACGTCTTTTGGACAACAAGAAATTATGTTAATACTTTTATTTTAAATTGGATTTTATTATTACTTCATCGTCTATGACAATTACACATAGTTACAATTTGCATATTATGAAACCATAGTTATCATATTTAAAAGACTGCTAAATTGATATTTATTATTTAATTCAACAATAAAGTATATACTTAGTACCTAGCAACACGTGTGTATGTATGCATTTAATAAGTACGTGCAAGTTGTCTTTCAGATTAAATTTGGAATAAATTTATTTATTAGTCATTTGGAAAAATTCCAATAAAGAAGAAAACAAGCTAAAATACAAAAATAATGTTAAAATCCTTCGATGGTATAACATTAATTCAAAGCTGGTATTGAAATTGTAATTATTCTACTGCTTCATTAAATTATGTAAAAAAAAAAAACTATTTAGAAAAGTTACTAATACTAAGAATATATATAAAGTATCGCAAAGCTTATTAATGATGTTACATATTTATATATTATTGTCACTTAATATCATTATTACTTGAAATCGTATAATGTAATAAAAATCAGTTAGCTACAGAATCACTAAGATAAAGGGTATTAATTATCTTTCCAAAAATGAAACTTGACAAGATAGACTTTATTCAATATATATTTTCTTATAGAAAAATACTTACACGTAGTTTCAAATTGTATTTTATTCAAATTTGTATGTTTATCAGAAACAAAATTAAGATTAATATCATTTGAAAGTATAAGGCATTATTTTTCGTAATATAATGTAGACAGGCTAGTATCTAGTTAGATAAACACGTGATAAGCAAACTCCAATCATTTACAAATTGCCAAGGTCTGCTCTGCCAGAAAATGTTTATGAACGAAAGACCGAAAACTGCGGGTTCAATTCCTGATTGAAACAATATCTTATGACGTATATAAAAGTACATTTTTAAAAGTTATATTATTGCAGACATAACGGGTATAAAATATTACCAGTTGTTAAACTTTTTATTTAATTACCGAAGTTGTAATAGATTAACCAAAATTTTAAAATAAAAAATAGTAAGTTGAAACTTTGCGATGCGCTGAATAACATAGGTAACACAAAAGGAAGTTAGGTATTGTATTTCTATATCCTTACAATGCGCAATGCATTTGTAGTTTTGCAAGCTGTCATTTAGGTGAACCAGTCATATGAAGATAAACAATATCACTTTAATTTGCCGGTTATGTTGATCTGGATTTAATATTATATTTCAAATAATAACACTGTGCAGTGTTGATATCTTTTAATAATATCGTAATATGTGTTTATAGCAAACTTAATCGATGTCGTTGAAACAATTATTGAAGTAAAGTAAGAATTATAAATCTAAATGAAAAACAGGTTAAATAGGGCGTAATGAAAAGTTTATTTAAAAAGAATCAATTATGTAAGTCCTATTAAAAATATTAGGTACAGACGAATAGCGTGAGAATATAAGTTATGTGAATTGTATTAAAAAATCTTTTTGTAACTTTAAGTTTGCAATTAGGTACAGTATGGATGAGAAAAGAAAATGGTAATGTATTTTTATTATTATGAAGGTCTTGGAATGATATGTAAAAGTTTATAATTGGATGTTTGATAATAATTGGGTTCGTAAAATTACACAAGCCGCTGGACTGATCACCCAAGTGCTAAGAAATTTTTATTAATCTAATTATTTATATTTTGGCAAGTAGTTTTTTTTTAAAGATTGGAATGAAAGTTTATAAGTAAAAAGCTCGATTATTCGGTACACAGTAGGAAATAGGTACTATAGGGATCGGGTCCTTCAGTCTAATCAATTGACGAACGAGATTCTCACTTGAATACTGTTGGAGACCAAAGAATGTCTTAATTCATGACCCTATGAAAAGAAATGTGTATGAAAATGGTACATGGAGGGTCGGATCCTTCCATTCGATCATGGTGTAAACGAGATTTCTCCGTGAGATAAGTTGGAGCCCAAAAGAGGCTTAAACCATGACCCCCAAAATAATTAGGTTGTGGCCACAACCCAAATGGCATGATATTGTCCATTTAATATTATAGAATATATAAAGTCGACTATAAATAAATAATGTATGTACCAATATGTATGAATAAAATGAAAATGAAAGTACGCCGGCGCCGAGCGAACAAACGAGTGAAAAAATGCGTATTAGGCAAATTACCTACGTATGTAATGTGTTATGAAATAAGTGTACCGATATTATGGAAAATTAAGAATACGAGCAAGAGTATGGAATAAAGTATGATCAAATAAATGTTAGATAAAGAAAGATGATGAATAAGCATACGAGTAAATTGTTGTATCTCAAGAAGTATTGTGTGGTATCGAAAAATTAGAAATAATTATTATGAAAGTTGATATGATATGAAATGATTTACTACGCAAGATATTTGATTGAAGACAGACCGTATTTTTTTTATGGAAACATTAAAATCTCATATATGTAATTATAAAGTAGCACATAACGATGGAAAAAGTGAACTTTTTTTAATTTTCTTCATTAGTAGTGTTGGTTATTTTAAGGACTAATATATTAAGTTGGTAATTGAAGAAAATAAAAGAGAGTATTGAACGTCAAACAAACGTCGAGGTTTCAGTTTAAACTTAAGTTAAAAAGGCTATCGTAAAGGTAAAAGTTTTAGTTAAAGATAATAAGAGAAAGATAATATTTATTATATTTTTCAGATATCTACAAGTATATTTTTAGATGAAAAATTACGTCATGATAACAATCTAAGACATTTCATACTAAACGAATGTTCATTTAAAGGTAAATGCAATAGAAAATTATTTGACTTTAACTTGTGAAATGATTGAATAGAATTAGATAGCTAAACCAAGATATAGATATTTTAAATACCATTTTTTAAACATTTCAATAAGAAAACGTGAAAGGAAACTGCTATTATTGTATACTATGTAAAGGTCAAAAATTATTGATTTTTTTATGTATTAAAAATTAAAAGATATTATATGAATTGTTTGTTTGTTATAAAAGATTTCATACTACTGCAACATTATTTTAAAATGTAAAAGAAAATTAGGAAA